GGGATGGCCAAACAGAGGAGGATTCCGTGGTTAAACAGATATTCTCGTCGTGCCTACATAAGTAGTCGTTGGCGCATGTCCTAGTTATAAAATGATAATGCAACTTCAAAGACCTCATGAACCCCTTTGGAACTTCCTATAACGTGCTTCACCCGGACTTAACATCCTTTTGTCTATCCATCTATTAGAGCAAATTTTACCCTCTTTTTTCATTTTCCCCTTTTACTTGTTTAGTTCTTGGACTCATCCTTTTCCACCAATGATCCAACTCCTAATCCTCTCCCCACGGCGACCTTCATCTTTCGTTCTCCGCCCTCCTCCTTGTCCTTGCCAGCTTCGGGATCACGGCCAACCTCGCCCACGGCGTCACCCTCATCAGCGGCATCCTCGTCCTCTGCAGCGGCGGCTTCGTCGGCTTGCTTCTTGATACCACCGAGGTCTAGACGCATGCAAAAGGCATCTTCGCCGTCGGCATAGTATTTGGACTCGGTCTTCTCGTTGGTGAAACCCAGTGTGTTCTCGTAAAGATGACGGGCTGCGGCGTTGGAGACACGGACGTGCAGGGAGACGTACTTGGCTTGGAATGTCTCGACCATGGCGAGTTCTGCGCATGTGTTAACAGATAAATTTGGCAAAGTACATGTGATACGTACGACTCTGGCGCATCAGCTTCTCGGCAATACCGAGTCTTCGGTGTGTGCGCATAACACTCAGACTGGTGATGTGGCCGTGAGGGATACCGTCTGAAGGCTCCTCCTCCATCTTGGCAAGGACATATCCGACAATCTTGGGGTACTCGTAAGGGTCCTTCTTGGGCCTTGAGACATCGACGGCGACGTAGCTCAGCTGGGGCCATGAGAGGGCATGGTAGAGGTAGTACTTGAGGAAGTAGTTCTCGGGAAGGTTCTCGAGGTTTGCGTGCTGGATGAGGGGCAAGTCTGCGTTTGTGAGGAGTCTGATATCCATGTCTGCGGTAGTGAATGGGTGTAAATTGGTGGTGGTGGTAAATTGGTGTTGGTTAAATGAGGCTCAAGAATTGACGTACGGTAACAGTCAAGATAGAGATAGCTTCCTTCAGCCCACTTTCTGAAGCGTAAATCGGCCCCTCAATTCGCGGCGGGTCATAAAATCTGGCGGGCGGTCAACTTTCAACTTTACAGTGAAGACCATCACCCGGAGGTCGGCAGGAAAACTCCCCCGCGCCGAACCTTAGAACCTAAACAACCCCCACCAAACTTGATCCTTGTTGCGCTGTGATGGACGCTGGAGACGACCTAGAACGCTAAGCCAAGCACCAATTATAAACTCCTCCACTGTAACACCCGATAAATATCCTCCCTTGGAAGCGCACCTGTCAAAGCCAGCAATGGCCGCCACGGGACTTGCATAGAGGAGTTTGGTGCTTTGTCTCTATTGGCGCGACAATTGCAGTGGACTCTAGATTGTGTCAAGTTGTTGAACTAATACACAAACGAAGTATACGGACAGAAGAAGGGTCCAGATCTGTAGACACGTTGATAAATATAAATATACACGAGACTCTTCTTTCTTGGTCCTCCATAGAAAAGTTGTTCTTTTTACATTTTAGTTTCTCTGTCTGTTCTTTTGTCGTGATATCCGATTCATCTTGCCTCACTTTACCAACAAACCACTCCACAACCACCATGTCTCTTCCTCTTACTGGTAAACTTGCCATTGTCACTGGTGCCTCTCGAGGTATGTAAACTATCTTCTTCAAGTCCAATTGAACCTGACTGACTCAAAAAGGTATCGGTCTGGCCATTACAAAAGCCCTCGCTGCTCGCGGCGCAAACCTCGTCCTCGCCTACACATCCGCCAACTCTGCCGCCTCAACAGCCGACATCGCTTCTGAGCTGGCCTCCAAGCACTCTATCAAGGCTGTTCCTATCCAGGCCGATCTCGGCACTGTCTCAGGTCCTGCTTCTCTCATCAAGCAAGCCGCCGATGCTTTCCACCCGTTGCGCATTGATATCCTCGTCAACAACGCTGGCGTCGCTCTTAACGACAAGGTTCCCGATATCAGGCCCGACGACTTCACAACCAGCTACAATGTAAACGTTCTGGGCCCTCTGCTTCTGGTCCAAGCCGCAGAGCCTTACCTCCCAACAGATCGTTCTGGCAGAATCATCAACCTCAGCAGTGTGAGCGCCAGCTTAGGTTTCGTCGGTCAGAGTGTTTACGGTGGTACAAAGGCCGCTCTCGAGGCCATGACACGAACTTGGGCGCGCGAGTTGAGTGAGAGAGCTACTGTCAACGCTATCAACCCTGGCCCCGTCCGCTCAGAGATGTACTCGCGCAACTCAGACGAGTTCAAGCGTCTCATCAAGCCTTTCATTCAGAATGCACCTCTCATGGCTGCTCGTGAAGGCATTGACGATCCTGAGGTTGTTGAAGAGGCCAAGACGGCTGGTGGTCGTGCTGGTGAAGCTGATGAGATTGCTGGTATTGTCGCTATGCTTGCCAGCCCTGAGAGTGCTTGGGCTACTGGGCAAGTCATTTGCGCCAACGGAGGAATGATCTTTGGCATGCAATAAATGGTTTAGTAAAAGAGTAATAGAAATAGACATTAGGATATAAGAATTAGAAGGCAGTTTTAGTATGAACATATAGATTTTATCTTATACAGCAATGGAGTAAATGGTGACTTGTTGTCTCATGAAAGACAACATAGAAAATGGAAAACATTAACTAAAGATTTAACCTAAGTTTAAGGCCCATGAGAGAATTCATAAGTGCTCTCTGTTTTGGATCTTCTTCGTTCAATGTCACAGAGGAGACACCTCAGGAGTGTGCTACTGTTAACCCTTGAGTTATTCAACTGCTTATAAGTCAAAGTGCCCCGCCTTGTTAGTAGGCGGTGACGCAAATTCTGCCAAACTCACTCAAGTCAAGTCTCAACTCACTTACAAATCCGTAGTGAGTCAGGCCTCTCATACAGCTCAAAGTCACAAAACTTCACCATGGAAACAAGACAAACAGACTCCTCTGATCCCTTCGAGGATGTCCTCAATCTCGAAGAGCGCTTCTACTCAGAAGGCTACCAACTTGGCATAAAAGACGGCATTCAAGCGGGGCGAATCGAGGGGCGATCGTTTGGCATGCAAAAGGGCTTCGAAAAGTTCCTTGAAAGTGGCCGTCTTGCCAGCAAAGCCGTCGTTTGGGCGAATCGGATACCACAAAAAGATAAGGCTTCTTCCGAGGAGACTTGCACGTTGCCACCGCTGCCCAAAAACGCAAGACTTGAGAAGAACATCAACACCCTATACGCCCTCGTGGAGCCGGAGACGCTTTCAACAGAGAACTCGGATGAGGCGGTTCAAGACTTTGATGATCGGGTTAAGAGAGCACAAGGAAAGGCCAAGATTGTCGAGAGGATGACGGGTGGTGGGAAAGAGACAACAGGAGTGTCAAGCCCGTAAAGCATCATGAACAAAATTGGAGTTCAGTTGGGCGTATGACAGTTGAGACATAACAAATTCGGTACTCATGTGAAAAAAAGAAAGTCATCTGCTGTCAATGGAAATTCTATACCCTCACTACCTCATAATTTGTATACACATCTTCCTTCGCTTCTAATTTATTTGAATGACCTGCAAGGGTATCTGCGAACAGTTAGTGTCTCTCCAGACATATTGTCTCACTCGTTAAACGTACCCTTCACCATAAGATGACTCCTCAAGCTCGTACTTGTGCACATCCCACTTTCCAGTGTTCAGAGTCTGGCCGCTGGGCAGAGGAGGCATGCCGTTGACAAAAACATCCTTAGTCGCGTTGCCCGCCTTATCAAGAGCCTTTGCCAGGCCAGTCTCGGACTCCTGCTTCACAGCAACGAGCTGCTTCTCGCCAGCCTCGCCGATAAGATCGACCTTGGGAGCTTCAGCGCTACCAACGGTAAGGAGCTGGGCGAACTGGGACTGGTCGACGACGCTGAGCTGGGGGTAGCCGCGGCGGTTGTCGCGCTTCCAGTAAGGATTGTCGGCGATGTCGCCAGCTGGCAGCGTAACGGGGTCGTCGTACTGGAGAGGGTCGTTGGCGCCGGGGGGAGGGTTACGGAAGTGAGGGTTCAGAGGGACACCGTTGGAGCGCTCAGGGTCGATGGCCAGGAAACGACGGAAGGCCTCCCAGATACCAGTCGACTGGAGGGTTTGCTTCTGTATGAGTGGATGCTCAGTTAGCGGCTTGTATGTCATGTACGGGCTTCATGATGTGCGAGTGAATTCGGAGGTAGGGGCGGTTGTCGAGAGGCGATTGGGAGGCATTGGATCCGAGGCGATGTTCGTAGTTCGTACCTTGGCGATGCTGACCACGTTGCTGGCGGCTTTGGCCGCTTGGGACGACATGATGGCGGCTGGTAGGCTGATGAAGGCTGTCGTTGAGGCTCGAGTGATGGAATCGTTTCCAACTTGAAATGCCGTCGTGATTATTGGCTGACTGGCGGGTTTATCCGAGGCTCCACCGATGTGATGCTGGTTACCCTGCAGGAGTTGCATTGATTGATGGAATAACTCTGACTTTACGAGAACATTAGTTGTTTTTGTACCTTTATAATGAATTACCTTATTGAAAACTTGAACTTTAATAAATGCGGTACAATATGTTTCTTTGTGTTGTTGTTGGTCAAGCTCAATTTATTTTATAGTGTTGATACAGTATAGGTAATTGTAATGTGACACCCAGACGTGTAACCATCGAGCAGTTGTGCAACATAAATGGTCAACGTATGCGATGCAAAAAATCTAGGAGCTTTAAACACTTTTCGATAGGACTTAATAAAGTTTAGAACAGTTTCTTCATCCGAGATTCAGAAACAGGAATGTTCAAAAAGTCTAGTATCACTCATATAATTACTATGGTCTATAAACCTTCTGTAGTATCTGGCCAATTCCAGACGCACTGTACTTTACTAAAACAAATCCCGATTGCTACTGACCCATAAAGAATTCCGCGCAAAATACTTGCCTATATACGTGCCAATGCCTTTACTTGCTAGCCAACTCATCAACGAGAGCCTGCACACGGTTAAGAGTACCCTGTGGGCTTCCCGCCTCAGCAACGAGGACCTTGCCCTCCTTGCTAATCACAAAGACACCACGCGTCGTTCCCTTGGGAGCCTTCTTGAGACCGATGGCGCCGATGAGGGTAGCATTGGGGTCACACAGTAGTGGGTAAGGAAGCTTTTGCTTCTCCTTGAAGGTCGTGTTGGCCTTGGGAGAGTCGGTGCTGAGACCGTAGATAGCCAGGCCGTCCTTGATGAGAGGCTCGTATGAGTCGCGGAAGAAGCAGACCTGCTTTGTGCCTGCGAAAGAGTCAGATGGAAATTCAGATGGAAAGGTAATGAAAACTTACAGCCGGGAGTGGATGCCTTGGGGTAGGTGAAGAGAACGACGCCGGACTTGCTCTCATCAACGAGCTTCTTCAAGGTAGTCTTGTCGCCATCGTTGGTCTCAATTTCGCCTCCAAAATCATCAAGGTCCACAACGTCGCCAACCTCGAGCTTGCCTCCTGACTTCTTGGCCTTGGGCTCCTTAGTCTTTGGATCCTCCTCAGACTTCTCTTCTTCCTTAGCTTCCTCCTTGGGCTCCTCCTTGGGCTCCTCCTTGGGCTCCTCAGCCTTCTTAGGCTTTTCCTCCTTCTCCGCGACCTTGGCAGCAGCCTCCTTCACCTTGGCGGCTTTCCCGGTCTTTCCAGTGGCCTTTCTCTTCACAGGAGGAGGGGGAGGGGCAGCAGGCGCTTTGCGCTTACGAAGTTCGACAGGCATTGTGATGTTGTGAAGGGGAAGAAAGAGTCTATGCGATGCGATGCGATGCGCCGTATGCGACAAGTCAAGGCAATGCTGTATTCTGCAAAACACAGAGACGAATTTGCGAGGAAAACTACCGCGTGAACACTACGAAAACGCGTAAAGTAAAAAAAAGGTAGAAGAAAGAGATGAAAAGAAAAGACAAAGAAGGCTGGGCATTGGGAGGAGGAGAAGAGAAAGGGAAATGGAGAGAGGCTTAGTACCTACCGTCCGTACCCAGACCAGGACTGGGTTGGCCCTGTCCGTTGCTGTCGCATTTGATGCGCCTGCCTTTGTCTGCCTTTCATCCCCCCCAAATAGTTACGGCACGTCTCATCTGGGGGACCAATAGAGCCTGTTCCAGGCCCTTACAAGCTTCCGGGAGCTTGGACCATCAATTGCTCGGCAGCGGAAGATGCACGGGCCAAGTTCATTTTCGCTTAGATGATTGATTTGGAGTGGAGCTTGGAGCCGATAGAGGTTATTCATCAATTGCAGTTATGCAACTAATGGGTATCACTAGAATACTCGCCGAGATCATCCGTTTACTTTGTGTAAGATGAGACGATCAAGTTATTATTGACGTGCAACATTCAACCTGTGATGCAAACACTTGCAATATGAATCCTCGAGTATGACTTGACTATTTCTAGTATTTTAGATTTCTTGGACTGACAGTATGTAATAGAAATTCATGGCCCCAGGGGCTGCCTTTACAATGGCTTGCGTATTGTTCGTGTGAGTAGAAAGTGGCGTGTTGTTTCAAGATGCAGTGTTTGAGATATTCCTTTTTACTTATTTATCTCTTAAATTTATACCACTCCAAGGAATACTGCTGCATTGTTTCATAAAGCTGTACTAAATATCGGAGTGGTTAAGAAGCTGACGTTCTGTAGATACACCCGCTCATCTATACACACTGCCCGTGAACAAGCAGTATGTGACTCCTTTATCTTCATCATCTCCCAGCTGACATCTTAATAGCGCTCATCAAGGCTGCCAGCTAATGGTGAACGCACTTCAAGAGGTGGTTCAACATAAGTCGAAAATCACCTGGAGCATACAACGGCGCAAGGAGCGAATCAACCACCTGCTGGTCGCATTGACTTTAAAAGGCATATCGTAATTTTTATGATTTGTTGTCTAATTTCTCAACCAAAATGAAAACAAACTCCTCTTAATGCCAGCGCTGCACCAAATTCGCCATGCCCAAAACTCGTCAGCCCCTTGTTGCAACTCAATGTCTCTGTTGTCCAAAAAGATAAAGGGGCTTGCAGCCGTGTGCGCCTGCTGTGTACATTGCTCTGTGTATGAAAAGCGTCAACGATAGGAACCCAAGATTTGTCTAGCCTACAGTTGACGAAGGGTATCTCAGCCTTGCTCCGTCTCCTATTCCGTCCATGAACCCAGGTGTACAGTCCTTCTCCAATCCCTTGCAACTCCAGTGATTTCTCGCTTTTTACGCAACTTATAACAGCTATCGGATGATTATGATTCTGCTGGCGGATCCAGCAAAAGATGCCGTGCTTCAACCCTGGTGTGGTACAGTTGCTTCATAACATATTCGTACGTCAACATGGTAACTGTCGCTGCTGGAACAGCTCGCATCATGTTGGTGCCTAGTCCAGCATAAAATGCTCTCCACCCTTCTTCGGCCAATATGACCCGGAAAGTATGGACGACACCTTGGTACCTGGGCTTCGCAGCAGGGGCTCGGGGGCCTGAACCCGTCACTCCCATACCCTGAGCGAACTCCTCGCCAGCAAGCGGACGCCGTTGGGTCTGTAAACGGGTGCGAATAACTTCGTGAGGGTACGTCGCGGTACTGGCGAGGATTTTGGATAGAATCGAGGCCCCCAGGATCCCGAAAACATGGGATTTATTGTCTCCCTCGTTGGATTCGCCCATCCCTTGACCAGTGAACCTGGTTTTGAGGTACTCGTATGTTGGAAATTGTACAGCAACGTGCGTCAACCCGAGAAGAGCAGGCGTTAGTCCGGAATAGAAAGAAATGAGACCTTCCGAGGTGTACATCTTGCGAGCTGCATCTAGTGTGGATTTGTAGTGCCAGTCGTGTAGTGTTGGTCGCGTTGTTGGTGTGCTAGTCGCTTTCGGATAGTATGCGGAATGGTGGTCCTGGGTGTTGTGTCGAATGTTGCTCTGTGACATGAGCCGTGTCTTGATAACCCATATTGGGTTGGTAACTATTGTACTGCTGGCGCCTGCTATGATTGACGACCAAAAATTGACTATGTGACTGTTGTCTATTGACGGATAATTAGTATGGCATCTCTTTTATGCGATTTCGGCTGGCAACGTACCATAATGTTGTGATAAATACCCCTTGCTCTTATTGTAAACCGTAAACCACACAGCCCATGTTGGCAAGTATCCCATGATGATAGGCCCCAGTCCACGATAAAGGCCTCGGATTCCTTCCTCTCTCCAGATGACTTTCCCCGAGCCAAGAAGACCATTGTATAGCTGTGGATGGCCGACATGTCGTCCCTTGTTGAGAGCAGCGTAACCACCTTGCGCCTGAAGTTTGGTCTTAATGACGTCGAGTGGGCATGTCACAACACCTGAGGTGAAACCACCCACTGCACCAGCAATAGCGTTGAACTGGGAGTCGGAGGCGTTGAGTGCCCATCGGTGCATTGGGGTAACCGTCGTGGAGTACATTGAGGCGTCGGAGGATGCGTAACCGTAGGAAGATGTAGCATAGTCCGAAGACGGCGACTGGGCAGCTTCGGGAGGAACCTGGTCCGTTGACGACATCCTAGTCGTCCACTATCGAGATCGCCTGTTACTTATCGCCTGGTTATTCGTTGTGCGATATCAACAATCAAGAATGAAAGTTGATATTGTCGGCGTTCGTTGTTATCGCTCAAACGTATAGGTTATCGTGGTGGTGCCTGTTGCCGAGTTCTTCTTGTTCAGATGTCCGTCGCAGACGTCAAGTTGATGTATTTCGGGAACCGAGACCAAGAGACACCAGCAATAAATCTTCCTGCACGCCTTTGATTGTCCGCAGCCTTTGATATCGTAACCGTCGAGTTTCCTCAATGTCCGGACCGTTTTCACCCCCAAAAAACAAGACGGCTCCCGTCCGTCAAAAAAAATAGGCCTGACGTCTTTCTGCCGCTGTTGGAGCTTTCGCAGCCGGTACAAAGGTACTGCGGGGGAACGAACGCTCGCTCCCACGCGCCGTGACCGACCGCTTCCCACTTCAGCGAATGGCGCCGGCCATTGACTTTGGGAGTCGAAAATGCGAGAGCCTTGGAACCGGAAAAACCGGTGAAAGTTAAAGGCAGACGCGGGAGGTGAGGGCCGAAAAATCAGGGAAAATGAGGCTGAAAAAGACCGAGAGTGAAGAGTAATATGTGAAGTTATAAGAAAGAGGAAGTAGGGAAGAAGAATCAAGTTTGCCGTTGGATGGCGAAACAGAGCGGAGGATGGAAATCAGCGGAGGAAATCAAGACGGGGCGGGCTAAGGGAGCCATAAAAACCCAGACACTATTGACTGGACTTGACATTAAACCTCTCATAAACCTATTAAGTTATTCTTAGATGTTGAAACTTGTATATAATATTATGAAGCGAAGGAAAGACTTATAAGTTCATCTCATAATAGATCATGGTCTGTTCTCTTAATCTTCTTCTCCGATCTAATACCTCTTTCTACTCGGTATTCTTTCTTGCATCCTAGGACAAGCGAGCTCTGACTGGTTATTTGATGCACCATCGGCACTTGCAGGGTTCTGCTCACCATTTTATTTTTCACATGGAATTTCTTTACTACTTGGCTGGCCTCACTCATCTCGGAGCATTTCTCTGGAACAAAGAAGGGCATTTCCCCTGTTTATCTTACTGAATTCCTTTCTAGACATGTTTGCACCGGTGCAAGCCGGTCGTATTAGCGGAGACGATAGACGAACTAATCTTCAAAATAACGCAGCATAGACTAACACAGCACTAAGAAAAAGCAGACGTTTCGACCTGCATAGATACACAATTTACTGCATGTGGTATCGGAGCACGAGCGTTGGAACAGCTGCGATTGCGACTCGCCTGTCCAGTACCTGGCCTGTAGGGTCTCTCGTACAAGCTCCGATATCGAACCCTTGTTCAACGTGGGATGGAATGACGACACCTGCATATAATCGAGTAGAATTTCGTCCGAGGTAAAGAGGTTGTATGACAAACACGCTGTAAATAGAATAACACCTCAGTATCATAGTATCTTCTCTTTATATCTTACCATTTACTTGCTGCTACATATTCATACAATCTTTGGCCGTTCTATCCGGAACCGGTTTCCTACGGGACATAAAAATGACCCCCCACCTGATTGTAATTCTCCACTGTCTCACAAGTGCCATGTGCATATACAGCTGCGCCACAGTTCTCTCTCAGCAGCCACATTTCTTCCCCAAAATCTTGAGGCTGTGAAAATAACCTTAGTCATCGATCTTGTCCCCTTCTGCCCGAGTAACGCAGCCAGCGAACGACAAAGGAATGGTCATCAAGACCACGTGACGTCCCGAGCTCTCCCAGAAGTTTTGCAATTGCTCGCCTCAGCCCATCCGCAATTCGCGCCATTTCCGACCGACGACGACGACGACACTTCAACCCCCGGACGTCAATTGCTTCTCCTCGATTCAAAATGAAGTACTCGCTCGCCCCCTTCATCCTCCGCCGGCCGTGGCTCGCCCGCTTTTTCAAGCCCGCCGCTACCTGGTACGTCAACACTGCCGGGTACCGCCAGATGGGCCTCAAGTATGCGAATTCCCCCTCCTTGTTACGCCGCCAATTGGATCTCGAAACGATGGAAACGGCGAAATTTTGGGATGGTTTTGGCTGACTGCGGTTCTTAAGATACGACGATCTCCTCGAGGAGGAGAACGAGACTGCCCAGGCTGCCCTCAAGCGTCTTTCTAACCGCGAGTCCTACGAGCGCATCTACCGTATCCGACGTGCTGTCCAGTGCAGTTACCAGCACAAGCTCCTCCCCAAGGACCAGTGGACTACCTCCGCCTCGGTATGAATCAATCCTATAATCGATTACTCTCTCTGCCGGTTGCCCCTCAGCAATTGGAGAGAGAGTTCACGATCCCGATATATCACGAATGAATAGCGTCGACTAACTCGCCACCCCCTCTACAGGACAAGCCCTACCTTCAGCCTCTTATGGAAGAGGTCGCCGCCGAGAAGGCCGAGAAGAACGAGCTCGACTCCATCGCTGTCGTCCGAAAGCACTAAATTATTTTTGGCCCTCGGGTTGGGAGGACAGTAGGAATGAAGGAGTTGGAGAGCAGTAGCAGGATGGTGGTTGAAAGGGAATTGCCTGCCTCCTAGAGAAATGGTGGCTACACCTCAACGGATTAGACAATTCCCGTGTATCCTATGTAGACGTCTGACTTGACTCATTTGCACATATCATGGCCATTTGACCGGTTTTGGACGCATGTGAATTCTTTTACATGAAAAGCTATCTCATGCATGCCTGCACAATTTTGTAATGTACAATATACTACTGCGAAAGACTTCGCCAGAAGCCCATCTTCAGTCAGCTCTTGTGCCGCCTGTCAGGAAATCTAGTTGAAGAAGTTTATAATACGTCTTCGTCAAGATATCCTTCATAACCCTTCTTACACGAGCTCCACACTGGCTGATCAGCCTCTCTCGGGCATCATCTCCCCAGCGCCTCCTTTCCTTTTTCCGATTCATGGGAAAGAATCCAACCCTCGACGCCATACGCCGCAGATACCGGATCCCGATTTTCCCTAATTCGTCACCACCCAATATGCGACTCCGTCTTAAAATAGTGCTTTCCCCCATCCAAATATGGCCGTTAAGCTCGTGTTCAATCGTGTCGCCTTCTCCATGACCTGTACTTGGGCATGGGGCTGTCAGTGACAGCAATACATAGTTTCGAGAAAAGATGCTTGAGAACCCCTTATACTCGTTGGTAGAAGAGCAGATAGGCAACCTTGTTGTCCTTGATGTTATCCTTGATCGGCTTGGCGGGCTTGGCGGCGCCATTGGTACCGTTAGCAACGCTGCTCCATTTCTTTGCTCCTCCAGCAGGACCAGTGACCTTGCTCCATCCGTCATCATCTCCAGCGTCGTCGTCTTGAACAGCACCGAATCGATTGCCCGACGTAGGGCCCTCCTTACGAGCGTCCTTCACTTCCTCCTCTTCACCGCCCTCAGCGACGTCTTCACTTCGAACTCTGCGGATGATCGTATCATCGATACGAATCCATTCGCGCCCTTCCTGTCGTCGCACATCGACAGTGTAATGTCCACCACTAGCGTTCTTTCCATGATGGTAGACCACGCTAATCAACTTATACTTGGGCATTCCCTCTTCACCCAAAGTCTGGCGTTTCTGCCGAGACAAGGCTTCGCGAGGAATCTCAAGCTCCAACGGATAACCGATCTTCTTCCAAATCTTGACAGTTCCGTTACCCTCTGCGTCGAACTGGAAGCGCTTGAGATGTAGGATGAGGACAGGAGGAAGTGACTCGATGAAAACCTGCTTGGTGGCTGTAACCTCCTTGCCGCGAGAAGAGTTGAAATCTCCCTGAAGACGCTCAGGCCGAGTAAGACCCCGGAGCGCATCCACGACATTGCGCACATCAGATGATCCAATGTCCAGCTGAAGAGGCTGATAAGGCTCAGTAGTGATGGAATCCTTAAGGCCAGGGACACGAAACTCGGATCGCAACAAACCACCAAAGATCCTGGAAATAGGGCTAGATGAGTTAGATCCGGAAGATCGAGAAACAGCCGGCTTTTGCTTTCTGCCAACTTCCATCCAATCGTCAGCACCACCAGCATCAGAGCCAGCACTAGGTTGGCGCTCCGCTTCGTCGGGGGTAAAGTTCTTGAGGACTGTAGTGCACTCGTCATCAAGTGACTGTAGTAGGAAACCAAGGAATTCCTCGGCATCTTGCTGATGACCCCGCTGCATCTCGTTAGTAAGATTATTTGCTAGATAGGAAAACCACATACTCTCATGCTAGCGAAACGTGGAAGCTGCCTTATGGCTTCGTACACAAATTCAGGAGTGAAAGGCTCCCCGTAACGTTCGAGCTCCTCGTTCTTTAGAGCCAGACGTAGAGGTTCAACACCGGCAGCAGACTTGATGGACTTGAACTCATGCATAAACATGATCCTGTCCTATATTAGTACTTCGAGCCTTGTAGTTTAGAATTGTACTCACATTGCATCGATGAGAGGAGTATCGCTCTTGAAGCTGTGGACAGCGCGCTTGCTGATCTGGCTGAGGAAATCATAAAATGGCAAACAAAACATCAAAACTTGCAAAACCTGTAGCCTGTTAGTTCTGCCCTAAAGTTTCCGGAAAGAAAAGAAGATCGAGGACATACAGAGTTCATGTAACACATGTTCCCGGTGTTGATCAGACCGCGGGGCTCGAGGAACGAGACTTGATCGGCGAGACCAACATGGAATGTGTGAATAGCCTCCGCAACAGAGTTGGCGTTGACTTTGGAGAAGCTCGGGGCAGCACCGTTCGGAGTTCCCGAGACAGTTTCGGCAGCATGGCCATTAGCAACAGTGTCAGTAGGAGCAGCACCATTAGGACCCTCAGTCTTTCCAGCAGCTGCAGCAGCTGGCTTCGAAAAGAGCTTCGCCCAACTAGAAGGCGGAGCTTTAACAGCAGGAGCGGGCTCAGCTGCGACTGACTCAGACTCCGCGGGCTTCTCGGAACCCTCAGCGGTGACCGCTTGCTCAGGGGCACTTTCGGTAGCTACGTCGCCGTTCATCGGCTTTTCAGCACGTACAGGCTTAGCATCCTTAGTGTTCGCCTTGGAAAGAGATGGAAGAGCAGGGGCGGGAGCAGCGGAGGAGCGTGTGGCAGGTCGGTTCGTTGCAGTCGAGGTAGCGCTGGTAGCAGTGTTGGTGCGCGATCGTTGCTGTACAGGAGCAGGAGTCTCGGAAGACTGGCGAGGAGTTGCCGCAGCTTCGGATGGAGCTGCTGATGTCGCGGGGGTGGGGGCCGAGATGGAAGGTTCTGTAGAGCTAGCTTCGGGAACACTGGCCTGCTCTGCCGCAACGTTGTGTTGGTCAATAGCTGGTAGAGAAACGTTTGCACTGTCCGCATTGAGACGCCTCCTCCATCTTCGAGACTTTGTAGTTCGAACTGGAAACTTTTCGTCAGGGTGAGAGTACCATGGCAGCTGAGCGTTGTTAGTTTGTATTTGATACATCGAAAGTCCGAGACTTACAGGTGCACGGAATGGCTCTCTCGGAGCGGGAGCGAGGGCAGTAACAATATCAGCAGCAGGAGCAGGATAAGGAACATGAGCGGGCGCAGGAGCGGGCGAAGGCTCTCGTGGGGGCTCAGCAGGGGCAACAGGAGGAGCGGGGGGAGCTGGCTCAGTGTCCTGCGGGACCGGAGGAGTTGGAGTGGGAACTATCTGCGACGAGTGGGTTGAAGTAGGAGTCTGGGGTGGAAGTGAGGCCGGAGCAGGAGGCTGATAGGGAGTCGGCAGAGCAGGAGATGGTTGCTGAGCTGGGCGGGTTGCGTAACTCGGAGGGACGCTCACACCGGACATAGGAACAAATTGGTTCATAGCGGGCGGCGATCGTGCGTAGTGCTGCTGCTGGTAAGATATATAACCACCGGGTGAAGGTATTCCGGCATTGTGGTACTGTGCGCTTTGGTACTGGCCATTCTGGAACTGCCCAGTTTGGTATTGTCCACCTTGATACTGCGCGTTGGGGTACTGAGTGTTGGGGTAGTGAACTCCCTGATACTGCGGCGGGTATCCATAATACGGCTGGCTGTAGTTCATGTAGTTGTTATACATGTGAGCTGCGGACTGATGGTGATGTTGGTGATGCTGCTGCTGGTACTGGGACTGAGGAACAAAGGGAGGAGGAGGCTGCCTCCGGCGAGGCCCTCCGGGACCGCCGACAATATCGGTGCCTAGGATACCAGATCCTCCCTGTATATTCTGCCCAGCCGGCAGATGGCGGTTACTCATCGTGCCGGCTTGGGGATTGAGTGAGGACGGGAGTCGCCCAGTTGGTGCGACACCCGAGCAGACAGCGTGTGAGTCTGCTCTTGCGGACAGAGCAAAATTCGAAGTCGTCGGGCTTCAGCTTGTCGGTGTTTTCAAAAGGCGATGGGTGAGAAACGTTGCGACGCGACACCAAAAGCGAGACGGCCTAATATGACCGCAAAAAAAGTAGGTAAGATGGGTAACGTCTGTTGGGATAGAGGAGAACAAAGGCGCCTGATGGTGGGTTAACAAAGCCGTACAGCAGAAGCACAAAGACGAAGTGAAAATGCAGCAAATAAAATCCAGAACAAAGAAAGGCCGGAACCGAAGAGTAGACGCACTGAGGAAGGAAGAAGAGAGCGGATTTGACCGAGTTGCGTCTGGCAAAACGGGGGCACGCTTGAAGTTGCGTTGCGATAGTTTAGGTGAGGTAGGTGAGGTCAGGTAGGCGTAGCGTAAAATGGTGCAGCACAGGCACAAGGCCAGGGCGGTATTGGAGAATAAAATTATCCAACCTGAGGCCGGGCGGCGTCTGGCGTCTGGCGTCTGGTACTGAGCTGATGACCTATGAGCGCACTGAGACGAAAGTCGAGCCGCAAAGTATGAGCAGGCACTGCACGAGCCAACCAACAATTTAGACCCTTCAACAAGCTCGAGGCAAATGTTGCTGTCTGAGGCAGAAAATTGATTCCACACTGAACCACTGTGCTCCACTTCTGCCAGCTCAAGCCCCGGCATCGCTCATCTTGATCCCTGCCTTGGATCGATATTGTAAGTGACATCCATGTAAAACGTGTGAGTTGAATCGGTTATGAGTGATGGAATCCTTATCCTAGTAGCCCGGGTTTTAAACGAATACAACGATTATAGCAAGTTCCAATGGGCATATCGAACTGCTATGGACTCATCATAGCAAAGACTAATAGAAACGCCAACTCAAACGCTGTTTCAATTGCTAAACTTGGGATATCGACATTTTCCAATCTCGCTAAACTCCTAATTCAAACATCATAAACTCCGCCAAATTTACTCATCACGAAACAGCCATCTACCACCTGGTCTCATTGCCTCCCGATGTCTATCCTTGACTGTCTGCTTTTCTCTCCGAGCAGCCTCTAATCTCTCTTGCTGTAATTCTTGCGTATCTGGGAAATCTGCGTTCCAATATCCTGGAGGGCTTTGCATTCTTGAATAGTGGTATCGGTGCGTATTGTACTTATTGGAAAGCTCCTGGGCTTTGGCTTCAACCCATAACTCATCGCGTTCCTTCTTGTCCATGGTTCCGAGCTTGTATGCATTATCACCCAAGTAGTCTTCCAACAACTTCTGCTCTTCTTGACGTTGGGCAGCTGTGAGGGGAGGGTTTGGACGATGAGATTCGGCGAGATGCCGGTATTTCTTTCCGCAGCAGTGCATTTCGGTGCATCCTTGCATTCGAGACCTCTCGTCCCTATCGCGTATAACGTCCGTAAATGCAAAGTCATGCCCGTCGTTCGCCTGAGGGTTGATCTTGAAATCATCCAGACGCAGTTGAGAAAGTGGTTTGTGCCGCAGCCCCGATTGCGCTCCTTGCTTGGAGGCTAGCGGAGATCTTGCGTTTTGCGGTGTAACCTTGGATGTAGAAGCTGCGGCTGGTGTTCGGTTGGGCGTAAGCATCTGTTGAACGGGAGGCCTGTCTTTAGCTCGACCCGCCGCTTCAAATGGAAGTACTCGCCGCCCTGGGAAAGCGAGATCTTCTGCTATGGTGTTTGGCCTCGCAGCCGACCGGGGAGTCAATCGAGCAGCAGGCGCATCTTGAGCACCAGAACGGTTCAATAGCGCATCCAGCTTCCCCTTAGGGGTTGCACCCGCCCCTTTGTTCTGCCTGTAGGCTTCTCCGTCATCGGCCAAGGTTGAGATACCCCGATCCAGCCCCTTTCTGAGGGGTGTGATGGGCTTTTCTTTACCCGGCCGAACCACTCTACGATTCACGCTCATTGGTGTGAGTGCGGAAGTTCGTCCGACTGGATGAGATATTTCTGGAGGATCCGGCCTGACGAAGAGCGTTCGGGGAGTTGTCGTTGCTGTTGCAAATGCTTCGCTTTTAATCTTCTCTTGCCGTTGCGACCCTTCTAGCTCCCGACATTTTCGAGGTGTCAAGAGCAGCGGGGAAACACCACTTCCCAGGTCCAGGCTTTCGTGCGGAGGCAAAGGGACAGATCCCAGGGGGTCTATTGGACTTGAGGAGCGCTCGTCTTCCTCTACTTTGACCCTTTGTAGAGGTACATCGTTGGAATCATCATTGTCGCGCTTCCTTTTCTGCACTTGTCTTTCAGATATGACGATTGGATCGGATGATGGTTCTTCCTTGATTTTGACATAATTCTGGGGCGGCAACTCTGGCAGTTCGTTATTATCGTGCCTTGACTCTGTATCGCTCTCTGTCGCGTCTGAGCTGGGGTTAGCAGCCGTAGTGTCTGGAAGTGGCTGGTTGTTGTCTTGTAGAGAGGCAGCAGCCAAGGGCGGGAGTTCCAGGTCGGCTTGACCGATACCAGCTTCAGAAGTGAAGCTAGTATCGGGACTGGGCGCAGCTTCTTCTGCTGTTCTTGGGGCGGGAAGTGTTTTCGCTCTGGTGTTTCTGTTCTCGCGTTCTGTAACATTGATACCGCGTTCTCTCTCTGTCGTTTTGAGCTTCTCCTCCAACATGGTGGCGTGCTTGCACCATCGGTCTCTTTCTTCCTTCCTCTTACGCAAGGCATCCTTTGCTTGTTTGAAGGTTTCCGACAGTGCCTTGAACTTGTGGCTCACTTTAGCACACTCGAACTTCCAGTCTATTTCGTCTGCATTTCCAGAGGGGTTGTGGGGAGGCGACGTCCGAGTCTGCTCGGTGCTTTCAGCAGGCTTGGTAGATGCTTGTTGCTGCAATTGTTCCTTTAATCTGGCATTTTCATCCGCTAATCCAGCAATACGAGCCGCATTGTCATCTCGCTGTTTTAGAGCCTTGTCGAGCTCTTGTTTTGTCTTTTCAAGATCTGGACCGTGATGTTAGCCATATTCCATCATGCATTGTCAGTGTGACGTACCTGAAGAAATTCGCTGATCAATCAAGTCGCAGGCGCTGTTAATGGCATCAAGAATGGCCGGACGGCCTGAGGCAAACCAACTTGTCATCTTTTTCTATACAAACTGTTAAACATATCTTGAATTGACTTTTTTCTGACTTGGATGATGTGTAACGGCTGAGTCTGTCGTGATGCAGTGTCAACGCGTCTCCACATTTTGCCTAACGCGGCGATTTCTACTTTGGACGTGACAGCACGGCTCCACGTGATTACCTTGACAACTCATGATGAGACATGGCAGTTATCATGATGACCAGAATCTTTTTTTCAAGCATAGCAATTAGCTTTGTTAGAGTTGAGTCATACTGAAAAATATTGAACTAATTGGTCATTTTATTTCGCAAGACTAACATAGTCATTGGACGTTCAGGACCAAGTCAGATACCACTGACATGATCAAGGGAAGCCGACTTGTCGTATTAGTAGTTAACAATGCTCCAACTCGTGCTACATATAAGTTTTCTATACACTCTAGACTGGTATAGTACATCTAAAAATGGTATTACAACTAATATTGTTTCTTATTCCTGATCTTGTGCAAGCGCCCAGCACTTACGCATCCCGGTTCCCATCGACTCTGCGTCAACAGCTTCACTTGTCGCCCACCTCAAACGATCCTTAGTCAATGAATCGGTTTCATCCAAACCACCGTCCTCAATAGTAAAGAGATGGACGTGCATCGTAAGTTTTATATGAGAAAAAAGCCAGGGCACACTGCCCAATTCGGCCACATGCTTGGGTTTCACTGCTTTGTCCCCGTGTTCGCTGGCAAGCTTGGAGACATGTGCCAGCGCTTTTGATCGTCTCTTCGCTGGAGTGCTGCTATCCTTGGCGTCTTGGAGGATATGGCTCGGAAACTCCCACAAACCAGCCAGGAGCCCCTTTTCTGGGCGTTTCTGGATCAAGTACTGGCCGTCATCTCGACAAATCACGCATACCAAAGTTTCTTCTTCCCTCACGGCTTTTTTGATCACCTTGAGTGGGAATTTGCGCGCGTGATCGACAACAGTCTCCATATCGCGGGGACTCATGGCTGCTTTTGCCTTGGTCGTAGCTGGTTTGTCTTCAGTCGGCCCCTTGAATGCGAATGCCGAGAGTGTCATCTGCTTGCCTCCTTTAGTTGTGGTCTTTTTCGAAGCTTTGGTGTCCCCCACTTTGACTTCTGTCTCGTCCAAGGTTTCTTCTTCGAAAGATTCGCAGAGGTCACACAAGTCTTCGATATCTCCAATCTTTGCGTCTCGGTCTTTGCTTGAGACTAGCGTTTTTCCTTCGGCGTAAACGCGACAAGTTGAAGTGATAGGACATTCGGAACAATTCGGTTTAGGAACACATATAGTACTTCCAAGTTCCATGAGCGCTTGTCCCCATCTCCCTGGTCGATCACTTGTCTCAACTTCTTCGTCCTCCTGTTTATCGGTTCCATCTCGCGCGATAGCCTTAACGAGGGCATCAGCAGCAGCCCATAGCGTATCAATGACAGTTTTGTTCGTCTTGACGTTGCCAAACAGTCCAAGTTGCCGACTTAATACTCGCAAAACGTTTCCATCCACCATAGGTGCAGCCCTTCCAAAGACAATAGATGAGATGGCACCGGCAGTATATCGCCCAACACCAGGAACCTTGGCTTCAAGGTTTTGGGTATCAGAGGGTAGCAGACCCTTCATGGCCGGATCGTTCACCACAAGCTTTGCTGCCTCGTGAATCCGTGTTGCTCTACTGTAGTAGCCCAACCCACGCCAAGCACTAAGAACATCATCGGAACTCGCAGCAGCGAGGTCATGAATCGTAGGCCACTTGTCCATCCACTTGTTCCAATAGTCGATGACTACAGCCACTCGTGTTTGCTGTAGCATGATCTCACTGATCCATACCTCATATGCTCGTCGCTCTAAAAGATCCCGAAGTTCATCCTGCCCGTGGTCTTTTGGACTTATCCAGGCCTTGCGCCATGGCATTGAACGTTTGGTGCTGACACCGTCGAACCATTTGAGAAGCGCTTGACGAGAGGAGGACTCTTTCAGCAACAATGGTCGGTGATATGTGATCTGGTGTTGCCTGGATGGAGGAGTGCATGGCGTTGGACTTGTCTCTCCGTTTGAAGAAAACAGGAATTCATGGATCTTGGAGTTTTCAGCTTTACTCCTTGAAGGCTGTGTTTTTCTCTTTTTTGGTGCAGGTTGCTTGATATCCTTTTCAGAAGTCGCGTCTCTTTCTGATTCAGACGCGTCAAAATCTTCGTCTGGGCGAGGAGAAAGGCGTTTCACCGCGCGCTTCGCAACAGGAACAGCCAACTCGTCATCAGGTTCCAGCTGAGAAGTGATCTTTCGTGAGGCAGTGGCTGCACTTGCTCGCGTTGTTCGCGTTGGTACTTTTATAAGGAATTTATCCATAACGCCCGATGATAGAGACGACCGACATTCAAGACACTCTCAAGACTAGCAGCGCTTCAAAGAATGATTTTATCCAAGGAACCAGATTGAGCCTCGTTGTTTGAAGAAAATAGGGGAAGATCACAATAAGAATGTTTGGTGTTGAGGCAGGTTCAGGCGCCAGGGTCGGTAGTGCTGTTTGCCCACTAAAGTCCGGCGCTACAGGCCTTAAAATTGGCTGCAGCTAAAAAAGCGACCTCCCTACCAAGCAAGACAAATGACGTCTGATCTGAAACTATTAGCATCGACATAAAAATATTATACCATGTCGACTCTCATCACGACCTCCATTCGAATTGCACCTTCCGGGCTCCGGCATTAAATAGCCCCATGCTCTCGAAATGTTGCATATAGGCTGCGACCTGCAGATGCAGGCGTCCAGGGTCCAAGGGGCATCCATTGGTCAACCAGAAATACTGTTGGCATGCCTTCAATGACTTCTGCCTCCTCTCTTGAGCCTGTCAAGTCCCTGACTTGATCTCGGAGTATTTCGAATTGACTTGCCATAATGCCACCATCAACTTTCTGCGCAAGATGTGTCGGCATCTTCCAGGGACACTATGTGCCTTCGAATATTCTGGTCCAGCATGATCTTGTCGACAGTGAGGCCGCATGGTTTATGACCCAAAGCCTTGGTAAAGGGGGAAACACCGAGTGGAAAGTCAGGCTGGACAAAGATCCAGAAAAAGAAGCCCCAGCGCCATATCTTCACCACAGTCTGCAAGACTTGGAAGAATCGGCAGATAGATGCGTCTTTTGTGCCATGATCTGGGAAAGGTTGACTATTGAGGGGTTTATATATCACCCTTCAAGTCTAGACGAGATAAAGAAGAAGGATCTCATTGGCATCCCAACCATCAAGTCCCAAGTAGCCCATACTGGTATATTCTCCTTTGCGATTATTTATGTCACTTGGTCAGGACACAATTGGAAAGGTATTACCTTTCACAGATTTACGGTGTTTAAAGCCATTAGTAAGTCAGTTTTCTTCGTTTATATTCAAATAGAACTAATGACTGCAGACCTTGGGAACGAAGATGATAGGGCTATATGGAAACCCATGTTTGATCGGCAACAGTCACTTTTACGAATTCGCCGCTGGCTGGAATCATCAACCGCGACTTCAGACCTTCGCCCTCAGTTGCCTACGAGGCTTCTTCATTGCCAACCATCAAGTCCCGGAGGTGATCCTAAAGTCAGACTAGTGGATTCCATCAATATTGATCCCTCGACACGCTATGCCGCTCTCACTCATCGCTGGGGTGCCGTACAGCCTCTTAAGTTATTGGAAGCTCGGGAATCGGGATTTCATGACAACATTCCGTTCGCGTCTATTCCGGCTACGTTTCAAGACGCCATAAAATTAGCAAACGACATCGGAATGGAGTACATGTGGATAGATTCCCTCTGCATTGTGCAGGACTCCAAGGATGACTGGCAAGCTGAAGCTGCGCGTATGGCGTCTGTGTATTCTCAGTCATATGTCACCATCGCTGCTACTGCTGCGGAGGATTCGGCCGCAGGGCTCAAGCAGCAGACTACAATGCTCAGACACCCATGTGAGATCACTCCATCATGGACAGGCTTCGAGGACGAAATCCCATCAGGGCCTATACGAATTATAATTCAATCTGGTTTTTGCGACGAAGTTCTTTCAAAGCCCCTATTTCGTCGAGGTTGGACGTTCCAGGAATGGATTTTATCAACCAGAACAATCCATGTGGCCCGAGATCAACTTTGGTGGACATCGGCCACGAATATGAAGTCTCAAGGTTACGCTGCAAACGAGACTTGCGAATCATATGACTTTGATGTCGATCGAAACTACGCTCACGCTATGGCGCCTGGAGCTCTGTACTCGCTTACAAACGAGTCCCCGGAAACTCTTGCTCGAGTATGGCATGACCTATTGCAGGAATACACGTCGCGGGATCTCACCTTCGAATCCGATCGCCTGGTAGCCTTTGCCGGGATCGCGGCTTTATATCAAAGCTTTGCAAAGCTCCCTCCTGGCTCATACCTGGCAGGAATATGGCGCCAAGTCATCCCACAGGATCTTTTATGGTCTGTTACTGACGGGAGAAAAGTTTTGCCACCGCAACTTTATCGTGGTCCTTCATGGTCCTGGGCTTCAGTTGAGCCAGCACCGAACTGGAATGGGAAGTTTTCAGTCAGCATGAGAGACATAAATGTCAACCTCCTACCGAAGGAAGAGCCATGGGTTGCTGTGGGTACTGTCCTGGAGGCATCAGTCGAGGCTGTAAGCTCTGAGTTTGGCCCCGTGTCTGGGGGCCACTTGGTATTTCATGGGCCATTGATCAAAGCCCGCCTCGGCCTGGTGCTGATAGACCTTTCGAATCGTCTCACTGCAGAACAAGCTGCTGAGTTTGTGCCAGGTGGCAAATTGCAGTACATGCGAAATTACGTATCGTTGCCAGATCGCACAGGTGCTGCGGCAGAAGCACGCGCCGAGATGCAAATGACAATGGCTCATTTAGACGCTGCTCTTTCGGTGGTGTCTGATGAGGAAATCGACGTCTACCTGGCTGTCATCTATTGTCGAATTGGCCTCAATGGACATCCAAACGCTCATACGTTGGTTCTCGTTAGGGGGCCAGAAAGGGGAGAGTATCGTAGAATTGGATACGTTTCGCTGACAGAGGATGTTATGAACCCATGGAAAGAGACTAGGGATTTTGGTGTTTTCGACGCTCTTACGGATGAGAACGGGTATCTCAGCGTTGGAGATCGGCCCGGTTATTACAACTACCGCATCGTCTAGAGTTTGAGTTCCCTGATGTTCTGTATGTCAATGCGTATTGTGTGGAACTGTTACAAATGGTGGATAATGCACGTCATGACTTGATATTATGGAGTTGTGAACTCATGGTGGGACCTCACCAAATAGAAAATGACGATATCTTCAATTTTTCCAATCGCGATTCTATCTTTTTCTCCCAAAGACACGTAACATACATTGAAGGCATCGTATAAACATCTTGGCAATCGCTTGGCAATCGGCTGATAAATTGAGGCTTTACATATTAAGTTTCGATATGATCGAGACACGGACTCCGGTTGGTTGGTGATGATGACCCATCAGCAAGTCGCTGCCGTAATCAGTGAACCGCAAACAGTGGATCGAATGTCAAACACTTACATAGACTTGATCTCGACCATGTTTTTCGAATAATAATTTTCACTGAATCTATTGCCTTCCTTCCATTTTCATGACTCTTTAGCCACAATCCTGGCTCAAAATGTCCTTCTCGATTGAAGGAGATGGTCGTCTTGACCTTAAACAGCGCGTCCAGGATATAGATAACGACAACTGGAAAGAAGGCCACACTCGAGTCGCCGGCCAAAAACGCTTCAAGTCTTCGCAAAAAGTCAGCTTAAAAGAGCGCATTAAGCATTTGACCTGGGCTTGGTCAACTTTTGTTATGAGCACGGGTGGTGTCGCGTTGTTACTGCATTCTACGCCACACAAGTTTCGAGGGCTGGAGGTTATCGGGAAGATCTACTATATTCTGACAATAGTACTATTCCTATGTCTCGTCTCAGGTCTTGTTTTACGATTTACAACCACACCGGATGCACTGAAGAAGAGTTTGATGCACCCGACTGAGAGTCTCTTCTTTCCATGCTTTCTGCTCAGCATTGCGACTATTATATCGAATGCAGGTGCTTATGGTGTTCCTTCGGCAGGGCCCTGGTTGGCTGATGCGCTAAGGGTGTGTTTCTGGATCTATGCTGGTGTCACCATCTTATCGGCTATAGTCCAGTACTTTGTCCTCTTTACTGGAGCTCATCTTCCTATTCATTCCATGACACCCGCTTGGATTTTGCCCATCTTCCCAATTATGCTTACCGGAACCCTTGCGTCATCTCTCATGTCTACGCAAAGTTTGGAACATCGAATGTCGATGCTGGTGGCTGGCGTGACTTTCCAGGGCCTCGGATGGACTGTTGCATTCCTCATATACCCGTTGTACGTGGGTAGACTGATGCAAGATGGGTTACCAGCGCCAGCGATGCGACCTGGTATGTTTATTGCTGTCGGTCCGGCAGGATACACCTCCGTGGCCATCATTGGCATGTCTAGGGCACTTCCGGAAGGTTATGGCTATTTCGCGACGCATCCGATGGCACAAGATGTTCTTAGGATAATAGCGCTATGGCTTAGTATATGGATATGGTGTGTTGGGTTCTGGTTTTTTGGATTCGCCCTCCTTTCAGTACTGTCATCTGCGTTCAAGCGCAAGCTGCAGTTTAGCATGACTTGGTGGGCTCTTGTTTTCCCCAACATCGGTTTTACCCTTGCTACAGGAAACATTGGACAAGAGCTTGAGAGTGAAGGAATTCAGTGGGTTGCAAGCGTCATGACGGTAATGCTGGTTATTATGTGGTTCGTTGTGCTGTATGGAATGGTATCAGCAGTTGTTCGCAAGAAGCTTCTTTGGCCTGGGCGGGATGGGGATGAGTCCTAGGACTGCAAGTAACAAAAAAATAACAGATTGAAGGCATATTTCTACCCATAATAAATAATAATGACAATCTAGACAAACCCATCTCTTTTACCATGTCCCCCAATCCCCCTTTCTACCCGCGATAACTTGCAGACCGCAATTTGTACTAATCAAGGTCCTCTCTATCGTGCATGATCTCATCCAATTCCTTCTGGGTACAATCGGGCAAATGCTCTAAAGAGTCTAGGGGTACCCCTTCCAGTCCAGGGAAAGCCTTGTCGAAGATTTCGGGCCCAGGATTACAGGTGAGCGTAAATGGACCATACTTTTTCTCCGCAACGGTTCGATCGATAAAATTCCGAATCTTGTCGTGAGCAAGGCCCAAAACCGCATTCTTGGAAGCAAACTCCCTTGTGTTAAAGAGAATGGCAAAGTCGAAATCACCGTATGTCTCGACATAGGCGTAACCGCCTTCTATTCCTCCCCTGCGGTAGCCATCCTTGCGTTTACCAATTCTTGCAACGGCTGTAGATATATATGTTAGCTTTGTTTCGTAATGCGAAAGGTTATGTGGGTACTTACAGTGCCGTGCAGCAAACTTCATCACACTGGTAGCGCTTGCACGGAGAGAAAAGGCAGCGGCGGTTTCTTCCTTAATGGCACCGTCTCCTCCATATACTCCAGACACATACTCCCCCTTCCGGGGTATCTGGCATCGAGACCAATCTGCAAACCTTGCTGAACAACCTTATCCTTGAAGTGAACCTTTGAGTCAGTCTCGAACAGTGACACACCAAGGCCATCGAGGATGTGTTTCTTTAGGAAATCCACATAGGGCATCTCGGTAAGGTTCGCTACTACTGCGCCCAACAGTAGGGAGCCGTAGTGGGAGTGAACCATATGTTCGCCTGGGTTGTAATCGAGCCTCCTCTTAAGCTTGTATTCGATCAAGTCGTGAAGAGTGGCGGGTTCTGTGCCATTGTGCGGTAGTTGCAGTCCAACCTTGCCGAATTCGAAGGCGGCTTCTCCAGATTAATCTCGGTCGTAACCTGCTGTGTGATCAAGTAGATGCTGGATGGTGATGTCTTCTACTCGCTTGTCGAAGGCTTTGCGATAACCCAGAGGCTTGTAGACATGTGTGTCGTATGTAACTATTAATTGATCAACGCACCATTCGACGGCTACGTATAGAAACATTTTGCTGACACCTCCGAGGAGGAAAACATCATGTGGTTTCACGGTGCCGTAAGCTGATTCGGGATATGTGTAGCTTCGCTCGAGGAAGGCGTGGCCCCTCATTCCGATGGATATTTGGGCTTGTCGAATGCCGTTATGCTTTATGAAATCCTTCATGATTTTTTCCAACTCCTTTTTAGCCCTCTCGTTGTTCCTGAAGCCCGAAGTTTGCCCATGCGCCGCCCATACTCGAGACTGATATTTCGTGCGTTCAGCGAAGACGGCGTTGAACTGTGTCTTGCCGAAACCCGAGGCTCCTTGTATGTCGATTGGCATGAACCACTGATGGCCCTGTCTATCGATCTCCTTCGCCATCGCTGATTGATTGAGGCGAATTGCGGCTGACCAACCTCCCATGCTCATGTCAGCCATCAGGGGCGTAATAACACCATCGTCGGCCATAAAGAGCTTGGCAGGGTGTAGGAATTGTCGTGATACATGCGGGTAGTTGAATTCGGAGACGCAGGTCGAGTCTGGCATCAAGCCTGGCTCGGAATGTTCCAGTGCCCAACGCTTGTTGCCTCTGTTCTCGTGGATCAAAACACAATATCTTCTGTTGTCCAATTCTCCGTACATACGAAAGCTGACAACCCTGGAAATACCGTTGTCATCCTTACCTGCTATCCACTTGTCGAGGTCCTCGATATCGCACTTGTAAGCCCATTTGAGGCGGCGCTTGGGAAGTACCATAACGCCGTGGAATTCGGCTCTGTCTGCTGGCCCATTCGCGCCGAGGGTGGCCATCCGGAAGCCCTCCATCTCCCACTTTTTAACCCATTCGTCGAACGCTTTCAGGTTCAAACCCCATGCCATCTGCCAGGAATGGCCAGTTGTTCCGTCGTGGATCCAAGTTGTAGTGTATCGGGTCTCGCTTGGTTTCCGTAGCCACACAACGACGTAGGCCTGAAGCCACCCTCTCTTAGCTCTTTTGCACGCTTAGTATGTGAAGCTGCGTTGTTATCGATGTACCATGCTACAGTCGGACTAGAGGTCGTGGGCATCTCGTGGAGTGTTGGCAAGTCTTCGTCTTCTTGGGCATGAAGGAGTAGAGGCAAAAACGCCAAGAGGCATCCTAGTATTTTGAGTCTCATCTTGGTTCTATGTGATTGTAAGTATGAGTGTGTCTCTGATTTTGGATGCAGGTTGGAAAGAAGAACGGAACCTGGGCGCAAGCCATTCTATTTATTTGATTGTCCTGACAAACAGCAGAGTTTGGGAACGTGGCGACTGCGCATATTGCTTGAGAGGAGTATAAACATGACACAAAAGTTTATGTTGAATGTCTTCCATTCTCGTAAAGTTATTCGAATCGTCAGAGTGGATAAACCTGGATAAGCCTGTCGTTGCTTGTAAAACTGAAAGTTAGATTGATAAGCGTACGCACAAGGTTGCAGAAACTGATGCATACCGTCAATAATTCCAAAATTTCAAAAGCCATGGCGGACGAATGCATATTCTGGACTTCTAGGAAGGTTACTAGTAATGAAGGCATTATAGTCCTGCCTACAACAACCTTGACCTTCTAATATGACTACTAAATCACAGATGAGTTTAATCAATCGAACTTACTCGTTGGTTCGCCGGAAGGAGGGACCAACTAAGCAAGCTTAAAATACTTGTTTGAAACACAATTTGGTTGTTTCTTGAACGATGGAAACATTGTCCAAACTTTAACTTAATAACACTCCCTGTCTATATTCTAGTTATATCCCCTAGGTGATTTCATAATTATAGAAACTATCAGAAACCATTAAGTCTCGGCAATCTTTTCAAGAAGCTATCTTTCTGGTACCCTACTGTGTTGTTTAATTTCCTTCAATATCTAAAATCAACTTGGTCAATTTAACACCAAGAATTGATACCTTCACTCACCACTACTATCAGTGGGAGCGAGACATAGCGATACGTGTTGGTAAGTATCAGTGCCTGTCAGATTATGTCGTGATTGAAGAAACTAAGCGAAGGTGTTGCACAATGCGTTGTGTCTATGTGACTTCCCACTGAGTACAATTCTCCGATTTGTTGGTAGTACTGCATGTTTGCTGTGATGCAAGTGATCAAATCAGATAATGTCAAGAGATTGAGGCTGTATCTTTGAGGAAACACATTCCATGGTATTCATCGACCAGCAGGCAACTTGAGCTTGTCGTGAAGTTGCTAGTTGTGAGGTTGTTAAGTTACCCTGTGTTTTGCCGATCTTGATCTGCTGCGATAGGTAGGCTATAGCTTTCGAATCTAAGCTTGAACAAGTTAGCGGTCCCTCTTTGCCCCATCTGTGCGGTCGCGCCGTCTGTGACGATCTCGCCCTGATTGTGCATGGTTAGGGCAACTGCATTTTATCACGTTACAGTGGTCAGTTGACAATGCTTGTTTTGGTCTCATGTTTGCTTTGAAGGTTTGGAATGGCTATAAGTTCAGCTTTACGTATTGTAGTTGATGGATGGTTCAAACTTCAAACACATATATGTGGTCAATACAGACAGTCCCAGGTTAGGGGCACCGTAAGAGTGTCAGTAGGCTTCAAGCGTGGACAGCTCCAAGTGATACAAAGGACCAATAGCCTAATCAGTCGCATCTCAACTCCGATTCTAGATCGTTGCATCATCTGGTACAACTTCAACAAGGCTTGTGCTTCGTAGTAGACGCCGTGTAACCGCCAACTCAGATGGTATCTGACGATAAACGCCTTGTCAGACTGAAGCTGTATGCACCACTTACTGGATCTGTCTCAAGGAAGATGATGTTTTCGATAACCGAGCCAATCTTCTCTTTACACAATGACACTCCAATCTACCTGAATCATTTTACTCGGGTAGAGACATATTAGTCGACGTCAAGTAGAAAAGAAATGGTCGTGTGATTGATCACACAGTGTCAGATCTAGCTCTTCTATACTGATAGATGTGCTCTGTTAGTGGAGGTATGCGCTGCAAGGGACGGATAACAAGACCTGCAGCGGAAGGACCAACGATTTGTGCCCTGTAAGCGAGTCCACTGTGGATTGAGAAATGCACTGGGACTGGGGGAGCAAAGTGACCCTTGACCCGCTCCTGCAAAAAACCTGAGCTCAAAGCCCAACTCGTCAAAGCGTATCAAAACTCAACTCTCAAACTCGATTCGGCTCACTCTCTCCTTCACACATCACCACAACCCACGACCTTCTTCGAATCCTCTGATTTGAAGTTTTCCTCAGCAACCTCAGACAAATTCCACTTTACGGTATGTTTTCAATTTTGTTATGTTGTATTTCAACACCTTTCCTTCACCTACAACGCCCACCTCTGCTATTCTTGCACGGGCTTGCCTTTGAACTTTGCTCGCTTGAAAAAATCCTGGGAGAAAATTCCCATACCTGCCCGCCATTAGAAATCTCTGCACCCCGCCCCCGCCTACCACTTTCAGCTCTCAAGACCCATCTAGAGTGGATTCGAGAGCTTCTGTTACTCTGTGTGGACTTAGCAACAACAGCCACTGGTTTCAACAGTGAATCAGGTTTTCAACAACATTACAGCTTCAATTGCAAAAGCCAACAAACAGTGAATCGTATCCACAATGGCTCTTCGTTTGCTGCCTCGGGCTAGAAAAGTTGCCTTTTCTCAGTGGCATAAACAAGGCTCTCATTCTTCCCCTCTCTTCTCCGTCACCACTCGTCTGCCCCTCGTTTATCTCTTGCCTCAAACGGTGCTGGCGCCGGTTGACTGCACTAGCTCTTTCAGCACTTTTACAGCTTTAACTCGACCTTTGATTCCTCAACTAACTCCAAACCCTCAGAAACTCCTTCACACAACATCTCAATCTCTCAAAATGGATTCCTTCCAGCAGCAGCAGCAGCAGCAGCAGCAGCCCCGTGGCGCTTGCTACTCCTGTAAGTCAGATTCCTTACACCAGTCTCATATTGCACGCCAAATTGCCTTTACGGGTCGTCGCACTTGGTCTCGGTCTAAAGAAGTGGCGCACTATTTTGGAGCTCATAGAGCGACATTGGTGCTGTGGCTTGCCTTTGACTTCCTTTTGCACCGAACTGGTCTCGTGCCGTGACTTTGCGTTAGGGCAGTTTTGGCTTGGCATAGAGATGCGGACCCTCGGACTCGGCTGAGGTACCCATACCGCATCTCGCTATTCATTATCTTGACCTTAAGTCTGAATTTATGCTAATATTCCTCAGGCGGTTCCACCGCTCACCAGGTACGATGAGTGCCTCAGCTCATTTCTATTATATACTGACTATTATATCCAGGCCCGCGACTGCCCCACCAAGGGTCCCGCCAAGTGGTAAGTTATTTCGATTCTTAGAAGAACAACATGCTAATCAACCTCTCAGCTACAACTGTGGTGGTAAGCTACTCACTCTGACAATTGCTAGAATTCTCTGGACTAACATATCTGACTATAGGCGAGGGCCATATGAGTATGTTTCCGATTCCCACTTCAAGCAATAAGCGCTAACTCATTACAGGCCGTGACTGCACTGAGCCCATGAAGGACAACAAGTCCTGCTACAAGTGCGGCCAGCCCGGCCACATCTCCCGTGACTGCCCCATGAGCGGCGGTAGCGGCCAGGCCACTGAGTGCTACAAGGTTAGTTTACCATCGTCTCCTTATAGACTTTAACTAACAGATTCCAGTGTGGTGAGATCGGCCACATTGCCCGTAACTGCCAGAAGTCCTCTTACGGTAACAACTACGGTGGTGGTGGTTTCCAGCAGGGCGGTGCCGGCAAGACCTGCTACTCTTGCGGCGGTTTCGGCCACATGTCTCGTGAGTGTTTAGTGATTCTGAGTTGTTTGAATTTGACTGACTAAATATGCAGGCGAGTGTGTCAACGGCATGAAGTGCTACAACTGTGGCGAGTCTGGCCACTACTCCCGTGACTGCCCCAAGGAGTCCGCTGGTGGTGAGAAGATCTGCTACAAGTGCCAGCAGCCCGGACACGTCCAGTCTCAGTGCCCCGGCAACTAAAATGGTGGCTCGGTTTCTCAGTATAACCACTGAGGCGAGTAGGACGTGGCGACTTGTTGATACCCACGGACGATTATTTCCTTATTCTCTTACGGCATTTTTCACAAAAGTTCATTTCCTCACACGACTTTAATGATCATCACGGCAAGAATGGCAGCTCACAAAAACACAACGTGCGCAATCTTCGACAAAGGCTGGCGGCGCCCAGCCTTGATTGGAACATATCAGCATTGGATTTCGTCACCGACTGGACGAACGACTACGACCATACATACGACTCAGCTTTGAGAGAAAATGGTGACGAGTGGAGAGTGACGAGATCAAAAAGGTTATCTGGTGGCTTGTTAGTGGAGAGCCCAAGCTCAACAGAGCTAAGTGTGCTCCTTTGGTAGTCAAGTCGAGATGAAAAGTGTTGATCCCGACGTTGTGGAAACTTCAACCTGGTGTGAATGTGTGTGTGTTTGACTTTGCTCACTGCTACTCTGCATTGAACGCAAGCGGCTGGGCAGGTGTAGATCAATGACTAAGATCGAACCCCGGAAGATGAACGACCCTGCCTTACAAACAAGTCAAGCTATTACTGCCAGTAAAGATGTTATTCTTACCTAAAGAGGATAGCTGGAGGACAGCTTGGCTTGTCGACTGGTGGTAAACAACTGGCCAATCTTCAGGCTGAATGGTTCACGCATATGGAAGCATGGCCTAGCTACAGGCTCTGGAACTGAGTACAAGGCAACTGAGCGAGGTTGCTTCACGTTCACGAATCGAGTCAGCAATCAGCCCATGAAGGCCTCAAAATATCGTTCAGCTGCCTTTTGTCCCTGGTACCTGTTGCGGTTTCTGTTTATTTCTTCTTTCTTCTGTGGGAGAAGAAAGCCTTGGTGACTGGCTTGAAGAAAGAGACTTCTTTGCACACCCAAGTTCATGGTTTTGTTAAGAAAGTCTTGTTGCAAGCCTTTTTTTTGTCTGTATAACCTCGATGTCCCTGGGAGATATCGCTGCTACAACTAACCAACAGACGCACCTCGTGTATCGTTATCGACACAAAGACAAACCTATCTGAATCTCTTAGAAGGTAGATGACGTTACACAAACAACTACCGACGTCTCATTATTGACGGTCGATTTGAAATTCAAAGCTTAAAGGAAATTGCAGTATCAAAGCCTCGCGTTGAATTCAAGGAAGCAAAACGTTGCTAGAAACAAAACTGCAACTAAGATCTGACTTCTATGCTGCGTTAATATAGTTTACATATCCAAAGTTTGGAATCTTCGTATGCATGTGGTAAGTACATCAGCAGTTGGTATAGAACAGTTATAGACAACTTATCACTATCTACAATATATACCTAGGTATTAGTCTTGAACCTGAATACAAGTATAAAGCCTTTCACATCATACAGAGGGATTCAACATAAGATAAAGACACATAGACAACATAGAATATCAAATGAAATCCAAGTCAGCATGGCCGTTGAAAGGGATCCGGCAATGGTGGGAGGAATTTGGTTTATGACTCCATTGTCACGGGTGATTATGGCTTTTATGTTCTTCAAATCGTAGCAGTGACTAGCTAGCTGTACTTTACGTTTACTGTCTTGATCCTGTAGTGTGGTTGAATCCAGTAGTTTGCAAACCCCTGATGTTTGTGAGTGTTGACAACCACTTAAGCGCAGAACTCTTGTCAATTTATCCCTGGCATTCCAAACATCTCTGACATGGCACTCGACTATAAGACTAACACTTTATGACTTGAAAAGCCTTAAAATCCGTGTACTGGCCTTAATTATATGGCAAGGCAGTTTGATACGACCGACCAGGGAAGGGCTCCTAAAGATGTTTGAACGAGATGATGGACGACATCGACGTTGAATATTTGGTTATACGCCCATACAATCTAATAATCAGGTCGACTAGGAGTTACAAGTATGATGATGCAAAATTGTCGTATGATATAAGTAAATGACAGGTCACAGAACACAGCATTGGTTCAACTGGAGTTTCATTATGTTGAACATATTTGATAAACAAAAATAAATCGCTTTGTCGGATATTTCCAAAAAAGCACCTAAAACGATAACTACATATACAACCCAAGATAATCTTACAACTTGGCGTTGGGGAAGTTCCTCATAGCCTGTCTCACACCAAGATCTCCCAAGACCTCCTCGGCACCACCGAGAATGGCATCAAACTTGTAGGTTCTGTGGAACATCTCGATGAACTTGCCCATACCGGTCTGGGTGATTCCACGACCACCCCAGATTTGCACCGACTCGTCGGCGACCTCGTGAGCGGCACGGGTTGCGCTCATCTTGAGAAGGCCGATAGGACCGGCAAGGTGCTGTGCTTGCTGGCTGTAGGGCATGTGGCACATTTGATATGTGACGGTTTCGAGCCAGGACTGGTTGGCTTCGACGAGGGCGATCATCTTGGCAAGTCTAGGAAATGTTAGTATTGGGCTGTTATAGGTGACTTGGGGTTTCTCACTTTTGTCGGATGACGGGCTGGTCAATTAGCGACTTGCCAAATACTTGACGTTGGTTGGCCCACTTGAGACACTCCTCGACGATGCTTCTTGAAAGACGAAGACTTCCACCTGTTGAACGGTAAGTATTTGTTCGGTTATAGTTTGTAGGTGTATAGGCAACTTACAAACCATGGTCCAGCGCTCGTGGTTAAAGTTGCTGAGGATGACCTGGATACCCTTGTTCTCCTTGCCCAGCATGTTCTCAGCAGGGACCTTGACATTATCGAACGTCACAAAAGCTGTACCAGCAGTGGTAGAGTAAGAGGTCTTGATCTGCTTGGTCTCGACACCCTCACCGCGCTCGATAACGAAGACACTCAAGCCCTTGTCCGTACGAGCACCGGTAACGAAGTAATCACACCAGACACCGTTGGTGATCCACTTCTTAGTTCCGTTGATGATCTAGCAAACGTTAGCTCCACATGTTCAATCATTAGGGACAGTGTTTAACTTACGTAGTGCTTGCCGTCAGGAGTCTTCTCGGCAGTAGTGCGCAGTCCAGCGACATCCGAACCAGCAAAGGCCTCGGTAATGGCGAGACAGATCTTCTTCTTGCCGCTGAATACCTCGTCGGCAATCTTCTTCTTCCAGGCCTCGTCGCGGGCAAAGTTGAGAACAGCTGTCAAGCTGATGGTCATACCAGCCATGTTTCCGTCAGCGAAACCACGGGCCATGGCGCGTGCGAGCTCCTGCGACACGATCAAGTCGTGGAAGTAATCGAACTCCTCGCCCTTGACCGCGCCTCCCATGAGGTTGACTCCGTGAAGATGCTTTCCAGGTCCGAGACGCATGTGCAAGATACCCAACTCGCTCATGCGATCAATCATCTTCTGACTAATGTAGCGGCCTGTCGCCTCGCACTCTTGCGCCTCCTCGTACAGCTCGCTGTCAACAAACTCCCTGAGCTTGCGCCGCAGTTCCCTGTGGCTGTCCTTGTAGTAGGGGGATTTGAAAGGCTCAGCAAGCCATAGAGGCTCAGCATAGGGGACCTTGCTGAGGTCGCCAGGCTGTGGGGTGATGACTTGGGCCTTCTCGCCCTCAATGGTGCCAACGGCAAGGTCCTTGTACTTTGTGAGGACCTCGTGTCGGTGGAGGTTATAGAAGGCGGTGGTGGCATCTTGACCAGCGACTTGGCGCAGAACAGTCTCACCACCGGGATGAGCATCGACGAAGTCTGTTAAATCGTAGACTGTGCTGTCGATAATGCACCAGAGCGACTCGTCGGAGGTGTGCGAACGGACCTCCTCGCGGGAGAATGTGTCTGTGGGTGTGCTCATTTTGTGGTAGTATAGATATTTGGGTACAGAAGTGAAAGAAGAAGAGAAATAGTAGAAAACAAAAGTTAAAGAAAGAGCTGGCTTTTGGTATTGACAGACATATCCTTGACGATGATTACCCCGGATGAGACTGGCGCTGTACCTCGGCACCGACTAAGTGGGCCTTTCATGATGAAATACAAAGATTCCTATTGGTTTTAACGGCATCACTTCCATTTTGCGGGGGCGGGGCCGGACCAGTTTCATTTGCACATGATGGAGATTGTTCTTGAGCCGCTTTGTTCGATATTGTTAGTGGAATAGTTGTCAAAGAGCTACTACATGTACCTAGACCCTAGCAGGTAGTCCCATCCAGGCTTCAGTTTTATTGTTAGAGGACAAGTTTGTTTCTACACTCAAACTTCAACCTCTGGAGAGGGTTAAATTTGCAGTGAATGAATGCACGGTGTTGTGCATATGCTCATTCAAACTACCTGGTTGGTTATCGGCTTTTAGAGGAAGTTGTTGTGTCTCATTGTTACTCTGCTTCCTACTCTTACAGCCAACTTTAAATAGTGTGACAGGATGTTTCAGGGTAGCTCACTCTAGAGTGACTTATTTTCATCTTACAAGCTTCCTGAGGCTGACGAGTAGCCTCGACGGATTCAAGTTGACAACCAGATAGATAAAATGTCAAATTCTCAAGGAAACAAAATAACATCCTAATAATGCGGCAACAACCTAGCCTTGATTGTATGGCTCGACTCATCACCCTAGTCATGGACCCACGCGCTAGGTGCCGATAAAGAAACTGTTGATAACCTCAAAGAACCTTTTTCTTTAAGCAAAGCTCGTTTCTAAAGCCCATTACCTCGTCTATTTGAAGCTCTTCTGGGAGGCGTGCGACATTGCTTGTTTCTCTCTGTTCTACCGCACTTACAACCTGGGTTTATAGCACGGTACGTATCACTTTTTACTTAACCTGGCGAAACCCTATATTTTCTTATCTTTCACCTTGCCTCTGTCTTACATATAGCCTGGCTTGTGTTTGACTCGCAACCCGAGCCATTCTTTCCCAAGTCAACATCCTGCATGGTACATTGTTTTTCATGAGTGGCCCTTTGAGGGGTTTCTATAAGCAACGGTTATTGCCTTGAATCCATGTCCCCATGAGTGTCGATTCAAAGTCTTTATTGGTCAGGTTATTTGGACCTGCAGAAATAGGACAATAATGCATAATCCGCCTCACAATACTATGCGCCTATTGTTGACTTCTTTATCGGTCATGTTGCTCCAATCATGGGCCTCTAAGGTTGAGTTAAGGCTCAGGCTAAAGCAACAAGGCGTTCATGGCGGTCTTTCCCCTGCGCCCACTTTCTAAACGGCCTGCGCCGGTTGGTTCTGGGCTGGCCTGTTGTCATCCCTCGCTTGGTTGCTTTCCCCGTTATCTCGAGGTTTATAGACCGCTCAAGTTGTCGGAAGCATGCATCTGCCATGATTGGCCGGTTATTGCCTCCTTGAACTGGGGGCTAACACACGCCCAACTCCGTCCATCCATCCATCCAAGTGGTGGATATCTCCCTCGTGATCGTCGTCGTCACGATATCTACCCCATTTCGAGTTGTCATTTATTCTCCGGGAACTTTCCTAGCCAAAAGCCAATGTTTGCCTGCCGTGTCTTTGACATCCGGTGACCTCCCTGTCACAGCTTGAGGCTTATATCGGCCTTGCTACCGCGTAGTTGATCAACTCCTACCCCACCTATCATACCGAGTTATCTCAATAACCTCCTTTGCCTCCTACTGCTGGAAGTCCAGTTTATTCACTATTTTAACCACTTGTCAAATATTCACAGCCACACACGCTTTTTCTTTGTCAATATACTCTCACCGTTCCAATGGATGCTTACTCAATATGTTGCACTAGTCCTGCTGCTAGACACACTTCAAAGATATATCAGGACCTCTGGTCAACTCGTCCCCATACCCAAGCCGGCTTTAATCCAGATAATATATCAAAGAAGGTCACCACGATGAATGGCCTGAGGAGAATCGATCATACCTCAAAACCGCACATCGCTGTGGTTGGCGCTGGGCTTGCGGGACTTCGGTGCGCCGACGTTCTACTTCAGAATGGATTCCAGGTGACCATTATTGAAGCCCGCAACCGGGTTGGTGGGCGTCTGCACCAGGAAATTCTCCCTAATGGACATCTAGCTGATGTTGGACCAAACTGGATACATGGAACCGACGACAACCCCATGCTAGATCTAGCCAAACAGACAAATACTGCTGTCAGTGACTGGGACTCGACTTCGTGCGTATTTGGCGAGGATGGAGAGCTCTTTTCACTCAAGGATGGTGAGAAGTACTCCACCATGGTGTGGGATATCGTTCAGGAAGCCTTTAAGCATTCCAATAACTCCTCTCACGATATCGATTCCAAGCAGAGCCTCCATGACTTTTTTGTTCAAAAGGTAACCGAAAAGGTACCGAGTACCGAGGACGACCATGAGAGGAAACGAAACATTGTGATGCAAATATCTGAGATGTGGGGTGCCTTTATTGGAAGTCCCGTTTACCGGCAGAGTTTGAAGTTCTTCTGGCTCGAGGAGTGCATTGAAGGCGGTAAGTACAAATACTCGCAGGACAAGGCGTGACTGACTTTTGCTAGAAAACCTGTTTTGCGCTGGAACTTACAAAAAGGTTCTAGATGAAGTTGCAAGGCCTGCTCTCGAAGGTGCCGAGATCAAGTTCGAAACCAAGGTTAACAAGATATCGTACAGAACGAGTCCTGAGGAAAAGGCCAAGGTCAGAACACAGAGCGGCCAAGCACTCGAGTTTGATGAGATTGTCATGACTGCACCTCTTGGATGGTTAAAACGAAACCTCGATGCATTTGAACCTGCGCTGCCTGCTCGAATGACTAAGGCAATTGGGGCTATCGGTTATGGATGCCTTGAGAAGGTGTACATTAACTTCCCAAAGGCTTTTTGGCTTGGAGGTCAAGGCGATGATCGAAAGGCAGAGGGATTCGTACAATGGTTGTCTCCAAATTATGTTCCTGATCTGAATCCAAAGAGGTGGAACCAGGAGGTCGTGGAACTCGCAAGTCTTGGACCAGAAGTGTCACATCCTACGCTTCTCTTCTACACCTACGGCGAGCAATCACAGTACATCACCGGGGAGTTGTTCAAGATTTTGGATCCGAAGAAGAAGGATGAGTTTCTCCTCAACTTCTTCAAACCGTATTACTCACTATTGCCACACTACTCGGAGAGCGATCCTGACTGTCAACCTTCTGGCTTCATGGCCACTGACTGGCTTCGTGATGAGCTTTCTGGGTATGGAAGCTATAGCAACTTTCAAGTTGGTTTGGAAGAAGGCGATGTGGATATCCGGACAATGCGAGAGGGTTTACCGGATCATGGTTTGTGGCTGGCAGGCGAACACACGGCGCCGTTTGTTGGTCTTGGCACGGCGACCGGGGCGTATTGGAGCGGTGAGGCGGTTGGGAAACGTATAGCGGAGGCTTATGGACGAAACAAGTAAGAGATAGATATAGAGAAGCATGTTACAGTGTATCCTTGAAGTCGTGAAGAATGACGCACCAAGTAAGGACATATCCAGGATTTCAGTAATACTCGCGTGATAGTTGTAGACGGAAGCTGTCTCAGGTTATCGGGGTATCGGAAAGGAGATCGACGATGCAATTGTTTGGAGTCACTGCTGCTTTGACTCACCAGGTCACAGCAGCAGATAGAACATCAAACGAGGTGAACGGGTACTGTAGTATCCATGACGCGCCTAACACATGTGTACATTCTGATGGTGTTGCCAATGAGTTGAGTCGATTCATTGTACAGCAAGGGATGCGCGACTCGTATCACCCACTAAAAGCGCAATTCTTAGGTCAACTGACGCGCTTAGAGATTCATCTGCTTCTGTCCGTCGCTCGAAACTATCCTTGAAACCAAGTCACGAGCCTCATGCTCCTAGTGACTCTAGCGCCTGGGGTGCGATAACCAGGCGGCATGCTTTGGTTGGAGTTGACTCTAGTTGCAAGACAAAAGAATTTGGACACTTTATTCCTAACTAACCCCTGTCTTGGGCTGTTTATTTTATGCATCGATAGCTTCAACCCCTAGGCAGGCAGCCAGGGTCCAACGGGGGAGACTTCCCAGGCCCTTACCACCTATAACTTGCCTAAATTCGGCAGTAATCGTCCCCCCACTTGCCCGCGCGTTGCCGCCTCAGCCATCATCCTGCCCATGTCGTGACTGTGTGACGCTGTGACGGTGACCCGACTCTTTGGGAAGGATGCCTCGAACATCGATTAACTTTAGTTATCTTTTTCCTTTTCACACCAAACAACCTTAAGTTGTCAGTGATGCCTTGCAGCCACGCATTCACAGTCCAGGCCTCAACTTAAAATATTTTCCCAACATCAACTCTCATGTCCCTCTGTTTCTTCTAAACATGCCCTTCGGCCCCGCAGTTGGCCGGGGTTCTCAAGCTACCGACCGATAGATAGACACAAACGCGGACCTCTGCCTAGACAGCGACGATACTCATCAACGACTCGTATAATAGCCGACTGTTCTTTTATACTCGCCGTTCTCCTTATCCCCCTTTCCGGGCTGCGCAGGCAGTCATCGCCACCCATAACTCGATTCGCACGCATCCGACGACGGCATCATGGCAACCTTCTTTCAGTCGTTCCGGAGCTCCTCTATGCCCAAGAGGCTGCTCCGGTATGCTCTGTCCCGATTAGAACTTCTCGACGCCGATGCTCTGGAGATGGATAACCTAGATCTGGCAATAGGAAGGAACACGGTCTTTGAATTTCGTGATGTCGGGATTAAATTAAAGGTAGGTCTTGATAGCGACATATCATGGGAGACCATGATGGCTAATACTTTTCGTAGAAACTCAATAAGCTGCTCCAGCTCCCCGACACATTCAAGTTGAAAAAGGCAAAGGTCTTGTTGCTGCGAGTGACAATACCTATGGACTTTTACACAAGTCCTATAATAGTTGAAGTCGATGGCGTCGATATCGCCTTGCAAGTTATAGGTACCGAATCGAAACAGAGTCGTTCGTCAGGGACAAGAACACCGGAAGAAACCGTCGCTGTACCGAATACCGTAGATCTCGCGCAATCATTTCTCGAAACACAACCAAAGTCAGAGCGCCGGAAGCTTGAAGATGCGCTAGCAGCCGAAAGTCAGGACCTGGGTGCTTCGGTGTCGATGAGTGACGATGGAAGCGAAGATGACTTGGCATATGGGACGGGTCAAGCGCTCTCCCTACCAGCGTTCTTGGCCGACTTCCTCCAGGGTATTGTTGATCGCATGCAGGTTAGGATAAAGGGTGTCAACTTTCAACTCGATGTCGAGGTACTTGTCGAGCCAAGTTCTACTACGACTGAGATGGTGTCATTCCAGGTTGCGCTGGAGGGTATCGACGTTGAAGGCGTCACTACTCGATCTTATGACGACGCTGGATTCCCAACCATCGTACCCAAGGAAGGCAAACGACATGTCTCTTTATCGAACGTAAGGGCGTATCTCATTTCTGAAGCAAACGTCTTTTCCGCCCTAGCGAAATCTCCTTCAATCGCATCGCCATCTCTTGCTTCCTCCCCAGCCATGACACGAAATCCGCCATCACGCCAGGCAACGGAACTCTCACTAGCCAGTCTCCAGGACGAGTCTGTATCATCACCCCAGGCGAGCATCCGATCTAATGAGCCGGAATCGATGTCCCACTATAGTCTTCCTGACGACGATCCTATCATCTCTTCACAACATAGTATCGACCAACGGCTTGCGAGTTCTTTGCGACCAAGTCTCCAAGACGAGGATCTCCTGGATGGTTCACAACAAAGCCTTCAGGACGACTACTTTATGGATCAAGAGCCTGTAGAGCAGGATTATCCCTTGGGTGATAGTGAGAATGCACTTGGAATTCCATACGAGTTTTCGAGTCCCCAAGACGACAACGAAGATAGCCCAGCAACTCCCCGGGCTTCGATGTATCACGATTTCCACAACGCAGCTAATGACGAAACATTATTCCACTCGATCTTGCTTCCTGAACATGGTTCCCAATCGAGCGCTTTAGAAAACGAGAGACCAATGTGGGCGACCCCAGAACGAGAGGCTCGATCTGCTCCCAATCTTGAAACCCCGACAACGCAAGTCACCATGGAAGCATCCAACTCAAGTATACCAAACGAGCAGCTTAGTCGGACCTCATCGAGTGAGAGTTTTGGAATTGCGTCAACCGAAGAATTGGCACAGTCTCACATGTACACACACGAAGAGGCGGAAAGTATGTATATGAGCGCTTTCTCGCAAACCAACGCGCAATCAGCAACCATTCCGTCGCCTGTTAACTTGTCGCCTGTTGTTTCTCATGACAATTTAACATCACTCGAGCCCCAAGATGAGCCAGCTCCAGAGACGGAACAGTTGGTTGAGCCAGAAAAACCAGACTCGCCAGTCTTGGATGCCAGCGTCCCCGAACTAGCCCGGCCTCAGACTCCCGAACCGGAACCTGCAAGCCCTGAAGCACCAATTACCAAAACACCAAGTCCTAGAGCACCGAGTCCTAAAGCGGCAAGTCTCAAGGCATCGAGTCCCAGAGCACCAAGCCCTATCACAGAAGATGCGCCGCCCCCTGTGAAAGAAAATCGCAAACCCGATGGTTTCATTCCAGGTGCTTGGGATGACGAGTATGATGACCCAGAAGAAGAACATGTGGCATCGACGACTTTGAGACGATCAGCATATCGCAGCACACATTTGCCTGATCCGGCGGATAATTCTGATAGTGAATCTTCTGAGCCTGCTTTTTCTAGGGCCTGTCTCACTGATATCAATCCAGAGAAATCAAGCTCCAAACAGCAAGAAGACGTTGCTACTCCAAAGGGTCCGACTCGCCTCGTGAAGGAACTCTTGAACCTAAAGACCATATCGATATATATCCCATCGCAACATAAGCACATACAAGTTCAACCCGCATCTCCAGAGTCCGTGGCCCAGCTATCGCAGTCTCTTGGTCAATCAGCCTATCCTCAAGCACCAGGTGCCTTCTCTGTACACGGAGCTGCCCATGCACAACAGCGCAGTAGCCAAAGCAGTTCAGATGTCGAAAGTACCCTGGAAGTCGATCTATCGCCAATTAATCTTCGTTTTGACGCCTCCCTTGGCTTTTTACTTGCTATGGTTCTTGGGAAGTTGCTTGACGCCGTCAAAGATAAGAAACCAACTCCAACAGAGGAGAGCAAGCAGGAGACACCTTCGAAAGAGCCACCTAACGTCAAGGTAACATTTGAAGAGATCAAGCTCGACTTTGTTAATCGTTTGGGCGGAATCTCGGACACTCCTGAACGATACTTGGATCCTTCCGCGTTCATATTTGACCAGGAAGTTCTCCTCAACGCAACCTTGCAAAACTTATCTATCTCCATCTCCCAGACGGAAGTATCAACGGCTCCTGTTACCAAGGGAAGGTTGAAGACACAGCCAGCTGTTCTGACCAGGATAGATTTACAAAAGTTCCGATTCGGCTATGCGAATGGCGATATCATCTCCTTCGATAGTGGCAAGCCTATGAGCACATCTGTTAGGGACACCTTCCTTGCCGATGGGACCGACATTGGTGTCAAGATTCTTCAATCAGGCGGCAATACCAAAACAGATGTACAGACATTACCTCTTGTTTTCCAGCTTGATCTACGACGACTCGACGAGACCTTTAGTTGGTTTGGTGGTTTAAGCAGTTTCCTTAACATGAGTGCTTCGATCGCCTCAAGTCCTGCCCCAACACCAAAACCGGTCACTGTTGCACATAAACCCCGAGGAGTTCGATTTGACACTCCAGTCGACCCAGACGACAAATCCGCGGCATCAGAGAACAAGATCAATCTGCGTATTGGAGGCTCGTGGGTGGAACTCATTGGAAAAGACTGCAGCATGATCGCCGAAACAAGTGCTATCAAGCTCATAAGTCGAGACGAAGTCATTGGCGTGGCTTGTAGTATGATACGGGTATCTGGACCTCACCTGAAGAACTCGACGGCCGAACCCCCTATCAATGCCGAAATTGGTGGTGTTCGGGTGGAGTTCTTGACAACTCCCAAAAACAGCGATCTTGAAAAACTCCTCGAGCTGATTATACCTTCGAAACATCAGTTTGATGGGGAGAACGACGAGATTATGGTAGACACCCTCCTACGCCAGCGAAGAAACGGCTCGGTTTTGAGGGTTAACGTGGACACAGTCAGTGTTCGAGTGCAAAATATGCCGCTGCTTTCCGTTTTGCCCAATCTTGGCGAAGAGGTCGCAAAGCTTTCTACTGTTGCCAAGTATCTACCTGAGGACGACCGCCCTGGCTTGTTGACCTTGGCCAAAGTTAAAAAGGTCGCCTTGAGCCTGGACTTTGGTGGCAAGTTAGGCCATCTGGGTACTGACATACAAGATCTCCATATCAGTCACATTTCTATCCCCTCACTCGTTGCTATCGCTTTGCACGGCATTTCGCTACAAAGGAATAGGTCGGAAGAACTGGTCAGCACGTCTCCATACGGCGCCAAGGACATTTCACTTCGTAGCCCGGTCTTGATGGCACGAATGATTGGTGATGAGATCGAACCAGTTATCAAGTTGAAGATGCAAGATCTATGTATTGAGTACCGTGTACCCACCATCATGGACCTACTTGAGCTTGGAGAAGATGCAACTCCACAAGACTTTGAAGCCAGTCTTGCTGCTTCGGTGGCAAATCTTGGCGATCAAGCGCACCATGCCTTGGCCGGCTCCCCTGGATCTCCTGGAGGCAAAACCAAGAGCGGGAAACCTATGACTCTAGACATTGGGTTCCGAGATTGCCTTTTGGGACTCAACCCGCTGGGTCAGCCCTCAAAAATGGTGATTGCGCTTACAGATGCCCATCTCGTGGCTCTGTTGCCCGAGGATGTCGAGACAAATGCTGTCTTTACCATTAACAAGTCATCCATTCTTCTCATCAACGATGTTGCTGAAATTAAGACGAACGAACTGTCTGCCACCCAGCGTCCTCGAGCCGCGTCTTCGACATCTCGCCAGGTAGCAGACATGTGTACCAGAGGATATGTTGATATTTGCTACATCTCCTCTGCCAAGGTTACCGTTGATGTCAAGGAACTCGAGGATGGAGAAAAACAACTCGTTGTTGAGCTGAAAGATGACCTGCTTGTTTTGGAAACTTGCGCGGATTCAATGCAGACTCTGATTTCATTGGCAAATGCCCTGAAGCCTCCAACCCCACCAAGTAAGGAGAATAAGTATCTGACGGACGTAGTGCCTATGCAGGATCTGCTTGCTTCAATATCTGCTGAGGCCTTTGGTAGGCCCGAAGGCGAGTACGATTTTGATCAAGACTTTGCTGGTGCCCAAGAGATGGCTGGCAGTGGCTCAGAAGCCGACTACAACACGGACAGCCCGTTGCAAGTACAGTCTCGGTATTACGATGAACCTGTCGCCGAGGAGCTTTTTGACGCAACAAGCAGCTCCATAATCTCTCGTGGATCTCACCGTTCTGGTGGCCCTCTGATGGAAGACACCAACGAGGGTGTTTTACTGACAGGCTTCGAACCGACTAGCCAACAGAGTATAGACTCTGACGATTTGGTCATTCACGACGATTACTATGGTTCGGGGGTGTCAAAAGATAGCAAGGCCAAGGTTTGGAACTCGAAGAAGAACAGCTATGATGGAGCACCAAGCGATTTAGTCAGGCGAAGCATTTTGAAAGTCAAGGTGCGAGACGTACATGTCATATGGAACCTCTTTGACGGCTACGACTGGGTTCATACTCGAGATGTCATAACAAAGGCAGTCCAAGATGTTGAAGCCAAGGCTTATGAACGACAAGCCCGAGCCGGTCAGGTCCATGTGTATGAGGAAGAATTGGAAGATGAAGAGGCCATCGGAGACTTTCTCTTCAACTCGATTTACATAGGGATCCCAGCTAACCGCGATCCTCAAGAGCTATCTCGCGCCATCAATGAAGGGTTCAATGACAACGCAACCGAAACCGAGTCTGTTGCTACCACAGCCTTTACTTCAGCGACCAACAGAACGGCACGCGCTCGTCCTCGATCAAAGCGACTCAAACTGAAGCGCAGCAAGCACCACAAGATTACCTTTGAGTTGCAAGGTGTCGACGCGGACTTGTTCGTTTTCCCACCCAACTCGGGCGAAACACTCAACAGCATTGATATTCGCATCAAGAATCTTGATGTCTTTGATCATGTCCCAACCTCAACATGGAAGAAATTCGCGACGTATGACCAAGATATGGGCGAGCGAGAGATGGGCACAAGCATGGTACACCTCGAAATGCTCAATGTTAAGCCCCAACCATCCCTCGAGGCGTCCGAGATTGTGCTGCGGGCAACAATTCTGCCTTTGAGGCTCCACGTTGACCAGGATGCTCTTGACTTTATTACACGATTCTTCGAGTTCAAGGACGACCAAGTACCTGTTCACACGTCCAAGAGCGACGTGCCATTCCTTCAGAGAGCCGAAATCAACAACATATCGGTCAAGCTGGATTTCAAGCCGAAACGAGTCGACTATGCTGGACTTCGGTCCGGACATACCACCGAGTTTATGAACTTTATCGTCCTGGAAGAGGCAAGAATGGTCCTTCGCCATGTGATCATCTACGGCATCTCTGGATTCGAAAAGCTTGGCATAACTCTTAACGATATTTGGACGCCCGATGTCAAGGCAAATCAACTTCCTGGCATTCTAGCTGGTCTTGCACCTGTGCGGTCACTCGTCAACGTGGGCAGTGGCTTCAAAGATCTTGTCGAAGTACCTATTCGCGAATACAAGAAGGATGGACGTGTCATTCGCAGCATTTCCAAGGGTGCCACTGCCTTTGCTCGCACTACAGGTACCGAGCTGGTGAAGTTAGGTGCCAAACTTGCTGTCGGCACACAATACGCGCTGCAGGGTGCAGAAGGCATGCTTTCCGGCCCCCAACAAGTGTATGAAGGATGGGATGAGGATGATGTAGATCCTGACGAGCAGAGACAAATTTCTCTATATGCAGATCAACCTACTGGGGTGATTTCGGGTATTAGAGGTGGTTACCGCTCCCTCGCTAGAGACGTGAATCTCGTTCGGGATGCCATCATTGCTGTTCCTGGCGAGGTCATGGAAAGTTCTTCAGCGTCTGGCGCCGCGAAGGCTGTTTTGAAACGTGCCCCAACTATCATCTTCCGACCTGCTGTTGGTGTTACAAGAGCAATCGGACAAACACTGATGGGCGCGACGAATTCGATTGATCCAAATAACAGGCGCCGAATTGAGGAGGTAAGTCATTTTTTCCGCCCCAAACGAACCTTGCTAACAGTTACTAGAAATACAAACGGTACTGAGTTATCTGTGAATATGACTGGATGGGCAGGCAAGATTACGAAAAACATTTTATGGCGTATTGGTGTTGAGACATTGATCTCGAACGTCATCGGCGTCTCTGGCCTCGTGTCTCTTTGTCCTTTGTCCCAATGTTACTTTATGAATGAATATTTAGCGGAAAGTTTGTTGTTTTCGAGGTAGAACCATGTTTCTATCCATGTCATCTATGATAGACCGGCAAAAACCGAACATGCATGCAGAATGCACAAGATAGACCTGGGAAAGGCAGAAACGCGTTGGACATTTTCTCTCAGTTTGGAGTTGGATTTTCTTATGGTGTGGTTTGCGTTGAGTGGATTTGGGTTACGTGGTAATCGTTCTTCATATAGATACCGTCACAGAATGGAAGTTGTCACTTAAGTTACTGTATATTCTAGTTTATGGACGTGCACTATCCGATTGCTCATTTATCATCCGGATCAAAGTCTATGTTCTTAAAACCCATCATCAGGGATGCCCTTCTCCTTTTCCGCCTCTTTCCTTGCCCGGTTTACATCGATCCACCACTTGTGACTCTCATCCTTGCCCGTCCACTCGCCTTTCTCATTAATCTCATCCCAAGGCTTTGGGCTTAAGATGTAGTGAATGTTCTTGACGCTCTCATCTTTCCAGATAGCATCATGCACACCTTCCCAACGCAGCGTCTTAAGCGCGTTGTAGATATACGGTAGCGGTACCCAACGCTCGCGGTACAAATCTGAGAGAAGCGACTGATCCGCAAAATCCATGTTGACTGCATCTGCCTCCATATGTGCGACTATTTGCGCATAGAGTCCCTGAGAGGGGTTGACGACTTGCAGACCACCATTCATGAAACCCAATGGTCCCACCGATGGGTCCGCAGCTTCGGTCTGAGCGGCATCCGGCGTTGAGTGCTGCGATGTGAATGCGCAGTTCTGAGAAACCCAGTCCTTGGGATAATGAGGCTTCTTGAGGGGATTACAGACACACGCATGGCCAGCTGCAAAGACACGCTTGCTAATAGTCTTGTCACCCGTCTCTGCAATTGAAGGAGAGTCCAGCTCGAGATCCATCAGTTCGTCCATGTTGCGCAGAACAAGCATATCCGAGTCAAGCTGAACAACACGATCATACTCAGTCAGGGAGAACGGAGTAAGCTTACTCCAGCAGTCGTAAAAGCGTGGGTCGTTGGAGTAGTCCTTGCCCTTTGTCGGGAGTAGGTAAGGGATGTGCTGGGTGGGAATACCGCGAGCTCGCAATGCAGCATGGCCTTCAGGAGGGAATGAGTCCGTGTAAAGAGCAACAAGAGGATATTTAGATTTTGTCACGCGAAGTGAGTAGTCCAGAGTGAGAAGACCAGGCAAATAACTCAGATTTGTAATCAAAGTTGTCCAAACTAGAGATTCAATTGTTAAAGATGGGACGATATCAAGGGGATATAGTATTTACCTTTGGGAGAGTCGACAGCTCGTTCTCTGGGCTTAGAGTCGGTCATTTTCGTAAATTGGTGATATATACAAAGAGTTGTAGTTGAGTAAGAGTCGAAGTGTTATGGTGAGATGCGGATTTTAGCGGGGGAGGGGTAGTCAAGAGAAAGTCAACGAACAAGAAATCGTAAGCAACAAAGGCAACACGAGAAATGGCTTTCATATATATGCTATTGAGCGATATCTTGATGGATTCCACTTCCACCTAGAAGCTATAATTGTGAAACTCCCATTCTCATAAAAACGCATATCATGAGTCTTCGATATCCAAAATTGGGCGTGGTTCCTGAGGATTGCGGGTCATTTCAGGGTCCCAAATGACGCTATGGCGATCTTGCCTGTAGTTTCGATTGGAGAAGAATATGTACACTCACAGATCCTGCAAGTATTGTCCACAACATGGAACTTGCTTGTTTGTGAGAGAAGTAGGAAAGGCATGTGGCCTGTACGGTTTACTTGATGAAGTAAGTAGTTAAAGATTCCAGAGTATAGCACCCGCAAATGAAGCATGGCTACTGGGTACCAGGAGAAATGGCCTCCTAAGCTTTAGGGTATAAAAATAAGTAATCTAAGAAACATACTCTAAGGAGCATAAAGTGACCTATTAATTTCGTCCCTTATGCTTCCAGCGGCCATTTTTTTCTGATACTGAGGCATGGCAATTGTGCTGCATCTTTCCTGTTAAGTGCAGTGCATGTGGTTGGAGTCTACTCCAGGGTACGATATGGTATCTTTAGCAGACGTTATTGGACAGAACCATAAAGGAACGTCTAAAATAGACTCGAAGGCTTGAGATATGCGAACCAAGCAATAGCCAAAACTTGGAGTACCATTCAAGCCGTCATGTCCTGCTTGAACCTCGGTTGTATTTCTATTTCATCGTGCATGAAATCATGTCACATGAACTTCAAAATTTGAAATGTTCAGTCCTCCGATTCGGACATGTCGTCCGTCATGTTGTTCATCCGGACTTCAACTACAGGGCCTTCGGCAGGAAGCCGAGGCTTGGGCCCCAATATTTATATGCCGAAATCAGGAATTGCCATATGACCGACAGGTATGATATGCATCCGATCGATACCTGTCATCGGCCTCAGGGTATCAGAAAGATTGGCCGTTGCAAGCATAAGGGACGAAATTTAGGCCAACTTATCGTCCTTAGTTCATACTTCAGGCTGTTTATTTTCGTAACCCAAATCATGGAGGCCAGCTCATCTGCTACCCACTAGACCGGCCAAGCTGCAGACTGCCTAGATCAGGCCCGCCAGTGAAGCTATGGTGATCCAAGTGAACCAGCCCACGAAAGTCAGGGCGACATGCATCATACCCTGCACGACTCTCCGATGTAGTCGAATCTAGATTCGTCAGAGTTTCAGTGAAATTATTTGTTGGTGACCAAGATTAAGAATACGGATACTGTATCTCATCTTGATCGGCCGTATTGGCCAACATGATATCGAAAGTTTCAAGATAAAGTATGTGTATCACACCAAACAATCTGCTGCGGCTTGATTGGCTGATCATGTCTCTACCCAGATGGTAATGCCTATTTATGTTGAGCTTCGTCATGCTGCCCTGGTATCAGCTCCTGACGAATTCATAATCGTGTATCTTGAGCGGGAGGGTATCCGATCGCCTCTGATTTTGGTCAAGCTTATGGCGGTGTCACAGCCATTTCGAACTAGAGACCCTAGCTCTTACGGTGAGGCCAAGGTGAGGGAGCTTTCAAGGCAGGTCCCGTTCAACAATTTTGTTGACCGGCGCCGCCGTAATTCCAACAATAGCAATTGCCCCTCCATCAGCCCCCTGAATCAGTCTTGTCTTGCCTCGCTTGAATTTGTATTTGGCTCAAGATTCCTTCTGGAATTTAGGTTATCGGTCCTGGGTTTGTAAGGGCAGCTCAACAATTTCGCACGCGCGCGAATCTTAATATTCGCACAGGCTAGGATATGCACAGGTCAGCCCAGGACCCGCGACCCAGATTGCCTGTGTTTGCTTCCTCAGTCTTGATACGATCGCTTCCAGATCTTTCTTCTGTAAGAGATACCTTGGATATTGAGCTTCTGATCTCGGAGTTTTTCCGTTTTTCTTCTGAGCCGAGGCATTCAGAAGCAGCGTCCGCAAGAAAGGAATCAAGTTATAGCCGGAGAGAAGCCAATCACGATGCGTAACCACGAGAAATGAATGTATGAACGGAGTCTGCATCATCTCCCCGGTCCAAAGGGGACAACCAAGTTGACGGGTTTCTAGAAGTGGACCAGGAGACGTTCGATTTTGGTTACCAGCCCTGGAGTGTCACGGGCCTCTCCCGTCTTCGGGTCTTGCTCACTGCCGTGCTGTCACTCATTACTGGCCATCACGCCGCTTTAAGCTACAAGCTCGGCGTGGGCCTGTACTAAGAAACAGCAAATTGAAAAAGGCGTCGACTGATTTTGTCAAAGTCTATATCGTGATACTGGCGCTCCAGGCATTGTGGCATAGTAACTGACGCGTAAGTAAAAGGGTGGCATTAACAAAGAATAATCTGGATCGTGGCTCTGACCGCCCTATCAATGCTCAAACAACAATTGGACAAAACTGATGGCAATCGAGCGACAGGTACGCTCCACGTGTGCTAGGTTCGTAGATTCATTCCCCTGCCGAGACTCGCCAGCAGGAGACCAGACCGCGCTGGGTTCTTGGTGGCAAGCAAGTGGTAAGGCGGCACTGATCTGACTCCAGTAGCACTGTTAAGACCCTTGTCTCACCAGCTGCAGTAGCTGTGTAGGTGAGCTCAACGAGTTCCACCCAGATGTATCTGATTGTAGGTCGTTTGAAGGATGGTACCATATCAATTCAGTCGGCAGTTTGTTGCAACACTTTTGACGCCACTGTTTTTCTGATGATACCGTTATCTCTGGTTACTGTAACGTATGAAACAATCTGAGCCAGTTGAGCACATAGTTGGTTTAGCATTGGCACCTCCCATCTCCTCATTGTCCACTTTAGCCTCATGTTCTTTCGGACATTGACGGCTCAAGCAACCTGTGGTTCGAGATCGATAGTTGAAGAGCAAGTTCAGAGCCATGAGTTTAGTGATGAGGAGCCCCATAATTGTCCCCTTTTCCAGCTTGGGGGTGGAACCTGGCTTCTCATTAAAAAATCTGGAGAAGCGAGCGAGACAAGAGGAATTTGATGAGCAGCAACGCAGTGATACCTTGAGAGCTGCGCGGCACTGTAGAGTGCAGTAGACACTGTAACCGGGGCTCCTAGCAGGGCTGTTTATTGGGCCCTCAACATACCGACTTTGTGCCATGGATGTCTGATGGTGTTGCTTTTGCATAGAGTAGCTTGGGTAAGTACCATGTACATGGGCGGCATTCGGTATCTCATCGCCGAGTCAGGGCTGCTGTTTCTACCCTTGATGAAGGTCTTGTTGCTTGTTTCATTGTTTGTTTGCAACAGAAAGCGAGAGAAACTATAATTGTCGTTCTGGCATGATGATGTTTCGTGTTCGACTGATCGTAGTGGATTAGATAATCGGATTGCGGAAGTTTGTTGATTGACACCGCCTTGATGAATTGGAAACGGCAGCTTCCTTGAGAGGGTGTGTATCAGTCGTGTTCTGTACCTCTCCACATTACGGGATCAACGATGGTGTAGCTAAATCAAGGTAAACTAACAGGGCGGGAGCTTCAAGCTGTGCCTGTACATACTGTACGTACTTGGTGACTCGGTGGAGGCTGTGAGTAACTCCTCAACCCCGTCCCTGCCTCCCAGTAGCTCATTCCAATCTCATCCCCATCCCCCAGATCACACGGACTCCCGGACAACTATCCGCGCCTGCCTCACTTCGACTCACCAAAACAGTAGGTACACCCCTGGGACAGCTATCATAGCTTGCGCCTTCCCCCTCCTCTAGGTAGCTTATCTCTCCCTCAATATAATACATAAACCCTCCTCCCCTCCCTCCATTGAGCCATCCATTTCCACTTGCGTCCGTCTACACTCCATAACGTCTCGTCGGCCCCTCTCACCTACATCGCCTGATCTTGTAAACTCGTCACCGCTACCCCCAACTTCTCTGCTCCTTACTACACAAAGTGTATAAGTAGCTAGACACCGCCGACTCTTTACCACATTCAACAATTACCAACCACAATCTCCATCACAATGCCTAGAATCACCGCTTCCGTTTCCAAGGTCACTCGCACTCTTGCCGAGTCGCATCGCCATGCCGGTGTCGCTCTCATGCCCAAATATGCCGAGCTCCTTGGATCTTCGTCTGAGCAGTCCCAGCACTCTGAGGTGAGTTTCGCAATACTTTTCAATCATTCCAACTAGTACTAACAATTTATTCAGGCTCGTGGTCTCAAGACTACCCACCGTCCCACTCCTCAGCCATCCATCGCTGGTCGCACACGGCCTCTGATGCAGTCCTTCAGCTCTTCTGCATCTTCTCGTGCGCCTGTCAACCACGTTGACACCATGGTGTTGCCCAAGATTTACAGCACTCCCAGCTTCAACGAGCCTCTTCCTCGTATGCCACTTCTTCCCGATAACTACGGCTCTTACCACAACTCTATGTCTGATGCCACCGACTTGACAAGTAACCGACCTGTCATCTTCGCTATCAACCCTGACATTGTCGTTCCCGGTGCTCCCATGGCCAACATGGATGCTACCAACATGGACAGCATCGACGTCAAATTCGTCCACGACCAGCCCCAGATCTCCACTGCTGCCGCCGCCGAGGAGTACAACCCTGAGCAAAGCACATTTATGCGCGACATGTATCGCAGTATGAAGGATGACCTTCTTAGCGTTGCTCCTCAGCTCAGGAAAAACTAAGAGTTCCGATAAAAGCGCAGAAAGAAAGAGCGGGAGTTTTACTGTACCAGCCTCGACAAAGAGAGCTGCAGATCTAGCGTTGTAATTGGTTTTCGCGGTACGGGGTGCGATCGCATCAACTAATGGCCCTTTATAAAAGTGGCTTGACATGGCTCGAAGCCATTTTTACACTACGATACACAATGATCAAATGAAAGCCCAAGTGGCAGACTCAATAAATACAAGTCCTTTGTTATTACAATGCCGTTCAGTGAATTATAACCTGACAGTTTCCATTTTTATAGACTATCATCCACCGGCTTGAAGTACAATACAAACTTGGCCACAATCAACCTCAAAACAAAGATGCGCTTCACTGGGCCCTTGACATGATTCAAATCGAACAATATTCCTATTCCAGTTTCATCCCGCTATTCGTAAAATAAACTACTTAGATGACCCAAGGACGTAAACCACGATTAATTGATGTGTGGATAGGTGTAGATGTTTTTGTCTATGGTATCATCTCTCGTGAAACACCACTACCTATGTTTACTCCTTGGTTCAGACCCGACTTGCTCTCGTTTTGAATTATTTCAATCTTCCGAGTCTTTGTCAATGACGCAAGTACATAACATAATCGCAAAACGCAGCCAAGTATTAATCACCATCCAAACCCTCCCCTACTGAATCCCATCGATGCTAGTCCTTTCGTTTATCGCTTCTTGGCGGATGGCCTGGGCTTGCATTCATCGCCACTGACGGCGTGCAGCATGACCTTGTTGGGATAGGTTTGAGTGTTGTGCTGGTAACCCTTGGCCCAGTCGTATCCAACGGCGTAGGCAAAGATGCTACCGTTCTTGTTGAAGGCAGTAGAGGTGATGCTGCCTCCGACGTTGGGGTAACCTTTAAGACGATGCTTGGCATCCTTATCCCAGAAGTGGAATGTTCCATCGGAACCGGCAGTGCTGAATGTACCGTGGACGGGGTGGAATGAGATGGCGTTGACGGCGTGGACGTTGGTGACGCCGTTGGCTGGGGGGTCGCGGTGGCACTTGAAGGAAAAGTTGGAGCTGCGACATGTTAGTTCAGGTCCTCGAGTTGTGGTCTGAAGCTTGCTTACCTAGAATTCTTGTCCTCGACGTACTGAATAGCGCAACGTCCCTCGATACTACCGATAGCGAATCCAGCAGAGTCAGTAAAGCAGCTAACAACCCGAGTCTGCCACTTCAACGGACTCTGTAGAGTCTTGTAGATTTTAGTAGGATTCTTGAGGTCGATGACGTTGATGTAGCGATCGGCTGTGCCGACAACACACAGATTGTCGCGAACGTCCATCGTATAGACTCTTTCTTGACATTGTACTGTGGCGGCGGGCCCCTGCTGTCGAAGATCCCAGTATTTCACTGTCTTGTCCCATGATCCTGAGACAACCATGGGGCCGCTGCCGCTGTCGAAGAATCGAGCTGTTCGTACAGGCTGGTCGTGTGTGCCTACAACGATGTCCTGCTGGGAGCTGAGATCGCAGACCTTGACGTTCTTGTCGGCGCCTGCAGAGACGATCTTTGTTCCATCCTAGAGTCCGGGTTAGCGATCCCGCTGTCGCGTCGGCAGCTTGTTTTCGTACCTTGGAAAAGTCACAGCTCAACACAGGCTGATCGTGACCGTAGGCGTGTCGGCCCTGGCTCTGGCCGTTGCCGGCAATTTCGTAGATGCGAACCTTGTTGTCCCAACTGGAGATGGCGAGAAAGTCGGGACCGTTTGGCGCAGGAGAGAAAGAGAGGCCGGAGATGGTGTCGGTGGGAGGGTCGGAAAGCGCAACATCTTGCTTGAGGTCGCCGATGCTCGTCGCCGTTGTGGCCGCGGCGCTGCCAAAGAGGCCCGACATGGTTGTATATTGATATGCGTGGTAGAAGGAAAACCGGTCGGTGGCTCTTTTTTGTGTTTTTGCTCCTTTAGTAAGTGCAGCTGTAGAAACTCAAAAAGAGTCGATGACTCAGAAGTAGAGGCTATTCAAATTGATCGTACAGAAACTCAAATTTTCCGAATTAGATGAGAGTTGTCTGTCTACAACGTCGAAGCTGGATGCGCCGCGAGCTTTGTATAGAAGACAATAGGTAAACAGGCACGAAGGCAGCGACCCAGCCTTCTCAACGCGAGGTCCGTATTGGCTGAACCGCGACTGGGAAAAAAAAGGCAGCTACAGCCACACCTCCAAGCTTGGATCACTAGCGCCACACCTCAGCCCCATCTTTGACATAAAAATTCAAATCGCAGCTCGATTTCTTTTTTCTTTTCTCTTCCTTTCTTCATCCGCGCCCCTCGCTCAATAGATCGCTATTCGAAGCTCACAAACAGAGACACTGCGATTTATCGCAGCGTCTCGATCACTCTATGGCTTTGGGAGAAAGTCCCCGGACGTCTTGGTTTCGACCAAGTTTGCGGAAACGCGCCGCCATAGAAGCACTGCGGCTTACCTCTGCGCCCAGGCCCTCGCCCTGCGCTGGCCCTGTCCTCCGCTACATTTACTTTTCAACAGCCTTTGTCTCACGGTCTTCGCCGCCCTCGGTCCTCTTGGATGAAGATATGAGTCCGCTGTCGAGGTGTTGGTGAGTTCTGGACAGACTTGGTTGTCTGGCAGGTGGATGGTGGGCAGACGCTCAGTGCTCGTGTGTGTGGCATCGGGTCGCTTTGGATTTGTTGTCGAGATTGACAGGTATGCGATTGCCCGGCGAAAGCTGGGTTACTCAATGGGGCTCATTCTTGATGCGAGGGGCCGGTATCCCGTTGACCCTTGGGTGACGGTCTTGTTCCATTTTTTTACCCTCTAAACTTCGCTGGAAGTTCTCACGGGACAAAGACCTGAGCCCGGGACGAGATGGGTTGAAGTTTTTATGATGATGACCAATATAGAGTCAAGCACTGAGTCAGAAAATCTGGCGTTGTAGACCACCAAACTATGTCAACTGAAAAACTTCAACCTTCTTGTTTTTGGGTATAGATAGCTAGACAAACTGCTCGTGATTGTGTGCATTTGGCGATGAGTTTTCGTGATTGTAAGACCCATTGCTTAATGCGTTTCAAGTACATTCCATGATGTCACCATACGTCTCAGCTTTCATGGACAGCATTCAAACTGCCTTTCTGAATCTTCATTTGCCCTGAATGCTCTGCTTGAGGCTCTCCCACTTGTCTCCGGACCTAGGCGTATTGTTTCCGTGCCCGCTGGGACGCCCCCACGACATAGTACCAAGATACGAACAGCATCTACCCTACATGCTTCTTGAATTCACAGGCGGAAGGACGTAGCCATCAATGCCACAAGGATTCTTTACGCTAGGAGCATAAGAGATGAAAGTTTGGCATGTAAGTTTATGCTACTTAGGCCATGAATTTATGATATTTAGGCTTTCTCATGCCTCGAAGTTGAGAGGATGCCGATTCACATCCTGAGTTCCCTGCCTTTTTGTTTTGAGTCGTGCGCTGCTCATCGGAATCCCTTTCCCCTTCAACACCACAGACAGATACATGAAGTCTTTCCCCTTTCGCCCTTGCCAATCTTCTTCAATACATCCTTCCCAAGCTGGCAGAGATGCTGTTCTGGTTCTCGGATTGGCTAGTTACCAACTCATCGCGAGCAACGTGAGCGAACTCTCGCCGAGGTGATCTAGATACCGATAGTCCAGTGATCGCTGAGACCTGCGAGGATTTAAACAGGCCACTGCGCCCGTATAGCTAGATACCTGTTATTTCCGCACCTGTCCGTGGACCATGAACGCTGTCTTCGTAGACCACCTGAAGGCTCAGTTACAGGTGATCTCGCATAAGAGATCATTTTGTGACGTATAATAAGCACTGTTATGTAGGCGCTCGTGTCTCAAGCTGTACCGGAACTGCTTATCCAATTGTAACTGGGATTCCGTGGCCTCAGAGAAGGATTGGCCGCTGCAAGCATAAGGGATGAGATTAGCAGGCCAGTTTATGTTTTTTAGGCTATGCTTCTTAGACTACTACTTAATTTTGTACCCTAAGACTTAGGAGCGTCGCTCAGGTAGACACTCGCCAGATGTGTGACCGCGTTGTGCGCAATTGCCACAAAATCGTTTCGGACAAAAGGCGGCAGTGTGGCATTCTTCACCGCAAGACGCTCGTTCACATGTTTTCTCGGACATGTCGATGTCGGGGTCGTTGCATTCAGTAGTCGCATGGCCGTGTGTCTTGCAGTTCTTGCAAGATTCGATGCGCTTGTTGACTTTACGTTGCGCACTGTTGTCGTAGATTCAAGAGAGCGTCTGCCATGGTTGGCGAGAACGACGGGGAAAGCCATGGATCGGCTAAGTCCAAGGGTGTTGTGGAACTCTGCAGCAACAAAAGCGGGTGTGGGTGTGGTGGCCATGTCGTAGATGACAATGTCGTTCATCGCGCATCATCAATAGTCTTGAGCTTGATGCGATTGATATCGGCGGCATCTAGCTTGATTTTGCGGATCTTGTCCAACCTCTGCAACCAAAGTATCCTGAGGCCAGAGGCTCATCGTCCGAAGGATTGTCCCACTCTTCAAATTGGCCGTTGGAAACATAAGAAACTAAATTAGCAGGTCAGTTTATGACATTTAGATTAGACTTAGGCTATTTATTTTCGTACCACTATCAGCGACGCGCTGCAACAGAGGGTTTTGAGCGATATCGCCTGAATACCCATGTCTTAGGCGTAAAATGGGCGATGAGAATCAGTAGCGATGCTTCATCAAGAGTTGCTGCCTCATCAGCGATGACAAAGTCAGGCTGGAGTTTCGCGTAGACGAAGAGGGGTAATAACCGGAATTGTTACCACGACGCTGGAGAATTCTCTGATTGTATCGCGGTACAGAGTTTTGATCTGTTGTTTGAATAAGGCATACTGTTCCTCAGAAAGAACATCTCCGTTCCTGATGCGATCCACCGAGTCTTGTAAACACGGGTGACGTTCTTCATGGTTCAACAAGCTGTCAATGGCAAATTGGTGAAGAAACTTGTCGCGGTTTGCGTTCTTCGCAAGCTCAGCGGTAGCATAATTGTTGGTGATGTTGGCACAGTTCTTCGGACCCGAGACGCAGTGAATTCGTCTGCGAGATTGCCGACTTCGGTCTCTTATAGAGGCTTGAGGCTTGGCCGCGTCCAAAGTCGAACGCGCCTTCCCTTTGGAGGTAAAGACGCATGATATCAGGCACGCTCGTCTTTGTCAAGCATCTCTCAGTTCCTGGCACGGCGAATGGATTCGTTCATGAATTCAAAGCGCCTTGGATTCTGCGCCATGTGGCCGACGTCAAAGTGGTGCAAAGACTTGTCACGGTTCGCATTCTTTGCAAGCTTGGCGGCCGACTTGCAGTCGAGGATGTTGGTACAGATGGCGTCAAGGGACTGGGATGTGCGGAGTTCGAGTGCGATATTTTCGGCCTCCGTCTCTTCTTGGGGGGTTGGCTTGAATGAGTTTTCGGTAGATCGCAACTCCCCTTCCAAAGAGTGAAGATGCATGATATCAGGTACGCGTATTGAGTCACTGTCTTTCGAGAGACCCTAGTCCTGGAAAAAAGGTTTGACGTAGGTGTTGGCAGAAAGTCTCAGTTCCAACGTTGTTGTTCAGGATGTAGAGGACACGCGAACCTACCCAAGCTCACGACCCTATACTTATTTATATATTTTGGCCTCAGAGAGAACACCTGAGCTTTAGTTCATGGTCAGAAAATACAAATAAGCACAGGATTTTAACCTTGGGCGGGTTCGTGAGACCGTCGCCGAAGAGTGTCGGCCACACCAATGCCTCCATCAGATGCGCCTTCTCGAACTGGTGGGCAACTGTCAGCTCTAAGCTTTAGGATAAAAAAAATAAGTGACCTAATAGTATGGTCTAAAGAGAGTAAACTGACTTACTAATTTCGTCTCTTATGCCTCCAGCGGCCAACGCCTGATATCCCGAGGCCGGAGCCAGCGACACACGAAATAAGATGTAATCTGGCAAAGGATGCGATGCCCTTAAGGCAAGTCTTCATCGGTGGAGGAAGCTTGTTGAAGATGTCTTGCATGAACTCGGGACCAGCTCTATCGAAAGTGACGTTACCAACGCCAGGAGGCTCCTTCAGCAGGTTGGCACACGATGCCACTCTTGGATCAAAGTCTAAGAGGTATCGGTATGCTTTAAAGCTTTGGGAGAAGGGCGTCCCAGTGCTCCCGCCAAACTTGAAGATTAGTTAGACAAGCTGTAGCGAGACAAACTTGGCGGAAAACTTACCATCTTGGCTAGTTTGGTACCGAGTGGTACTGTACAAAAGCTGGTTTGTGCAAAGTTGGATGTGAAGTTGGAAGCCTGACAAAAATACAGGGCGCATGTGGGGTTAAATTGTTAGCTTTGTGGGAGCCCCTTTTTTGTGGGCTAGGGTCGCTGCCTCCCAGCTACTGTGTTTGCTTGCGGGTAGTTACATTGCCAGACCATGTTGGGGAAACAGTACGGCCTTGAATTCAATGAGCTCATAGAGCGCTGCCTAGGTCATAGAATTCTATGGGAATATTGTAAGGGCTATCGAGAAAGAGACATTCGACACTTGATGTATTGGTATCAGGAAAGTCGTACATTTCGTGGAATTCGAAGTTCTCCTCTTCTTTTGCTCCCCTTTTGAAAAAGTTCGCGAAGTAGGTTTTCCAGGCGTGAGATGATACCTCATGCCCTCAAATAGAGCGGTGATGTACATGCAGGATTGCGTATGTGCCAGTTTCAGTGTCGATGCCAATTCTGCTCTTTGTCCATCGACCCCCATGCTTGCTTAACTTTCTCACTGTGTATAAGTACCGCCTTGTTTTGGTATAGAATTCCATGCCGGTGTGTGAGAGGCCTCGACGTGATCACCCGATCTTCAGACCAAAGGGTAGAACGCTGCAGTTTGACCTCATGGAGGCGATATCATCGTCGATATCTCAGCTGTAATTTACGCCAGTTTGATTCAGGATGTTTGTCAATCATCACCTTTGAAAACGTGTCAAGTGAAGGAGGAAAAGTGCAGAAATCACAACAGGAGCCACTGGAACATATGCTGCGGAGGTGCAAAGATGAGGAAGAAATCCTCGAGTACAAGATACGCGCGGTGTTCACATTGAGAACAGCTTCACCCATGGTCGGTTATAACTTCATTGCAGCCTTTTCAATATGCAAATAGGTAGCGATGATGCTTTCACAAATATTCACGGCTTCAATAGATGGGTCAAGTTGTTGAAATTGATCCTGCTAACAGTTCCTGTTGATAGAATGAAAACAACCTCCGCCACCACTCCCGCCAAACCGGTCGCCCCTTTTGATGTTTGTTTGTCGTTTCCATTTTCCTTGCATGTTACGCATGCTCTTCGTGCTCATACTTCATCACCTCATTTCCTACTTCATAGCCAGCGATCAACCCATTGCAGACAGCGTTTAGAACCAGTCAATATGATCTTCGGCAACTTCATCCTCCTAGAAGTGGTCTTGGGTATGGTCGCCTGTGATAACCCATGCCTTGGGTGTGAAGTGTGCGATGATGTAATTTGTCGTTGCCTCAGTCATGTTAGAGGCATCATCGATGATAACAAGATCAGGCTGAAGTTCTTGCTGTAGCAGGGGAGAGGCGCAACCAGTATGAGTCGTTACCACAATACCAGAGAATTCATTCGCCAGATAGCCATCGTTTAGCATACGAGGCATGCGTATGATGTTTGGTAGAGGTTGTGATTCGTTGCCTTCCGAGAATCCCTAGTCTTGGAAGGTTTGAGTCAAACGTTGGTGGAATGTTTCGACGTGAGATTTGTTTTTCAAGATGTACAGAACTTTATGCTTTGGTGCATCTTTGATGCCGTTGCCAAACATTGCAAAAAGGATAAGTGTCTCCATGAGATATGTCTTGCCGGTTCCAGCGACACCTACAATAAAATGCAGTCTTGCGTAGGACTCGCTCATGTCCGTGAAACATTTCTTCATCCCTTTCGGCAGCTTATTGAAGATTTCTTGAATGAAGGCAGGTCCGGCGTTGTTGATAACAACATTGCCAACACTAGGAAGCTCTTCCAACAGGTTGACTTTCGATACAAGGCTTGTGTCGAAGTCCACAAGGTACCGAAGTGCTTCAGCGGAACTCTAAAACTAGTTAGAAAATACAGCGGAAAGCATCGTGAGGAGCTTACCATATTGTCTTAGTGGTGTTGTACCCTAGGTATGAAAGCTGGTTTGTGGAGTGCAAGGTTGGGTGTGAAGTGAAGGTTGACAAAAACACTGGGTGCGTGCGGGGTAGGATTTTGGTGGATATGTGTGCATTTATTTTTTGTGGGCTAGGACCGAGCTGAAATGGTTGCTGGGTCAGGTCAGTAAAAAATATTATTTGGCATATGAGCAGCGCTTACCAGACAATGGGGAAAGGGGGGAGATCAGAGATATTTCGATACAGCCTCGTCTTAGGCGTGAGGGAGGATAGTGGCGAGAAGAGATGTGGTGTTGTAAAGCTTGATAGGGTTTCCTACTAGTTAGTCATTAGGGGTGAGCAATGACAAGACCCTAACGATTATAGCCTCGCCTTAAGCTTGAAGGAGGATGGTAGCGGGGAGAGACGGGTAGGTAATGTAAGACCCGATCGCTTCTGTGATGCGGCAGCGACTCGGCCGTGAAAGGTGTGATAGCGAGAATAGAAGTGACGAGCCATCACAGATGGTGTTGAGAGGGGGTTGACAGGCGCAGGGTGCTTCAGAGTTGATGGCAAAAGACTGCGCCGTGGGAGCTTCGGCTGAGATGTCCACCCTAAGTTTGGTCTCCTCAAATCCCCCGTCCCCGATGCGAGCAATGCAGCATGGAAGGCATTCGCTACCAGGTTCGGGAGCTTAGTCTTGGGTAAAGGTCCTGGCATCGGGAGCATGCTTGAAGAGGGCGCTCAGTGGGGAGGCGGATGAGGAGAGAAGAGATTTTGAAAAGTAGGCAGCAGCGAGAAAAACTTGGTCACCCACTCAACAGAGAATAATGCAAACAGAAAAAAACAATACCTAGTTTAAACACTGGTCAGGTAGAGAGAGCCGCTGGCAGCTGTTGACGGTCCGTTTCCAGTGCCACCCAGTGCTACTCGACTATTTGACCCTGAGGCTAACCTATAGATAACTCAGCTGTGCTCAGGCGGTTCATAACAGATGTATCAGCTTTATCTAATTTAGGACAAAACTTAGGATATGAAAGATGTAAAAATTAGGAAACCTAGTCTAAAATAATGCTTTGATTTTTCGGTTGCCTCTGATGCCGCCGTCAGCTGCCTCTGTGTATGAGGTTCTAATCAGGGCCATGCGTTAACATATATTTGCCAATTCCTACGACAGGGAATCTCTGGTTCAAAGACTCGCAGATAGGTAACAGAAATTATCAAACATATGTTTTATGCAAAGCTTCTAGGCATTGGGGCCAGTTACAAACTGCAGATAGATGCTTTAGAATCCCAATCAGGGGCAGTTGAAAATTATTAATGCTTGCTCGCCTGCATATGATAGTTCGCATCTGGAAATTACTTTCTTATTATCCTGGATGCTCTCTAAAAAGAGAGGAGTCATTCTAGTAAAGTGTTCCTCGTTTGCAAGTCTCGTGGACTGTTACCGGAATTCAATACGGAACCAACACTCATTGAAAACAGGGCCACCAGTAAGATTGTTAACAATTTATTTAACTTATTAGAACAATCCGATACCGAACTTCTGTTAAGCAATGTCATTACTGAATTAATGGCCGTTGCTTGCCGTGGCACTGGCATTGCCAACAGCTGCCTGCAACAAAAACGCGATTGTGCCCAACCTGCAGAGGCCTCGATGCCGTTTGTTTGAAAAATTTCGCTCGCACCCCACTTGCTAGGTATTTTATAAAACATCTACTCCATTTCTTCTCTGGTTTCTCATCTTCACACCAGACTTCCCGCACATGGGTGCTGTCGGTCGGCCGTTCAACATGTAAGCTCCTATCCCGCCTACCGATAAACCTGTCTAACTTCCTGACTCAAGGCCCCGGAAAGATGTCATCAAACCCTTTTGCAGGGCAGGAAAATTCGCTGAGCCTACAACTTACTGCGGCAAAGGCCAGCATCACCCATGCAAGATAGGTCCTTGACTCGAGACTCAACTCGTCTTGAGGATCTGCCTTGCCTGGGTGATGTTGACCTTTACCGCACCAAGTTGTTGAGCCCACGCGAATGTTCTTGGGCAATATTTGCCAAATCAAGCTAGATGCCGCCGATATCAATCGCATCAAGCTGAAAACGATCGACAATGCGCAAGGCGATGAAGCTGAACTTGTCATCTTCGACAGTAGCCTTCCATGCGCTGAAATAGCGACATTACGTTCAGTATGTGACGGTGCCGACTCCGGGTACCAGCTTGCTGCCAAACAGCTTTAACTGCAGCGCGGTGCCCAGGATTTGATGATTTCGGAAGAGGACACGCGCCTGACAAGAAACTGAAACCTGATCAACCCTTTGGTAAGTTAATCAGCACTTCTTAACCATCATGGTACCAGAAAATGTGGCCGCTAGAGGCTCAAGAGACGAAATCAGGAGGTCAGTTTATGCTGCTTAGACCATATTTCTTGGGCTATTTATTTTCGTAGCCTCAAGCTCAAAGGCTAACTTTTCTGCTACCCACTGAATAACCCACAGGCCACCGAAACGGCTTGTTGGTTACAGATGCGACATCCCTCACGTTTAATTTTGGAATTCGCTGACCATGTTTAGACGCAAATGGCTTGCACCTGAAACTCGAGAGCACCATGCATGCGGCGTTTCTAACCAGCGAGTGTGGTATTGGAAAGACGAACACAATGCTGGCATGCCTGAAAATACCCGTCCAACGTCGAATCGAAGCTTGGGAGTCGTCACCTTGGCAACTCGACACTTGGTATGACATCGCAACATGGAAAAAACTTGTCCAGGGTTTCAACACGCCGGATATCGATGCCGATCGGATTTATCGTGCGACTAAAGACGAGATGGATGAGCATCCGGCAACACCATCCGAAATGCAGGGGAATACTGTGCGCATATCAAAGAGACAGGGGAACCGATTTTTCTGATGATCCCGCAACTGTTTTATGAATTTGCGAACTCTTCCCGACACTCGCTGTTGTTCGCACAAAATGCGATCCGCACCATTATGCAGATTCTCTGTGTCCGGAGGTCTATGCTGAGCATAATAACATTGCCAGGCGGGACGATCACATGTCCTGGGAAGGGCATCCCAGCGCTTGCATGCAACGAAGTCGAGTTTAATCTCCATGAGCAGGTGAGGCCCAAGTTGTGGGATACCACCACGCGCCTTCATGCGAACTTGACAACTCAAGGCCCCCGAAGCAAGAGTTTCAAGTCTCGGCATGGCGTCAAGGTTGGTGGCTCAGCAGTGCAACTGAATGGCAACGCAATGCGGAGAATGGTTCTGGCGTTGACAAATGTGCACAATATCAAGATGACCTCTCCTATTGTGCGAACGAACAAGCTTCTCAAAAACGTTAGCATTCAAAAAATCATTGGCCACACGATTAAGAACAGCAAAGAACACCGCCACAACATCAAGACCCACGCACTTTTGACTCCCAGTGTTGATGACTTCTCCCAGACACTCACGCCCATGCAAGAGAAGCAACGTGAGGGTCTCCAGCGCCGTAAGCGCCCCGAAGCCGCTGGTGGAACTGCCGAGATGAGTAGGGTCGCTGCCGACGATTCTGCCAAGGGCCTCCAGTGGGCCTTCTACCTGACAAGAGACTTCATGAAAGAGTCGTTTTTAGAGGCAGCAATTGAGCGAATCTGACAAACCCATCTCACTTGTTCAATTGCTGTCTCTAGAAAGGGCTCTTTTATGGAGTCCCTGGTCGGATAGGAAGCCCACCGGAGGCCTTTCGTGGAGGTTATCGAGCAACCCGCTGACAGCCGGGTAAGTTTGCAATTTGTTTTCTCTAATTTCTACATTCTGGCTAGGAATTCTCTCACTTTGCATGGTCGACTAACCAGTTCATAGGATGATCCTTCTCATGCTGGAAGCTCTTGGTATTCGCAACTTGTCGATTCAGAGCAAGCACTCCCAGCGAACGGGACAGTGCGGTGAAGAAGTTCAACTCCGCCACTGTGCCCATCAGCGCCCTGGTTACCTCCCTCCAACTGTCCAGTTTTGGCGTAGACTTTCACCTGGCCTGCCACCATGGCATCATTGTCGAGAGTCCGCAAAAACTTGACACTCAGATCCAGGCCATCGGTTGACTTTGGCGAACGAACCAGAAGAAAGAAGTACACTGGTGTGTCCTCCATCAGCGGGACTCTTACGACGCTTTTGTTGACGCTCGGAACCTCGAGAAGTATGCAACAACTCTGGCCGCCGAGGGTAACATTAACGACTCGATTACCGATGAGTACCGTGTAATTTGCGCGTACGAAATCTTGCGGTGCTACCTGGGCCAGGAAAGCAACAGATATCCTCGCCTCCGTGTCGCCTGGCACAAAACGGACACGCAAAAGATCCGTTTGGAGGGCTTTTTCTACACCGCTGTTGCTCAATTTCTGTTCCGGAACCCGAAAAGCAAGATCGAACTACTGCCGACACAATTGGTGGCATTGCTGCGAGATGGGAGCTTGGTTCGGAACTCACAATCGCCCATGTGGAACCAGGACACCCGGACTGTCCTCCGGGCATCGATCCGGAAACCCCGGGACGCGTCTCCCTTTCCAGCGCAAGGGAACAGGAGAAGGTATTGGAAGAAAACATGGCCATGTTTCAGTGCGAGGGAGTCGAGGAGGATGAGCCTGACGAGCAGCCTGAGGAGTCAACTGATGTTGGTGGGCGCAAGAGAAAGCGTACTAGTTAGATGTTATGTTATTTAGGTCTGACTCTTAGGTTAGTTTTCTGTACCCTAAATCTCTCAGTTGCTGGCAAACGCCAAATGAACCTTTTTACCAAAAACGATCGGATGTCCTCGAGCAGCCATTCATTCCATCGGTGTGTCATATGTGGTGTCAGAAACATAGTCACCGATTTTCTTTCCACCAAAACTCACCATAGCCCTCGCAGTTGGCTGTTCGTCTTACCGATACAACCTCATTCACAATCCTGACAGTAAAGCCACTTCCTTGACTAAACTTTGCTACCTGTATAGCTTGCTCATCCAGGGGCTTCGACTCTTTCGCTGGGAACCTTAGCTTTGTCTCCGGAGCACACGCGTCCGTAAGGGCTCTTTCTTGTCCTTGTTTTTTACCATATTCAGATTCGGATAGTCATTGCGGGTATATTGTAGGAGGAAAGAAACGGGGATGTGATGCTGGGCGCCATTTTGCTGCATTTATGACTGTTAGGCCGGTGTTCAGGGAAGTAGTTTCGCAGACGGTTTGCAATATTAGGTTAAACTCTCAATGGTGAGATAAGAAGAGTACGAAGTAGTAAAGAAGACTACTTAGGGGGCAGATCAGTGGAAAACGGCGAGATTGGCAGAACGGTACCCAGGCATTGGCAGGCATCAGGCGGTGAGAAAAGCTCAGGCCGGTGCAAGAGGTGATGTAACTACCTCCATCATGCATAACCAACCGTCTTGCGTCTTCCTCTTTTAGATAATAATTGCGTCCAAGTCGTCTTTTAAACGCAAGATAGAAAAGCCCACACATTTCGACTATCTGCCACAGCTGTCAGTATGTTACCTTCTTGGTTGACGTAGTAGTGTAGACTAGGAAGACGGTATTGATCTAAGTTCGCTTTTACTTAACCTCTGGGTCTCAGAAATAAGCATAAGGGACGAAAGACCAGTTTATGCTATTTAGACCAGGCTTTTACTTAAATACCCTAAGACCTGGGAGGCCAACTTTTCTGCTCCACTAGGTCGAGTCTTGTTATATTCTATTTTGAACCTTCTTATCATCACCTTCGTGAGATTTCCTCGCGGTGCCTATCCCTGGGCGTTGAGCCATTACGACATGTCGTTGAATCCTCTCAACTTTGTTTTTTGGACCCTGGGCCGATCTGCAACAGGGATCGAACGGCCAGCACTCAATTTAGTCAATCGGTACGTCTAAATAACATTGACAGCTTGGCGTAGCCCCATCGTTCCGGGAATAACGCGGCAGCATTGTCCGCACTTTAATGAATGGGAAACTCATGTGTTTTGCTATGCAGTGTCTCATAGAGTCATTCTTCTACCTAGAGCCGGACGAAAAGGATAACATCAATCCGAAAACGGAGATGCAATATACCCTCATTAGATGTCTTCACATATGAGACTCAGATGACAACTCGGTTTTGCCCATCAGCTGAACTTAGGGGACCTGATCAAAAGAATACACTATAACAATGACTGTATTCGCTCAACCGCCTCCAAGTGCTTTCGATACTACCTACCCCGCCGTTAACGAGAGAGTACCAACATGACAATAGAACTTGCGAGGACCGGGTCCTGGTCCTGGCTCCCTCTACAAGTGGCTCTGGGGGCCCTCGACGGGTGTCTGACACAGTCGAGGTTGAACGGCGCTCGGGTGGTGTCGTGGGAAGTGGTGAACTGCTTCGGGGCAGGGATCCCTCTTCAAATGATCTTGAAGGCACGAATGGTGAACTGCTTCACGGTGGGGATCCATCTCGGTCGACGGACGAGTTTTCTGATCTTGAGTTGGACGAAGCAGGCCTCCAGCTATTGGATGGTCCTGCACCAATGCAGGCGCCAGAACCTGAGACTGGATCGGAGGAGTTTTGTGACTGCGATATGCCTAGCCTCCCTAAGGAGGAATTGGAGCATCAAGAACTGGAGGCACGGCTGTTAGCAGCAGGTGTGAGTGTGGGCCTCGATGCCAATAAACCCAATCAATAAATATTGACCTGAGATCTTGCTGTACGCACCGCCTGCTACTTATTCTTAATATGATTTTGACCCCCAGAAAAAAGTAAACAACAGGCCGAGGACAAGCTGCATACTCAAAAATACAATCCTTCAACCAAACCAATTGTATTGTTTACGGCTCGCTAATCAAGTATTGGAAATTTGGCCAAAGCCTCACTCTATTGACTTATCCAAAGACTCCAAGTCGCTCAATACAAGTCAATAATTAGAAAAAACTAGTGTCTCTGCTAAGGTTGATTGACCGACACCCTGCAACATCAAAAATCTATATACGACTGCGGGTCCTTCTGTATACGCAGGAGAGCGAGCGTTTGAGGCAGCCCGATTGTCATGCTGCTACCCGAAGCTAACCTTCAACATGATATAGGCTCAGAGCACTTAGTCCTAGATATGAGATATCAAAGGGGAACCGCTACCCTTTGTATATCTCAGTATTATCTGCATGGACTGCAAGTTTCTCACGCCAGATAAGTTGGAGTAGGTTGGAGTCGGAGTCGCATCTTTTACCCACAACCATCAACCACACGGAGGCCGAAACGAACCGGTAAGCTATAGTCAATCGCTTAAACCAACCTAGAGTGATGTCTGAGGACACACCAGAAGGACAAAAGTTCTTACATACAGTGAAGCTCTACGAGGAATTGGACAGCACATATACATAGCCAACATTCCGAAGAAACAGATTTCTTCAGTATCCTCCGAAATCACAGTTTCAGCGACCATGCTGCAATACATCCTGAATTGGCCCGAATCGTCACCTACAACAAAAACTACTCTCGTCAACACATACAATGGTAAAACAGGCATAAACAATAGCCAAACCCGCTTGTTCATAACTCCATCTTTCACTACATTGAGGAGCACAAGTTCCCTCATCGCTCAAGCGCTCAGACATGACGATAACTCAGTGCAGCTACAGTGCTAGGTGAGACTATGGTTGGCGAAGGAGATGATATCAGGGAGCTAATTCGAACAGAGTCACAACGATCAAAAGTCTCGACAAATATAAACCAGCAAAGGCAATAGTCAACGTCGAGGATCTGGAAGAGGGCCAGGTGATGTCATTGCAGTAACATCTGGAAGCCCTGGAGAGCTTTATAGTTCCTGTGCAGACTTCCAATGCAAAGTTGGGAGCTCAAGGTATGTTCTTATTGAATCTTGAGATATTGCTCTAATAATTCAACCAGGCTGGCCAACTTACGGTCTTCGACCTCTCTTTTACTTGCGCCACCGCCGAGGCAGCATGCTCGCTATTCAACATTTGTCCCTGTCTCTTCCTAGAGAAGAAGGCTGCGGCTGGTCACATCACCAAAGATCGAGTCATGCATTTCTCATACGAAATCAACACTTAATACCGGTTGCAATTACAATGACGGTCAAAGGACATTTGCGATACCCTGGCATGCATACAGACAAACCCGAAATGCCATATGGATCAGATGCCGCAGCTGCAAGATCAATAATGATTACAACAAAAAAAAATTAACGACAGCAGCAAGAATAATAATATAGAAATAGTAGGGAAAGGGGGGAAACAAAAAAAGAAAAAATATATAGAGAGAGAGAGGGGAGAAGAGGGAGAAAGGAAGAATGAGGATACCAAAGGAGAACACGACATATGACAAGAAGGATGACGGGTCCCGCCGTCGCAGGTTTGACCAATCCAATCGCAATGCGGATCAGTAGGTATATGATCCAATTGCAAGTGGCAAGAGCTAACGCAGAGTGTCGACAGGACAATTGAAAGACCAGCGATAAGCATCAGTAGGAGATCAAACGACGCGCACGAGACCTCAAATCGCGGAACAAGAAGCTCCGATCGAAGAACGAGAAGCTTAAGCCCAAGATCAAAAAAATACAAAGCAAGAGAAAAGGAGAACAGAAAATCAGTGTCAAACGTCTGGTATTGATGGAAGGGACAGTCCGATGCGGTTGGAAAGCTAGAGGACGACCTTTAGAGACACAAGCAGCTCTTTAGACTGAAGGACAGCACACGCGAGTCACGTCGACAATTGGCATACAGTGGAAAGATGAGATGGGTAACTGGGTGAGTCAAAGGGTGGGTGATGGTAACCAATGGGGAGAGTCCGGGATTTAACAGGATAGGAGGCTTGGGTGGATGATGAGGATGAGAGATATAAGAGAAACGCGCGGAGGACACAAGGGCTCAAGAGGCAAGGGAAATTGAAGGGCAGGGCACGGAGCAGACCATGCCAACAGAAACGACACAAGCGACCATGATCATGACAGACCACGACAAACCAAGCTGACGCTAACGCACAACCAACACAATGATCATGCCTGAGAATACTATCAATGAATGGTATGATCGTCTAGGCTATCGCAGAGCTTATCAACTGACCAATCTACAGCATCATCTTGCACCGGACCAAAACAATCAGATACAGTCTAATCAACGAGACGATCAGACTTCAAGGGCAACTCAGCTTATTGTTCCCCGCCAAGTTCACACAGATACTCCGGAGATGTCTTCATCACCAGAGCCTCACATAAGCTCGGCACCGTCCAGCAAATCACGATTCGTCGCCCGGTATTATTCAAGCACAAATACTTCGGAATGCACTCCAGTTCGCGAAACTGTTTGTTCTTTGAATCACAGTTTTCAGAAGCATGGTAGATGGACTCACATATATTCCAGATGAAAGTTATCTCAACTAAACCACTACAAATTTCAACCACAAACAAAGCCAGTACAACAACCAAACCACGCAGTTCTTGGTACCGCATCTAGCCGTTTGACTCTGGTCAGACTACTCACGTATCAAACCCTCTTGAACAACAGTATTCAGCAGCGCGGTTGATGGGCTCATATCCATTTCAGATCGAAGTCATCTAAACAAAGACACTTCGAATACTAAACTCCATCAACGGAATCACTGCAAACAAAAACCACTACAGACAAAACCCTATGGATCTGAGCACTTGGGCCTACAGCTAGCACATCATTATTCTTTAAACTGCGGTCATTGCTTTCAATTTAGCAGCGCTGGTCTATCCTTCCTCCTCTATCTTTTCATTCCTTATATTTAGCTTTTTTCAGTAGTAATACTTTGTCACTATCAAATCATCGTTGGTAATTGATGTCCAACATTCGCTCTCGTGCGTACGATATCATACAGTCACAATGTCCCATATCCCCGAGCTACTTTCGTCTCCCAACCAAAAGCGAGTAACCACCACGCAGCGTTATTATCTTTCAAAGTGCCATTACTCTTTGACACCCATGATAGATAGTACGTTGGGAAGGAGGTCGTGACCTCCTTCCCGGACTTTGGTGGCCCAGGCGGTTAGTGGGTCTACACCATGCAGTCGTCGCGTGGCATTAATAACCTTAAATTCTCCGATGAGCGACGCGGGGTAACCGATTGACTTTTTTTGTCAACATGCATGTGGGCATGCTTGATTTGACGACATGCCTACACTCGCGCCAACACTTGATGGTAGACATACATTCCCGACACAACAAAACGTGTCTCGACAAGTACTGAGGTCGGATGTTTGTACGGTTGGGGCAAGAACATCTTGTTTGTTTGAAGACGCGTAAGATCCTATCAGCGCTAGAAAACCAGATAGTTCAATGTATACACTGTCGAAGAAAAAAGATATTGAGATATTTCAGATTCTTGTCATTATGGGGTCCCTTTGAGACCCGTTGTCATGCTATCTATATAATCAAATAGTTTCCCAAACCGTCACGCCGTTAACCATGAGACGAAGCCGTCTGGATCATAAAAAAACACGCTTTACTCCATAGAGAACTGAAGGAGAACCTTTGTGACCCGGTAAGGGTCAGCGTTGGAAGCAGGACGACGATCCTCAAAGTAACCGTAACCCTTGGCAGCAGTTTCGCGGGGAACGCGAATACTTGTGCCACGGTTGGCAACGCCCCATGAAAATGAGTCGATCGAGCCGGTCTCGTGTCGGCCGGTGAGACGGAGATCGTTGTCCTCACCGTACTCAGCGATACACTCAACATGATGAGGCTCAAGCTTCTTCAGGGCCTCCTCGATGACTTTCATGCCGCCCTCCTCACGCATAGCCTTGGTGGAGAAGTTCTGATATAAAAGTTAGCACAACTCCATCAATACTTGGCCAAATCGAATGATTTCTGGCTCAAAATGATCAGAAAGACTCACGGAATGCATTCCAGCTCCATTCCAGTCTCCGGCAATTGGCTTAGGATGCAGAGAAACCTTTGCGCCGAATTCCTCGGCGACACGGTGAAGGAAGAATCGAGAAACCCAGAGCTGGTCACCCATCTCGATACCGGTGCACGGACCGACCTGGTACTCCCACTGGGCAGGCATAACCTCAGCATTTGTTCCAGAAATCTGAATACCAGCGTCTATCGATTTGTTAGCACCAGGCGTGGGAATGTACGTTAGGAATATTCGCCGGTGCAGTCAGAAAACCGGCCGGAGCCGGACGCCTGACCACTGCCGCCTCTTTCCCTTTCAGAGTTTACTTACATAAGCAGGCCTTGTAGTGAGCCTCAACGATATCGCGCTGGACAACCTTGCCAGTACCAACACCGCAGTAGTATTCACCCTGGCTATGAGTTCGTTAGAAGACTCCTTTGACAACAACTAAATCTTTACTTACGGAGCAGGGAAACCACCAGTGGGCCAGCCATAAGGTCTGTCGTCAGCTCCAAGGAGGGTGTACTCTTGCTCGAGACCGAACCAAGGCTCCTCGTCGGCATATGTCTTCATAACCTTGATACAATCATGACGGAAGTTGAACTTGTTGGGGGTACCGTCTGAGTCGTAACACTCAGCGAGCACAATGATGTTGGGAGAACCGCGGAAAGGGTCGGGGTAGACAGCGCAAGGTCGGAGGTAGACATCGGAGTTCTCGCCAGGGGCCTGCTTGGTGGATGAACCGTCGAAGTTCCAGACAGGGAGGTCCTCAGGCTTGTATTCCTTCTCGGGGAGAGTCTATCATATGGTCAGCGAACAATTCGATGTTCGATGAACGTTGAGCCGATGTCATCCTCGCTCCTTCCTTTCTTGCCAGCGCGCAATAACATAGGCTGGGGCCAATGCCACGCGCCTTCGGCACGTGGATGCGGCCCGACCTATGTTGGGCACCTGGGAAAAGAAGGCGCGATCGCCAACGTTCACCATCAAAAGTTTGAACTTACTCGAGACTTGGATCGGGTACCACCCTCAGCATCAACCCAGACGTACTCAGCCATGATCATGCCCTTCTGATCAAGTCTGAGGTACTTCTGGAGAGTTTCCGTCCTTGAGGTGATGGGAGCAGCCTAAAACCCGTGTAAGTCAACATGATAATGATCTGGAGGCGTTTTAGATGGAACGAACCATTGTGAATGTGTTTTTTGGTTGGTGAAAAGGAACTAAAAGAAGAGAGATAGTATTGAGATACAAATGTATCAAGCAATTAAACGGAAATGTGTAGGATGATCGAAAATGAACTTTTAGAAGCCTGGGGCAAGGCGGGTTTTATGTTTACGGATTCGAGCCGTCAAAGAAGGTTGACTCTCTCGCCCAAAGATAAGGATTCCCTGCGGCCGGATGCAGGGGCGTGGCTGTTACCGGCTTCCAGAGGTGTGGGTATGTTGACTATTATCAGAAACTATAATTGGTGCGCGGCAGGACTTTGGAGGGGGGTGGCGTTCAAGTTACATTCACAGGGAAGATACTTGATTTCTACCAAGGATCGTCTGTTCTTCAGTACGTCGTCGTCACGAAACAACCACTATCAATTCAAAGTAAACTTTCGCTACAATGTACAATTCCTAGGTCGCTCAAAAACACAAAGGTCTGTCAACGCAGAGCCATAGGGCAACCCGCTCGTCCGTTGCTTCGATCTCGATTTGTTCCTTCCTAGAGACAATCCACCCATTGAGCGGCATTGACGAAACTCTCGGGGCATAGCCGTCTTGTGCTGTGTATAGCGCTGAATGCGTATGACATAACGGGGGGCGGCTTCGGCGGAGCTGCTCAGGAGCAGAGGGGGAGTGGTTGTAGGGTGGGTGTACGGTACATGCCTCTATTCGATTTGACACAGCCGCTCGGCTGGGATCGCCAGCGGCATATGGCGGTGCTGTTTTTATCGACGTCCTATCTAACCAACACCGGCCCGGAGAGGTTGGCTCGGTGATTTTTACGGCGTGGTTTGAAGACAATTCGGCTCAGTGCCGGCTCAATGCTGTTCAACGGTCAGTTATCTGACAATAGTAGGCGGATATCAAGTGTTTTTACTCCGCTTACGGAGCCCTGACTCTGATCAGGGGATTGAAGACCCAGTGAGCCGCAAATAATTGACCCAACGTCTTATCGCGACATTGATCCATTAACAGTTAAAGGTTGAGTTAATTGCGTGTATGCTTGCACGTCTTAGTACCACAAAAGGAATGGCGGGTGTGATGTGGGTGCTAATCGCATTTCGGCCACGTGTGACAATAATGTAGTTGCTTTGCCAGAAATCAAATGCCTCTATTTTGTCCTGCTGCAATATTAAGAAATGTCTTCATATCACTAGTTGAGTCAATGAGTTATCTGTTGCAAGCCATAGATAGGAACGACTTTCCGACGCACCTCCGTACCCAATATCCCCAGGAAATTGAACCCCCAAACTTCTCCCACTCTTGAGGATCGAGGCTATCTAATGGTGCCCGCGCCTTCGTGGGCAAAGATTCTGGGGTCGGGTGGGACATGTGCCTCTCAGTGGGTGACAGGAGGAAAAAAGCCTAGCGATTGTTGGATTCCTGAATGATAAAGCATTTTGTTTATCTCTTCTGATGTGTAAAAGCTGCTATTCAGATCCCTGAATGGTCGGTGTCTGTGACATTCGCATTAGTAGACCTCAATGTTCTTGTTAACATACCTTCTTCAACTTAATTCATTCTTCATCGCACACGCCAGCGGCATCAATAACAGAAAGGAATTATGCGGTGGGTATTGACAAAGCCTAAACCCATGTATACCCCAGGAACCAGTGACAACGTTCGGCTCAGGCCCTGTCATGGATCTCTGGGTCACATTCGTACGTGCTGGACAAGACAAGAAGCGAAAGGCGCACACAGGGCATGTCAGATACCAACATGCGCCCTGAGCCCTCTGTAGTTGTGAGCCCCAGACTTCTTGGCCCAGCTATTTCGAGAGCCGCTTGAAACCTGGTGCTTGTGACTCTCCAAGAAGCCCCAACAGCCTCGGTGGTTCCGGTTTGTCCCTGATCTGTTACCAAATCGTTTCTTGGGCCCCAGTTAAACCATACTATTCTGGGAAAGACGGCCCTGCTTCTTTATTCGACCTGTCCAACCACGGGCGGCGACGCCATAGGCGGAAGTCCTGCCCTTCTACCGCCGCTTCTTTTTAGCACTTGCTGTACATCAGCGCTGCCCGGGTGTAGGTGGCTTTGGTCTTTTTGGGTACGGTATTCTTTTTTTGGGGTGGCGTCGGTGATGTTGACTAGGCGTGCTTGGAGAGAGACACCGACTCTTATCATTCAGTCTTGATTGGCTCCAAGCATGCTCTGCATAATGCCTGTTATCTCACGTTGGGCTTTCAGTAGGACGGCTTTGAAGCCGTTTCAGACGTCAAAGCCTCTGGTTGGCTGCCTTTTCAATGCCGACGAACTGTAAATCGCTCAGCAGAACTGAGTTTCCTCCATTTCCCCAGACCGTAGATTGCTTGTACATAGTTTTCGGGACGCTCCAGATTTTCAGGCACTTCTCCATTCAACTCAGCCCTGACACGAATGTGCGGCTGAGGACTCCGGCTTCGGGATGGGCGATGAGGTTCGACAGTTGGGTGGTAACTATTATTGAGCATTGGATTAGCGTCGGTCCGGTCATGTCACTCGATTTCTTCACCTGTTCTTCCATTTCTCCTTGGAAAAGCGATCTAGAATCAAAGGAACGACTCCATTCTGCCGGTGCCCAGCCCAGGGTTCAATTATTCCCGAGCTGAATCCGACTGACTGTAACAAACTGTTCCTGTGTGTGGGTTGACTAAACTTGGGTGTCAGGGTGCAAAGTTGTGACTTCGGACAAAAAAAGACAGAACATTTGCAAGGTTATTCGAAATTGAATTTGTGCAAATGCATGATGCGCTTGTGATAATTCCTTTCGAGGAACCCTTGACCTGGACTCTCCTTCCGCGAAGTTTGAGGTATTGTGATAATGATTACTCGAGACTTTTCTTGCGGGGCCGGCTCGCACGAGACCAGAAAAGACGATAGTACCCCTGACATGCAGGGGTACTTCATTTTCCGACCCTTAATTGACAAGCTCTCAAGTAAATGTATGGTAATGATAAGGCAGGCCAAGACCTGGAATAATATCCAGATGGGGCGCTTTCGTATGAGCCTGAAAGGAATGAAAAGGATAAATTTTATTTTGTGTTGTTGGGATGGGCTGATGCGTATCTGAAAACTGTATTGTGCAGATCGTTCCTGCTTCGTCGAGTTGTATTCTATTTGGGAGGGAGCGACGAGTAAGATAGCGATACGGGGTTTGGCAACTGCGCCACGGTTGTGCCTGCCGCTTTTCTATCGACGATACCCTCAACCTAAACAGAAACGAAAGACTTCAAACTTTGGATCGAGAAAACATAGAAACTTGTGATAACTTCACTTCTTTACTTGAACTGCAATAACTACTCAAACAGGCAATTCTCCTACTTCAATGTCCCACCCAACTCGAGATGGAGATCTGCCGCCCCCGCAATCCCCATTTAACTTGCTGAGAATCAGTCAACCAATCAGACTCAACCTTGAACCTATTACACATTTAAATGAGCAACTTGAACTCGTCAGGTCCTGGGCTTACCCCAGGTTTCCGTCGATATCTTGCTATCTCTGAGTAGGAAAGAGCAATTAATCTCGATCACTAAAGGCCTCAAGGTTATTGGATCGTCAGAAAAAGGAAGCAAATCGTTTGGCTTTCCTCGCTCCCACCCTCCAATTTTTCCAGTCATAAATCTGGGAATTGGGTGATGGAATCACGTCTAGATAATTCGACGCGCGAATGAGGTTGGACCAACCTGTTGAGGAGATATCGTTCCGGGTTTTAAATCTGAATCTGCCGGTTCCGCATTGAGTGTCGCATTGGTGAAGAATTCAGGCACCTGGGGCCTCGGAATCAACTCCGGGTCTGATGTCCCGATACGTTGCGACTCACGCCGAGACCCGGCGGGGGGATTAACGGGGTGTGACGGACCTTCACCGGGGCTTGACCGTGCCAAGCTGGAATCGTTCAAAATTTCTGTGTCTTGACGCAGTTCAACACCATTCAGTGGCAACGGGTAACGGTGGTTTAAATCTCGTGATGGATCAAGACCTACCAGATTGAGCGGCGGGTTCTTTTTTACATCACTTTATTCTCATTTATCTTGGCAAAAAAGGGCCAAGTTCAATTTTTTGTTCTTGACCCTCAAAATGACGTCGTTACTTGTGTCACTACACACCCATGACGCTCTGAATGGGTACGTCCCAGTACCAACTTGCAGCCGCCATGCCGCCGACGCTCATCATAGCTGCCATGAGGAAATTGACATCATTGTTATCCAGAAGATCCCACCCGTTCTCAATGGTCCGCGATGGTTGTTGATCTCCAAAACTTGACTTGCGGTGCTTGTCCTTGGGGTCGTAAACCTCGGCGTGAGCATCGTGATCATCTGCAATGGCGGAGCCATCCGACTTCTCTTTGACGTCTTCCTTTTTCAAATGCGCTGCAGGACCCTCAGTAGACTCGGCGACCAGCACCCGGTTGCCACCTTCACCCTCAACGATTTTACCAGAACGTACGTCACGAACTGAACGTTGAAACAGACCTCCCAAGAAACTGTCCAAGACACTGCCAAGAGCACCCCAGAGCACCATGAACCCCATGAATTTGCGGCGCTCCAGCATTGTCCATGGTGCACCACCACCTGCGGGCGTTTGAGCTGACTCTTCTGTGCACGATGGCAGAAACAGCATAGAGGCAGTGACAATAATCATGGACCCTAGCAGACCTGCACCCAGTCCCAGTAGAGTAACACCACCGTTCGTTCCGCGGGGGACCTTTCGTAGAGTTGGTGATGTGATGAGGCGGGGTTGTCCTGAGGAGAGAATGCCAAGTTCGGAGCTGAAGGTATCGGCCGCAACGGCCGCATAGTTAGCGATGATTCCAACGACCAGGAGGTCACCGCCCCATGAGAAACATAACGATCCCGTAGGATCCGGGGTATTGGGATCGGCGAATGCGGCTTCTCGTTTGCGTAGCTGGTTTGCGTGGAGGAGGGAGAGGACAGAGGCCATCAAACTGTTGGCGAGGACTGCAGAAGTGTCAGCTATTTGTGAAGGGATAACTATATCCAAGCGCTTACCTTGAACATGTGTTCTAGGCCCTTCTCCTCCAGAGGTACCCTTAGAACGAACAGTATAATTGGCCTTGATTCCTTCTTTGATCTGAAGTTTTGTCAGAATAGGGGCATTTTGTGAAATAGCGGGCGCAACTCACGTGTGTCACACGCGTCCCAGCAAGGAAGAAAACGCATAGGAGTGCGAATGGTAGGTTCCATGGGTGATATGCGTGGGCGATAGCTGTCAGAGTCGCAGCGAATATGCCAGCGGGCGTCAAAGAGTTTCTGCTCTTGGCGCGGTAAATGAGCGCGCAAGTCGCGGGGAATGCGTACAGCAATCTCATGACTGATTCCTCAAGCGCTTAGAATATTGGAAAGTGCAGGGCGCAAAGCAAGCTGGGGTTGTCAAGCTCCCTTGTAGTTAAATCAATGCTCCTGCTACTTTCACAAGCTCACGTTAGCGGATTAGTCGTCGAGTAAGAGCTTCCCTGGTCAGCTGACGTCAGCGACCTAGAGACAGCAACGCAGCCACGTGGGCGATGTTGGGAGGGAGCCAGCAACACCAAGAAGAAGCATGAGAAGATGATGGATTGGAAGGGATGACTCAATAGTAACCATTTAAGACGCCAGGATAAAGCGGTATCTGTGACAATCACTCATTGACCTTCCAGCATTGCAGATTATTTGAGGCGTACCTACCCTAAACTCCGGCTTGCATCATCATCAATGACAAAACGTGCCTGATCTTGATACCATACGTACTTTCTCTAGGTATCAAAGATGTCTTTCCTTTCTATCAGTTCTTTCCTTATCCAACTTTGTGCATGATGCAATTGTCACTTCTGTTCGTTATCTTATCGCATCTTCTGTCTTGACGCTGTGATGATTAAACCTGAGTGCCAATCTTGCAAATGTCGATACTAATCACAGTAGCTTACTACCGATACACATGCGAGGGATAAAGAACGCAAAACCAGGCGAATCATGTTTCGATGGCAAGTCTATAGACGACAGAGGGAAATGATGAGTAACCAAGTGCGATATTCGGTGGATGTACGTGATTTCTAAAGTTTAATACTGACTTCGTCCTTCACTCTGTAGTCAAGACTCATACCAGGTGCGATATAGGATTGCTAAGTCTGTGGCCTCTAATTCCTGGTTGGCTTTTATCTTCTTATCAAGTTTGATTAGGCGACACTACCAATATCTAGTCACTTTCAACACAGTCACTTCTGTGGCTTCTATGGACGAAAGCTAGATACGATTACACAATGTGGCATATCACTATGAGATACAGAATACTTTGCTCTGATAACACTAAATCCAAAAGGATGATAAACTCGTCAGACTTCAGATTAGACGCTTCTTTACATGTCACGTATCTAAGCTCCAGGTTTTCTGTTGCCACAGACATTGTGATATTACCACTATCTCGGGGGATAAATGTTGATAAGGTACATACTTAGGATGCCGTGGAAACACAAACAGTGTCCAGGTCTCGATACCGTCAATAGCCGATACCTTATTACAGAATTCAAACCAGTTCCCACTATCTGGGTAGTTCATTTTGATCTTTCCGCTGCAGTAACTCCAACCACAGTCTCGCGCTAACTTATAAATCATCATGTTCAGAAACCCTATGCATCTTCCATATCCAGAGCTTGGAAAGACATATACGTCGCATCTTCGGCACCTGAACTAGGCCAAACCCATTGGGTGTTCTGCACAGAGGCTGGGCCAGCAGCCTGGAAGTTCAACACATGGGCCGGCTGTGAGTACCACACGTTCTGCATTGGAGTCCCATTCTGCAATCCCGACTGAACTACTGTAGGAGAACTCAGATTGCCTGTGGTCAGAACACTTGGAGAGTAGTTCTCGTCGACATGCCACTTAGTCATTTCCTCAAAGGGAGTGAATGATTGGGTCGAGACACTGGTCGACGACGCTGATGAGGATGGCATGGATGAAGACATTCTCGGGCCACCCTCTGCATAGCGGAATGGCGAAGGGATATCGGCCGAAGAGTCATCTGTAACAATGAAAGTATTCGATGCCTCATTGTTAGGGGAGTGGGACAAGGATCGAATGTTGCTCATCCTCGGGTCTAGCAACCCTAATGTATTTGAGGAGCCTTGATCACTAAAAGCTCGGATACAAGCTTTCAGTTGCTTCCTCACATTTCGCAAAGATGTAGTCTGGTAGAAATGTCTGGTCTTACTGATTGTATACAAAGAGCTTGCTAAAGAACGCAGCCGACTGTCCCAATCAGGACGGAAGTAGCCAGGGTCAAGACCAAGCCCTAGATTTTGGCTAACAAGGCTGAAAGCTCGAGAACATGCATCCAAAAGATTGCAAAGGGCCTTGGACAGATGTTCTTGGATGGGGGAAGCAGGAGTTGTATGTTGGTGGAGCTGGCCGGCAGGGGCCGAAAGGGATCGGATAATATGTTCCAACGACGAGCAGAACTGATGCAAAGTTTCTGTAGGGAGGATGACTTGGTCGTAGAATGACCCATTCTTGGGGAAGAGGAGTTGGATGATCATTGTCTGGTGGAATGCAACGATCAAGTGCTGCGATTCATCTGGTTGGTCACCTCGATTAGAGCGTTTAGTATTTGAGCCTTCAACTTCACGCACAGTCTCCCTGCAGACATCAAGACCATGTTTGGATGCAGCTTGGTCTGATTGTGAAAAAAGGTAGGCAACCGTGTTGACAATATGGGCAAGGGGTCGCATCTCTTGGATGTTTCGTTTCTGTTTCTGCAATGTGTTGAAGTTTTCGGAAACAAGGTCGAGTTGTATAGAGACGGACGAGTTTTCTGTTGCGGGAAGAGAATCATGCGTGAAGGTCGACAGGCTGGCATCGGGTGGAACTCCTGCCTGAATGGACATCCAAAGATTGAGCGAAAAGGTCGTCCACCAGAGATTAGAGACAATCTCTTTCTCAACATCGAGAACATCGACCCCGTTGATACGACTCGAGCTGGGTGGAGAGGCATCCTTTGACATGCAGTCCTTGATTCGGGTTACCATTTTGCTCGCAACTTGTACATAGCAAACGGCTCGGCGGTATTCGTTTGCCGAGAGGGCATTCCAGGCTAGCAACACCAGTGTCTGTGCAGTGGTAACATCTTTGTAGACTCTTGTTGGCACTCCAGAGTACACAGCGTCGTTTTCTTCGGAGGGGTGGTTAGATCGCATCTGCAGCTGGGCCTTTGCCCACTGCAAGAGTTCGTGCCCGCGTGTTACCATAGGTCCCTCACTGATGACAAAACTGGCATCTGCGAGCATAACAGCTATGAGGATCTCGTCGCAAGTATCTTCGCGCATTTCCCGGAGGAGCAACGTCTTCGAGATAAGGAAGGTCAAAGGATGTGCCGAGAACCAAACATCTATCAGCTGGTTTCTTTGTCGATGGCTAAAGGTGGAGATGGGGCTGCTGCAATATGATGCATTGTTGTCAAACATGCTGGAAGCTTTGTCGCTGGATAAACCAGACCGAATCAATTGACTGTTGGAATCATTAGGTTGGCAGGATCCCAAGATGCTATATCCCTGGCCAACAGAACCGACAAGGTCACAGGCTACCAGGGGAAGGAGTCCAATGCATCGAGCTTTGTTGCAGCTCGCCTGCAGCTCAACATGGTTTGCTTCTCCAAAAATCATTGGGGAAAACCTGTCATGAAACGCCTGCTCAAGGGAGGCAGCAAGGCTTTCGACGCCATCCCCCAGCGACACAACATCTTCATGTGCTCTTCTAGGGGACATGGAAGAAGCAGAGTTGGACGAGCATGACCGTCTCCTCTTGCTTTCGGGTAAGTCATGTTCGCTTCGTACCTGCAGTAGGTTGTTGCCTTTGGTGCCATCGAAGCTGAGATTGCGTCCTTTGGCTCGTGGAGATTCAAAGTCGTAGATGCAGTCGACGCCTTGCTTGCGACAAGCTTCGCAGATTGTCTCGTTAGAGCACTTGATCTTCCTCGCTCGACAAAAAGCACACGATCGTCTCAAGGGATGTTTTGAAGACATGCTGTTGCTCAAGGGTTTGGTAATCATGGATTGTTGTACATGGGGGTCAAAGAGACCTGAAAGCTTTTGGAGTAGTACTTGAAGGGATTGAAACAGGGGCTCGGAGGAAGAATAAAAAAGCCGGTCTTTGTATGATGTTGAAATGGCGTTGGCTGCCTTGATTTGGCTTCGAAATAGATTGGTCTCGACAGAAGCTAGGCAAGCCCACACTGTAGGGCTCAGATCAGTACCAGGGCCTCTCAGATCCTGGTAGCCTATATTATTGGCAGGTAATCTTGGAAGCAACCGAAAGCTTGTTTAGCTCTCCATGTCAAAGGCCTGCATCATTTAGGGCTGATAGCTTCAAGTGGCAGTGTCATGTTGTGTTGGGTGATGGCGCACCATTGTGCTGGTAACGTGGAGAGAGAGTTCTGGCATGATGCTAGCGAATGAGCCAATGTATTGGATGGTATGAATATGAGGTTGACATGACATCGGTCCAAGGCAGTGTCAGATGCTTATTCTTAGCTTGTAGGTAGTATCAGAGTAGACAGGCACGATCCATGCTTTAGATCAGGCTCTTGGCAAGGCAGTCACCGGCATACCCGTTATGGTCACCGCTTAGTCCACGTCTATATACGAAAATCATCTATCTATATGTCGCTGACACGAAGCTTGGTGAGTTGTCTTGCTCGTGTGCGTACTGACCAAGCTGCATTATCGGAGACGGAAAATAACATAAACGTACAAGCCACAACAATGCAACAATCATACTAGACTCTTCGCATTCCCTTCCCAATACGGCACACCTGGAAAAGTCAGATGTCTCGCAGAAGCAACTTTATCCAGGACATCTCCGGAGATGTACGCAGTTTATCACAAACACTGTACAGAAGATGGCGTCAAGGGCCTCAGATTCTAACCTCTTCTGTGATCAGCCGTACCGTACCGACAGGGCAGAACCGTCGGTGGGGTTAAATCCTTCGGCAGTGACTGTCTTGCTTGTTGGGTGTGCGACAAGTCTGAAAGCTTTTTTCGTAACATTGAGACTAATGCTTGTCAAACCAAGGTTGTTGATCATAAGTAAGCAATGCTGTATAATTAGGTCTCGAGACATACAGTAGGTATTTCTATTGATCAACAGTCTACCCATGATCTATTATCGCCCTAGAAGAGCAGCACTTGTTCTTCAGGTACCTTGGACGCACGTCACCCCTTCAACTTTGAACAAACTCGTACAGAGTTTAAAAATGCAATGATCTCAATGGGCGGTAAGGATCAAACGGTACCGCTCCCTTATGCAGGCGCCGAGCCATTGGTTCCTACCTTGCTAGTCGAGTCGGGCTGAGTCTTACATGGCTTCTCGTGGCTATCTTGTCGTGGCCAATAACAAGCTTTGAAACTGTAGCTCCCATACAGTGAAAACTGAGCTGAACGACAGGCCTATTTAGGCAATCAAGGTAATACCTAGTAACTGCAGTTAACCATGCCTGCGATCATTCCAGTTCGAGTATTCCCTGCTCCATCTCCCTAGATCTAACAGAACTTTGATCTAATAGTAAAAAGATGATACCACTTGCAACTCTCCTAGAGCGTCTTTGTTGACAGCTCAAATAAGGTTGATCTATACTCCACACGAAGCGCCTCTTTCCAACTGTTCTAGACTCAGCACAGCAATTAGTTATCAACGGGGAATTCCGACCCTGTCACATTCTCTAGTACAAGGCTTGTTGTGGTGGTAAACTTCCTAGCCAACTACATACACAACAATCCCAGGTTACATACTACTGGGTAGCAGAAAACATGGCCTCGTAAGTCTTAGGGTATAAAGATTAGTAGTCTAAAAACTATAGCCTAAGGGGCATAAAGTGACCTACTAATTTCGTCTCTTATGCTTCCAGCGGTCAATTTTTCTGATGTCCTGAGGACATAACACGGGACCTACATGTTCCCAGCATCGTAGGCATGCGACTCTGTGGCTGCGGTACTACACTCTAGCGTAACACATACAACGGCAAATCCCGTTAACGCCTATTACGTGGTACGTATATGCATAGTGCGGTTGCATTTCCAGCCAAGGCAGAATCCAGGGTGTTCAGCTGTGACTAGACTATTGGCAGATCTGGATTCAGCACCCCTAATGTCGGGATCCTCCAGCTCTCGTTCAATTAATCACCATCTCATCACAAGTGACTCCGGCTTTATCCAAATAAATTTTGATTCTAAATATTGCCCTAAAACGGCAGATGATATGTGATTCCGCTAAACCAGTCCCGCACCATGTGTTGAAATGTCACGTCCAATGTTTCGCCTTGCCATTCGTGACTCCCACGTTGAGTTGAGGGAGCACAGTCCCGTATGCCTTGCTTCCAGCTACTTATCCATTATGCATGAGAGTTTTGGTATCATTAAAACAGACCTTCGATCTCGCCTGTCTCCACGTTGACGTCAACGTTGAGATAACCAGGTGCTGTTGGCAGACCTGGGATCGTTTGGATGTCAGCAGCAAGGGCATAGCTAGGCATATATTAGTTACGTTGCGTTGAACAGTAGGGAATAAACTTACAAATATCCTGCTCCGGCAGCCAGCCTGACGTCGCGAATGGGAACCGTGAAGCCAGTAGGAGCGCCCTTCAGGTCGGGATCGTGAGAAAGAGAGTATTGCGTCTTGGCCACGCAAATGGGCAAGTGACCAAATCCTTGGCGAGTGTATGTATCAACCTTCTTCTGGGCAAGCTCGCTAAGCTCGACCTTCTCGGCACCATACATCTTCTTTCCGATGGCCTCGAGACGCTCTTGGACGGTTCCCTCGAGGTTGTAGGTGAACTTGAGGTCCTTGGGCTTATCAGCTGCCGCAATGACACCGTGGGCCAGGTCAACGGCACCCTTGCCACCCTCAGCCCAGTGGTTAGACAGGATAGCATCCTCAGCACCAGCCGAGACAGCCTCCTCGCGGATGACAGCGATTTCAGCATCTGTGTCGGTCGCAAACTTGTTGATTGCGACGACGACAGGAATACCAAAAGACTTGGCATTGGCAATTTGCTTCTTGAGGTTCACGCAGCCAGCACGCAGAATATCGACATTCTCCTCCTTGTAAACAGGGCTGAGGGCAGCACCGGGAGCGATAGGAGGGGCACCGCCGTGGACCTTGAGAGCCCGGACAGTGGCAACGATGACAACAACGTCGGGAACAAGTCCAGAGGTACGACACTTGATGTTGAAGAATCGCTCACCTCCCATGGTAAAGTCAAATCCAGCCTCAGTAACGACGAAACCGGCCTTCTCCTTGTGGTCTTCATCAGCCTCGGTACCGGCAAGCTTCAGTGCAAGCTTGTCGGCGAGGATAGAGCTCTGTCCAATGCTAATGTTGGCAAAGGGACCAGCATGGACAAAGACGGGAGTACCCTCGAGAGTCTGCATGAGGTTGGGCTTGATAGCATCCTTCATGAGAGCAGTGAGGGCACCACCAGCACCAAGATCGTCAGCTGTGACAGGGTCACCACCTCGTGATGTGGCTACGACCATTGATCCCAGACGCTCGCGCATCTCAGCCAGGTTGTTGCTGAGGGCGAGGATAGCCATACACTCACTAGCGACGGTGATGTCGAATCCAGTCTCTCGCGTCTGACCCTTCTCAGTAGGGGCGGTGCCCACTGTAATGCCTCGCAGGTGACGGTCATTCACGTCGAGAACTCGCCTCCAAGTGATGGTCTCTGGGTCGATGTCCAATCGAGCAAATCGGTGGATCTCGTCTTCTGTCAACTCGTCGGGGTTTGTCTTGTCAATTCCGAGCTTCCTCAAACGACGGAACATAACAGGAGCAAACTTCCTCTCGCCATTCTTGACAGGGACTAGTCGCTTGTACAAGGGGCCGTCCTTCTGAGTGTTCTCGTGGAAAATGCGAGTCTCAATAGCAGCCGCTAGCAGGTTGTTGGCAGCACCAATGGCGTGGATATCTCCAGTCAAGTGCATGTTGAACTCGTCCATAGGGATGACCTGACTGTAGCCTCCTCCAGCAGCACCTCCCTTGATACCAAAGGTAGGGCCCTGGCTGGGCTGTCGTACGTTGGCGAATGTCATGCGTCCGACATGAGCTCCCAGAGCCTGAGCCAGACCCATAGTTGTTGTGGACTTACCTTCACCAAGAGGAGTAGGAGTGATACCGGTGACAACGACATAACGGCCGTTTCTTCGGTGCTCCAGTCGTTGCATGAGACCAAGGTCAACCTTGGCCTTGTATGCGCCGTAGGGTTCCAGCTCGTGGGGTGCAATGCCAATCTCAGCGGCAATTCGTGTGATATCCTTGGGTGTTTGAGCTCGAGAAACGGCGATATCTGAGGGGACGGGGTCCTCCAGCTTTAGGGGTAGGGGGATGGTCTTGCGAAGCTTCTGAGACTCAAAGTACCAGGTTGTCGCATCGACAACGTTCTGCATCAACATGGCAACAGTCATGGGGCCGACACCGCCAGGAACCGGAGTAATGGCAGAGGCAACCTCAACTGCAGAGGCGTAGTCCACATCACCAACAAGTCGCTGTCCGGATTTCTTAGTAGCATCGGGCAGGAAGTTGGTTCCAACATCAATGACAACGGCGCCAGGCTTGATCCAGCTGCCCGGAACAAAGAGAGGCTGGCCAATAGCGGCGACGAGAACATCTGCGTTTCGAACATGCTCCTCAATGTTTTGTGTCTTGGAGTGCACAACAGTAACAGTGGCGTCGGCGTTTCGCAAAAGATAACTGACGGGACTGCCGACAATGTCACTTCTTCCGAGGACAACGGCGTTCTTGCCCTTCAGGTCGATACCAGACTCCTGGAGGAGGATCATGCAACCCTTGGGTGTGCAAGGAATGAAAAGAGGCTTGCCACCCCTCTTGGCGAGCTCTCCAATGTTCTTGGTGCCGAAGCCGTCGACATCCTTCTCATCTGCCACGAAAGATGTGACGGTATACTCAGAAATGTGCTTGGGGAGAGGCAATTGAACCAAAATACCATGAACGGCAGGGTCGTTGTTGTGCTGACGAATATGGTCAAGAAGCTCTGCCTCAGAGATAGATTCAGGGTAGTGCAGCAATTGGCTGTCAATACCAGCCTGCGATAAAGAGTCAGTGACTGAGTCTTGGGTCGCGAGATCCTCTAACTGACCTCAGCGGCAGCCTTGAGCTTCATGCGAACATAAGTAGCTACATGGCGGGGTTAGTGGTGAGATGATCTCATGATGGCGGGGCAGCATTTTACGAACAAGAGTCTGAGCGATCACCAACTGTAGGACAATTGAGTCAGCGTTGAACCAGTAAAGTATTGTGAGTAACAAGTTTACCTTGGATGATCTTGAGGCAGGGCTTGAACCTGGGGTTAATCCTCTGCTTCTCATTCACCTCAGCACAGAGTTTCTCCCTGATCGACTTGGCAATGGCATTGCCGTCGAGCTTTGTAGCAACCATTGTGGTCGAGGAAAAGAGTCTTTTCTGCTGTAAACTATTGGAAAAAGACAAAGACTCGACAACAGAGGCTGGAGAAAAGATTGAAGCCAAGTTGTTGCGTCGATTATTGACAGGGAAGCATTCGCTGTATATAGAGTGGGCTTGGGCAGTCGATTTGAGAGGGGCAGTCCGAATAGCGGCGTCTGGGGGAACTCCGGTGAACACGGAAGGAACGTCCGAACACGTGTGAAAGAGGCTTTGCCTGTGCGACTTTGGGTATAAAGACACCTGCGTGTGGGTGAGAATCTGACTTTGCTGGGACCCGCCTACTGCGGGTTCGGCTTGGGGCGTATATGATCGGCTTCGCGACCGTTGATGCTTGCAATTGAGCCTTGATGGTATCGATAACGCTGATGATAGAAACCTCAAATGCCGTCGCTGTCTCGGCACATTTCGGGAACTATTCGTTCTCGTCAACACGGCGCAACGGAAGAGCTCGCCGTACATGATCAACTCGAATATAATTATATTTCAAGTTGCAAATATGTATTAGATGCCGAACGATCTCCAGACGTCCGACAACGTGTGCATCCAAGTTGATGCAATGCAAGTCTTTCCGTAAAGAAGTTCTAGATCAAAGTTAAACAAAGAGAAAGACAATAATATTAGACCATCGAAACAAGATGATCGATACAATAGACAGCAATAACACAGCACGGTATCGCTCGACACACACTCTGACACCGGTAGCCTTCGTGTGAATATTGTGAGCTCACTATAACTTTTCCATATTCGAACAGGAAGTCCACTCTTGGCAGTAGTCGGTCGTGGGACTATGCCCCGAGGCTGACACAATTCTCGAAAGAAAGGTAGAATCGACCGGGATGAGTCTGGTTGTGACTCGTATGTATGGCCAGTAAGATTGGCAGGATTGGCTGCAATTGTAGATATGCCCTCAGCCTTGCTTTGTTTTACACCAAGGTGAGGTTGAAGTTGTAAAAATTACGAATATTCGAGTTCTTGATGCCTCAGGATTGTGTGATAAAGGTGAGGTCATATTCAGTTAAGGAAGGATCATGCAATGAATCATCTCCAGGCACTCCTACTAAGTGAGTTACTCATTCTGATGACTCTTTAATTCTTTTATGACTCTAACTGTTCTATATGACTTGATTCGTGATAGGCTGGAATATCAAACAGTCATTTACAAAATAAGCGACAAAATTGATCAATCACTCCGAGGCGCCTTAAATCAGGTACTGAAAATTTATTTTTGTACAACCTTAACTTAGTAGCATCCCTCCAGGCAGTCAAGTATCCAGACATGGCTAAGCTCAACTTTAACACACAATCTGATCCTCATCAGGCATCAGCCCTGTGTCACTATTCTAGCTGTGAGGCGGGGGACTCATTTCTTGCCCCACCAAAAGGTCCAAAACGCACACAACCGCCAAAAATTCATCGCGAAAGCCCTCGCCATATAATCAGCCGCTCCGAACCTGCTTCCGTCAACCCCTCCTAGTGCCTGACCCCAGAAACCGAAATCATGAGGCCCATTCTTCTTGCCGGGCACGAGCGTGCGCTCACCCAAATTAAGTATGTGAATCTTTGCGTCCTGTCTGTATACAACGAGAAAGAGTTGCAAAGAGGGGGGAATATTGGTCTGAGAGCCTCTATTCGTTATCAGACTTGGGGACCTTCAACTTCACCCGCAACTGTACTAACACACATCCAGGTTCAACAAAGATGGCGATCTCATCTTCTCTGTCGCAAAGGACCAGCAGATCTGCGCCTGGTTCTCCCACAACGGCGAGCGTCTTGGAACCTACCACGGCCACGTCGGTGCTATCTGGACTGTCGATGTCAACCCCACCTCAACCATGATCGCCTCCGGTTCTGCCGACAACACTATCCGTCTCTGGGAGGTCAAGACTGGTCGCCTCATCAAGACCTGGGAGTTCCCTACCGCCGTCAAGCGAGTCGAGTTCAACGAGGACGGAACCAAGCTACTGGGAGTTACTGAGAAGCGAATGGGTTACCTTTCCAACATTGTTGTTATCGATATCAACCCCGACCTCAACGCCGAGCAGAACGACGAGAAGAGCCTTACCATCGTTTGCGACGAAAGCAAGGCCACCGTTGCTGGCTGGAGCGCCCTTAGCAAATACATCATCGCCGGCCACGAGGATGGCAGCGTAAGCCGATACGACGCCAAGACTGGCGACCTGCTCGACAACGTCCCCGTCCACGAGCTCAACCAGCCTATCGTCGATCTCCAGTGGTCTCCTGACCGCACCTACTTCATCACTGCTTGCAAGGATAAGACTTCCAAGGTACGTCGAGCTAAGCTCTCACAATTCTATTCAATACTGACAATACACAGCTCATCTCTGCCCGTGACCTCGAGGTCCTCAAGACTTACGTTGCCGACACACCCCTCAACAGTGCCACCATCACCCCCAAGAAGGACTTTGTCATCCTCGGTGGTGGTCAAGCCGCCATGGATGTCACACGAACCTCTGCCCGTCAGGGTAAGTTCGAGGCCCGTTTCTACCACAAGGTTTTCGAGGACGAGATCGGCCGTGTGCGAGGTCACTTCGGTCCCCTCAACACTGTCGCCGCCGACCCTACAGGCAAGAGCTACGCCAGCGGCGGAGAGGACGGATACGTGCGAGTTCACCACTTCGACAAGGGCTACTTCGACTTCAACTACGAGGTCGAGAGGGAACGAATCAACCGAATGCAGTAGATGCGTTCTTTTCCTGTGTGCTTGCATAGTACGGCGTTTCGGGGGACAAACAAATAAATCTTTTTTTGTTCAAATGGGGCAAAAAATAAACGGAAGCTGGAGGTGATGGAAAGACTGGGAGTGTGTAAGGGGAGATATAAGAGGAAGACAAATGGGCTTGTAATTCTTACCATCTCTCCAGGGTTTAAGGAAAGGTCGAAAATTGCACGATTGATCACGTTTCTACGACTTTGAATCTGATACAAATCACCCTCTTGATGCGATTGCGGCAGTCAAAATTCGCTAGTTCACCACGTCAAGTTCAACATGAGGCGGTACAAAGCTATGCATGGTTCTTCTGCTCTCAAACAACTCTTTTTACTGTGCCATCAGCCGTCCTCGCGCCTGTACCCTTCCGACCGGTGCGGCATCGTGTGATGCATGTTCTGGCCCCTTGTCACAAACTGCCAAGCCAGATTAATAAAGTACTACACGATGACTTCTCTTATAAGCCCTCAAAGCAACCAAACGCCAAAAGTCTATTTACCAACCAACATACTGGAGCCCTCTTTTTCTCCGCTCACTTCTTTCTACCCTTCTTGCTCTTGGCAGAACCACCCGCGGATGCGGTAGACGCAACACTGGATGCTCTAGACGGAGTTGCCGAGCTGTTCTTGCTAGATTTGACAGATTTGACATTGTCAAGCGCCTTGTTCTACAAGTTCGTTAGCAACAAACATTAGACTAGAATAATCAATCAGTGACTCACCTTGACCCCGTTCTTAGCCTTCTTCTTTGCTGGTGCCATTCCAAGAATGCTATCCTCGTCGTTCTCGTCGTCAGGCTCTCGCTTGGACTTTCCATTAACACCATTGCGAGCAGGAACATCTTCAAACTCTTTAACAATAGTAGTGATCAGAGTAGTGCAACGACGCGACAGCTCAATAGGCGTTCGACTGAGGAAGAACCAGTCAAATCGGAAGAGAGGCGATTCTCGAATGTCATCTCGCATCTTCTCGTAGAGACCATCTGAGTCAATACCGTAGCGGTCCAGTAGAACCAGCAAAAATCGATCCTCCTCCTCAGTGTACACCTTCTTGTTCGTAGTGGAAACAGAGTAGTTGATCTTGAGCTGCTGCAGAGGAACTCGGTACTGGCCCATCTTCTTTTTTAATAGCTTCTGGTGATGTTCGATGCGGCGTGTACGCTCCTCGCCGTCCTCAATGGTTTTGATGTACTTGGGATAGTCGGCAATTTCGGTGTATCTCTGCCAGAAGACCTTGGCATAAGCCTTGATTTCGGGGGGTGACTTGCTGTCAATCTCCTGGGAGATGCCTTCGTAATCGTTTCGCCCATATTTGCCAGATCCATTAACAAACTGTTGGAAGTCTCGCTTATTCCAGTCCCCGAATCCTTGCAGCGAAAGCTTCTCTTTCTCTTCTCTCTCCTCCTCAGTCAAAGGTGTAGCATTATCGATCTCCTGTTGGTCAAGAGCTCTCTCGGCCTCTCGCTCTTCAAGGGTGTCTTCTTCACCGTCAGCAAGAGGAACCTTATACCCGATTTCCTTGCGGTAGTAAGCAGTTTCCCTATCTTGGAGATCGCGAAGACGCGGCGGGTAGAACTGGTAGTCGTGGACAGGAACCTGCTTGGGAGCTCGGGGTGCCTTGGGCTTCGCATCCGCCTTAGGATTGGGATACATGGTCTGTCGGAAGTATTTGTCCATCGAGTACGACTGTTCTTTTCGCTCTCGTTTGGCTGGGTTGATCCAAGTCATGTTGATATTCTTCTTCGTGTTGGCAAAGTTCTCGCCATTCCACTCGTAGGCAGATTCTGAGGTGAACTTTTGCAAATCGTCGATTCCTAGCTTCTCATACTTGGCATTAAGCTCTTTTGTTCGGTCTTCACCTTTGGCAAGGATAGCATCGATGTCATCATCATCAATCTCTCCATCCTTGGATCCCATGGTACCTGCAGCCCCCTTGGACTGGAAGACCTTTTCGGCGCCATGTTGAATCATTGACAGAAGTTCGTCCTTGTTTGCTGCGGCCTTGGCGGCTTGTTGTGCGCGACCTTGCTGAATAACAAGCTGATCCAGTCGCAGCTTTTGAGCAGCTCTTTCCAAAACCTTTTCTTCAATAGCATTTTCCGTGACAAATCTGTACACGACAACTTGCTTGGTCTGGCCGATACGATGGGCTCGATCCATGGCCTGCAAATCAGCCTGGGGGTTCCAATCACTATCATAGAGAACGACAATGTCGGCAGTCGTCAGGTTAATACCCAGACCACCAGCACGTGTTGTTAGGAGGAAGACAAACTTCTCCGACCCAGGTTTGTTGTACTCATCAATAGCAGCGATTCGGTCCTCGTGAGCGGTTCCACCATCAATTCGACAGTACTTGTACTCTCGGAAAACACAGTAATCTTCAAGGATGTCCAGTAATCGACTCATCTGGGAGAAGATGAGAACACGGCTGCCTTGCTTCTTGAGTCTCTTGAGTAGTTTGTCAAGAACAGCCATCTTGCCCGCATTGTAAACAAGATGCTCGTCGGTCGTGTACGGAGGGCCTGGCTCAGCACCTTCGAACAGATAAGGGTGGTTACAACACTTCCGAAGCTGCATGACAATGTTGAGCAGTCGAGTCTTCGACTCACGCTTACCACCTGCACCGTTGACAGCGTCGATATCCTTTTCCAAGATCTTTTGATACCACTTGACCTGCATTTCTGACATGCCCAGATAGACGTTGACTTCCTTCTTGGGCAGCAAGCTCTTCTCCACATCGCTCTTCACACGACGCAACAAGAAAGGGCGGAGAACTTTGTGAAGTTGTTGAACAACTGTATCTTGGTCACGGTCTTGACCAGAAAACCATTGGTCGAAAGCCTCCGAGTCACCAAAAACATCGGGAAGCAAGAAGTTGAGGAGAGCCCAGAGTTCGTGCAAGTTGTTCTGCAGAGGTGTACCAGTGATGAGCAGTCGGTTTCGCGAGTCGAACAATCGGATAACCTGCGAAAGTGATGATTCTTCGTTCTTGATACGATGCGCCTGAATTTTTGTCAGCAAATCCCACTCAATCAGTCTAAAATGAACGCACCTCATCAATAATAATGTACTCCCAGGCAAATTTCTTCAAGTGCGACTTCTCTCGAAGCACCATCTCGTAACTAGTGATGCAAACATCAAATTTCTCATCGACGAGTCTGTCGTTAATGAGAGCCTGTCTCTCATCTTTGGCACCTTGTAGCACCAAAACGTCCACTTCAGGTGTCCATTTCGCAAACTCGCGCTTCCAGTTGTCCAGTGTGGATTTGGGGACGATGACCAGGTGTGGTCCGTTGATGTCCAGGATGTGGCGTAGGTAACCGAGAAAAGATATCGTTTGCAGAGTCTTTCCGAGACCCATTTCGTCCGCGAGAATGCCCGAGATACCGTTTTCATGTAGCGAAATAAGCCAATTGAGTCCAGCAACCTGATAGTCTCTCATGGTACCATGGATGAAAGAAGGGGATTCGCGGAATACCGTCTCAGCAGAGCCTCCCTGTTTCTCATCTTTCAGCAATTCAGCGTCTTCTTCAGCTTCTGTGCGTCGACGTCGCTCGCTCGTAGCACCTCCTTGTCTTCCGGCCCCCTTCTTCGCACGGGCTGCTTCGGCGTTCTGTCGATCGATTTCGGTCATGATGTCGCGGATCTTGGGGTCTGGGTTCGTCTCAATGAAATGTCGGAATAGATCGGTGAGGCCGAGCAGATATCTAAATCTTCGGATTGTGTCATCTTCCTGAGGATATCGTCAGTGTCTTTTAATGGCGGCCTGGATCTAAAGGGCGACAAACCTTCGATTCACCTAGTCGATCATGTTTCTTTCCGAAAATACTGCGACGGAGTTGGTTGACTTCTGTACGGCGCCTTCGTCCATCTCCGGTAGGCTCTCCGGCGACACTGCTAGCAGTAGTGCTGGGGTTCTCGGTATCGGTGTAATCGGGGGTCTCGTCGACTTCCTAAAGATATCTGATTAGTACATGGCTTTTGCATCGCGAGTCGCAAATAAATTTGAGTAAACAAATAAACTTACCATATCCTCCGCCTGGCGGTGTTCCTGCGCGTCAGACATGGACGCGTCAGTATCAACAGCGTTGGCTCGAGAGCGAGGCGCCATTACGAGTCGAGTTTAATAAACCTCTTTACGCGACTGGCGTCGAGAAGACGCGTTCAAAGAGGTTATGAAGCGGAATGAAGATCAATGCGAATACTTCGACGGTTCGATTCTTTATCTTCTAGGACGTTGTTCGCAAAGCGATCCTATGTGGCAATTGTCGTTTGAAGGCTTTGAAATTGTAGATGCGTTTGCTAAGGTGTTGGCGAGTAGAATCTAAACGGTCACCTTGAAAGGGCCAGGCAAGGCTAGCGCATTGCTGCAAAGGTCCCTGTCATGGTTTCCCGGCCCCACAATGCCGTGAGGAAGAAAGAATATTCCGGACAGGACAGCGACGTCACAGCATTCGATCGAGTTTCGACTACAAATGCATGTTTCCAGAAAAGATTTGATACGATAAAAGCTTTCCAAACTGTAACACCAAGCATAACTTCTCCTTACCCGGTTGAACTCTCGACATCACGAGTACGATACTTTGAAGCGTCGTCCGTGTCAAGTCACGTGGCTAATCTCCCCCACTCCACCTGCCGACCCCTCGGTTTAGTGCCGTCCATCAGGCTCTGTTGCGGTGTTGAAGTGGATGACTGGTCGAAGGCTTCAGTGACCCCAACCTTTGTTCCCTGCCAACAGTTCAGACTTGGGAAGCAGCTCTTCAGGAGCAACACAACCAAATTTGCTCGACTCTTTTGTATTGTTTGATATTCTTCTCCTCTCTTTCTTTTCTAGGAGCATTATCAGACAGAAATTCTACGACTTTACCCCAGACAACAAACAGGTGAGGCGATCATCCCCTTGACTTCCATAAGCCATCGCTGACTCTTTCATTTCCAGCATCTCCGCTACTCTTCGTCGCTTAATCAGAATGGAGCCTATGAGGGGCGTCTCTGGTGGTATGGGCAAGCAGCCAGCTCAACAAGAAAGCCCTGAACAGCTTCTCGACGTCTTCAAGGCAGCTGCTCTCTCGGTGACCAAGCTCTACAAGATCTCTGCTGCCGGACAGTCAAAGGCACGAGCCGATGGATATCAGGATTGTCTCGATGATCTTTTGCAGTTCTTGGACAAGGAGGGATTGGGCCTCGGCGATGGAGAAGGATGGAAGATTCGTAAATGGGCGACCGAAAGGCTCGACGGCCGTGAGAGCAGCTCTCTGAACACGGAGAGTGAGGATGAAGCGGAGAAGACGGAGACGGCTTCATCGCCTGAACTGAGCCGTCAAAGTGTTCCTCCTCAGCAGCCAAGCCAAATGCGAACCGACTCTGCACCCCCGAGCATTCCTCCTGTCCACGAAGAGCCAACGCCGATTGTTGTCCCCACTCAGGACAACTTCAACTTCCAGTCATCGCATCCTTACCCCAACATCGCCACTCTCGACCTGTCGGACTCGAGGTCCCATGATGACACACCTACTCTTACACGACCATCGAAATCCAGACTCACCGGCGGCTCAAGCCGGGCTTGTCCCAGGGGTCCAGGACATTTGGTACAAAGAGCAGGGTCTAAGCGCAAGCTGAACTTTGATGAAATCTTTGATCTCGGCAGTCTCAGTGGAAAGGATACATTTGGTAATGGGGGCAAGCGTAGCCGACATGCTTGAGCGTTTGATGAGGTGGCGATACTTTCTTTTTGTTCTTGTCTTTTACACAACATATGTCTCGGAGCACTGGGTACTAGATGGAATGGGATGGGATGGGATGAGGCATGTTTACAGACGGACGCATTGACTAGCGAAGAGCATGGGCGGCGTTTGGAGGACGTAACGATTGCATTTGAAGGGTGTCTCTGAAGGTTTTTACTCATTTTGACCTAGCGATTGACCCCCTTCCTTTTTTACGGTAGCACGATGAACTTGACGATGATGAATCCCCCTTTTCTGTTCGGTTTCAACTATTTGCTTATGGTATTCGTATGTAGAGCTGGCACGCTGATCACAACGATATGTGAGTGCTGCCCAAGTTAAGAGTGGTACACCAAGTTCGAATTTATTAAAGACATTATAGCATTGTTGGAATCACAATCTCACACAATCAATCGTCTGGATTTAAACACTTAGAAATATAATTAATAATTTGTTATACAAACGTTTCAATATGTCGGTATTTTCTATTCATCCATTCAGTCATGATGTGCCGGCTCATCTTCGGGTAGGCTCGTATCCACATGCTCACCGTTGTAAGCTCGAGTTAACAAACAAACTTGCAGGGAATGTTGCTATTGTACATGCAGCCCAGTGCAAGGTACATACAACTACTGCACCCTGGCTTTCGCCTCGTTCATCGTGCATTATTTCTTTCTTCGCGATCACTCACTCAACTTGTTTCGCGCTTTTTCGTGTGCCATATTTTTTTTTCTGATTCATTCTCTTCAATCATCCGGACAACATCAAGCACTTCTGTCAGAGGTATGTTTTTTCCAGTTCTTGAAATGCGCTACGCTTTACATCATTTGATAATGATGTCAAGGACGCATTAGACACTACGTGATTTTTGCTTGGTCTTTTTCCAACTATCATCCAACTTTTACTAATCCAGTTCACATAGAAGCACCACATACGAAACTCCATATTAGATCGTACGCGAACTAGTCAACATGTCGGATTCGGGTAAACAAGAAGACAGGCCCATGGTTGAGAACCAGGTCGAGATTGATCATGACCGCGAGCATGACGAGGAGCAGGAGCCCGGAACTGAGATGTCAGCGACTGAGGAGGTGTGTTAGGCGCGCAAAGAGGTGGACTTAACATGGAAACTGACGCCGCACCCTTAGGAAGAAATCACTGCCATGAAGCGCCGCGTGGCAGAGATGGAAGAGGAGGCCAAGAAGCTTCGTGAGATGCAGGCGACTTTGGAGCAGCAGTCTGCAGAGCTTGCGGATGACAAGGAGTCAATCGACGCGCGCAGCATCTTTGTTGGCAACGTCGACTACTCCGCCTCTCCGGAGGATATCCAGGCTCACTTCCAAAGCTGCGGCTCCATCAACCGAGTCACCATTCTTCTTGATAAATTTACTGGACAACCAAAAGGGTATGCTCCAGTTGACTTTTTTCCATCACGGAATACTGCTAACACTATATTTCTAGCTACGCCTACGTCGAGTTCACCGAGCCTAGCCTTGTCGCCCAGGCCCTCGTTCTTAACGAGAGCATGTTCAAGGGCCGCAGCATTAAGGTTACACCAAAGCGCACCAATGTTCCCGGCATGAGCCGTGGTCGTGGTCGTGGTGGATTCCGCGGCGGCCGAGGCAGCTTCCAGGGCCGAGGCGGCTTCCCTCGAGGAGGCGGTTATCGTGGTGGCTACCGTGGTCGTGGACGAGGCTTTGCCCCCTACTAGGAGCAGGACCGCGCATTGCCTTTTGGATATGATCAACGACCCGATCAGCCCAGACCTTTCGAGATTAAGGTCGAGGAATCTCCTGGGCTTGATGACACCCCCTACTATCCCGGGTCTATGGATCACTAATTGTGCGGTTTCTGTGTTGAATATTTCTTATCCTCTATTCAGGGTTATAGTTGTAAGGAGAAGGGTGCATTTAGCAGGGACAAGATGATGCATGTCGTCCATCAATCATATCAGATGGGGAAACATAACCCTCAGCGATGCCAAGGAAAGGAACCGGAGTTTTAGGTCTTTACTTACTTTTATTTCATCATCAAAATTACAACAAAGCGGTTCATAATGTTACCGACGTCTTTAGTCACCTTCCCACTTCTGCAGTCCAAATGTCTATGATGACACCTAAGGAAGCATGCTTTCAATTAGAACATTTAATGACATGATGCCACGCGTTCGCATCGAAGTTCGGACTGCTCAAGAGGCCGCCCATATCGTGCCCCCACAATAGTTTGTGCCAGGGCGCAGATTGGTAACTGTAATGAAGACTTTAATGCAGTGAGACACATCCGGTATCACGGAGTATGTCAAGTAGAAAATCTGGTTGATATGCGACAACCAATAGTCAAGATCAGGCAGAGACCTTACCCTATAGCAAATGCGCAACTCGACTCGCCAGCAACCAGATAACATGTAATCAAGACAACAATGAATTTACTCGAACATCGCGCGACAGCACATAGTTGGCCATTTGCCTATAAAGTAGTTTCGATCATTGTGACTTCATATAAACGGACGAGAATGTTTCCGTTGCGCTCTACTGTTGTACTTTCACAATCATGAAACTGTAATTATGCAACGACAATTACTTGACGGGCAGACCACAACGAAAACATCCCTATTGGCTAGTTATACTGACCTCATAACATCTGCCGTCGACGCAATTAATTTGTTGTTGTTGACGTCCGTCTGGTGGCTCAGCGGATGCTATTTGCAGACAAGCAAGCCACTACGAATCCAGACATCTACTCCGTATTCTTATTATGGTACGGATAAGCTGTAATAACGCTGCAGGGAGAAATGATATCCGTCTCTGTATTAGAAGCTTGTAGGTAATTGGTTTCATATTGATCCTACAGACCATGGGTATTAGGCATTATGAGCTGGTTGTCAAAACATAGCAAGGAGCCCAAACTTGGCCATGGGACCTGGCAGTAGGTGCTTTTAAGCGCCAGATGATGCTTGATTTGACTAGGCGTCCACTGAAAGTTGTGCCGATGATCCGTACGCCGCAGTTAGTCTTGGAATATCTACCTAATAGGTCATGATGAGGATTTGAGAGGTACTTATGATTCCATAACGTACACTACCGTGACATGGTTCTAAGCTTTACTGCCGAGGCAGTGTTGATTGTGAATGATTATTAGTAGAGGTATGATTTCTCATCAACCACAAATCAAAGTGGCGACAAGATAGTTATGGGGTTCCAGCCTCAAAGCAGATTTTTGCATAGAAGATGATATAAAATTAATAAGACATTTCAAATGAATTTGCGGATACTCATGTCGGTTCTGGAATATTCATTATGATGGCATGTTTCATTGGAACGATCTTCACCAAGGAGCGGAGGCAAAAGAACCTCTGTTTGCCAACCACTAACTTAATCTCGGGATGTCTAGTTTAATGTCTTGGTACACTCAAAGGCCCGGATATAGGACACAAGGCATCCATATCGACTTATCGAATGTTAGGATAAGTTGGCATGAGAGGCGCCAGGATCCTAGGGTCTGGGCAGGTATGGAGGTGCAAGCTGTGTATTACTTGGCGAAGCAACAGGAGGTGTCAAAGTGCTGAGGCTGCTTGCAGTTATTCAGCAGGAGTACAAGAGGTGTACTTATAAGACCAAGGAAACTTTCAACAGAAATACCTCAGCCGTGTTACTCACAGCGAGATTATAGGCTACCGGGAAGTTCGTTCTTCCTCGAGAAGAGTGACTTTGGTTCTTCTCCACCACATGCATCCGCTAAGAAACTATCCCAGTCCATGAAACTGCACCCAAGCCCCCCATTTACAAGGCCCAAAAGATCCTCCTTAGGCCGTCAAGTCGGGTCGATTGATTTGTGTTATCAACACCAACAAACCAACCACAGGACAGGTAACGATTGTGCCTGAACCCACTCAGATCGTGGTAATAGAATCCAATCAATCGATTGACCGTGCGCCCACTGTGGCATATGCATATTTTCTCTCTTGTTTATTCTGGATGATTCACCAACCCGTCCGTCTCAGACCATTGCTGCATCATAAAGGGACAGACTATTTATTGCTAATTGAGCGGTCGGTACTTACCCAACATAGCAGCTACCAAGGTAACAGATCTTCCCGTTCCGGCCGTTCTCTGTACCTTCTTTGTACCCAAGGTCTGAAAGGTGCTGTACCTAGAAGCGGGGAGTCCGTGTCCAGTCTTTCCCATCTTTTAGGCCCGCGCCCGCCGCCCCGTGCACAGCCTCAACCTCCCCCCGTTGTCCCAACTCCAAGCGTCGTCAACTTTCTTTCAGTTGAACCCTTCGACCTGAACCACCCGATCTACCTACATCAAGCGCCTTCCCCTTTCTCGACAAGGCTTCGCTGTGTGACCCTTAACTTCACCTTCACCTCATAAACACCCTACATTATCGTTGTCGTCGTTGTGACTTAGTCCCTCGCTGCGCAGTGCAAGAGGTGACACCATGACCAGTCGCACCGATTCTAAGTAAGTTCCCTCCCAGCCGTTTCCACATCGCATCGCGTCCAGCTTCAGCTTGACGGAAAATTACATTGTGCCTTTGACTTCTCCATAATACTCATACTGACGTCTATCACAGCAGGCCTAACCTTCGGGTTACCAGTGAGTTACCACCGTTAATCTACCCCTCCGTTCGACTTTCAATATTGACATCATCCAAGTTATCGCGGCCGACGGTCTATATAAGAGGGATGTTTTCCGTATGTGCCGCTCTTGAAACAATACACAACTCCAAGGCTAATTTCCCTCAGGCTTCCCCGACCCTTTTGCTGTTGCGACCATAAATGGCGAGCAAACCAAAACAACGACTGTCAGCAAAAGGACTCTAAACCCGTACTGGAACGAGAGCTTTGACTTGTAAGGTGCCCCGCCACCGTGAATAAAGTTGACATTCAGCTCACATCTATCAGTCGCACCAACGAAGATGGCATCCTCGCAGTACAAGTTTTTGACCAGAAGAAGTTTAAGAAGAAGGACCAGGGATTCTTGGGAGTTATCAATATTCGCGTCGGAGATGTCATACCTGAGCTCAGTGCAGACGCCGATGGTCAGTTGACTTGATACCCAAAAAAGGAATGTGAATAGCCCTGCTGACATTTACACGCGCGCCTAGACCAGATGCTCACACGAGACCTGAAGAAATCAACCGATAACCTTGTCGTCCATGGGAAGCTCATTATTAACCTGTCTTGCAACCTCAGTGCACCAGCCCGCGGCGGCCAGACATCGACAGCTCGACCATCTTTGGGCACCGGCCCTTCGAACGCTTCCAACCTCTCCGCCCCCCCGCCAGAGAACCGACCGGGATCTTCAATGTCAGGACCAAACGGCGCCGGTGGCTCGCAGGTCAACTTGGCACATCGCCCATCTAGCATTAACTCTGTTGGCGGTGCTAGCGCCTCTGGACCAAATGCTTCCGGACAAACTCGCCAAACCAATCAACTCAGCCCATTCGAAGATGCTCAAGGACGTCTACCCGCAGGCTGGGAGCGTCGTGAGGATAACCTAGGTCGCACCTATTATGTCGATCACAACACCCGAACAACGAGTTGGAACCGACCCACTGCATCTGGTGCCCAGGAGCAGAGGAACGACCGAGAGGCCGCTACTCAGGTTGAGCGACAGAGACATCAGAACCGTACCTTACCCGAGGAGCGAACTGGTTCCAATTCGCCCACACTGCACGCGCAACAGCCGCCACCAGCGGCAGCACCAGCAACTAACGGCGGCGCGGTGATGCACACTGGAGCAACAAGCCCCGGCACAGGAGAATTACCTCCAGGTTGGGAGCAGCGATGGACACCCGAAGGCCGACCCTACTTTGTTGACCACAACACAAGAACGACCACCTGGGTCGATCCACGTCGCCAACAGTACATCCGTATGTATGGCGGCCAAAACAATGCCAACGGCCAAATCCAACAGCAGCCTGTGTCACAACTTGGTCCTCTACCTAGTGGTTGGGAAATGCGACTGACCAACACTGCTCGGGTCTACTTTGTTGATCACAATACCAAGACCACCACATGGGACGATCCTCGACTACCCTCATCCCTGGACCAGAACGTTCCTCAGTACAAGCGAGACTTCAGGCGAAAGCTCATTTACTTCCGCTCACAACCAGCCATGCGAATCCTTAGTGGTCAGTGTCACATCAAGGTGCGACGCTCTCACATTTTTGAGGACTCGTTCGCCGAGATTACACGACAGTCTGCCACCGACCTGAAGAAACGACTTATGATCAAGTTTGATGGCGAAGACGGTCTGGACTATGGTGGTCTCTCTCGAGAATTCTTCTTCCTCCTCTCACATGAAATGTTCAACCCCTTTTATTGTCTTTTCGAATACTCCGCCCACGATAATTACACCCTTCAGATTAACCCCCACTCCGGCATCAACCCGGAGCATCTCAACTACTTCAAGTTCATTGGTCGTGTTGTCGGCCTGGCGATCTTCCACAGACGCTTTTTGGATGCCTTCTTTATCGGTGCTCTATACAAGATGATGCTCGGCAAGGCAGTAGCCTTGGCAGACATGGAGGGTGTCGACGCAGACTTCCACCGATCATTGCAGTGGATGTTGGACAACGACATTTCCGGAGGTATCTTGGAACAGACCTTCTCTACTGAAGATGAAAGGTTCGGAGTTCTCACCACCGAGGATCTCATTCCTGGCGGTCGCGACATTGAAGTCACCAACGAGAACAAGAAGGAGTATGTTGATCTAATGGTCAAATGGCGAATTGAGAAACGTATCGCCGAGCAATTTCAGGCTTTTAAGGAAGGTTTCCAAGAGCTTATTCCTCAGGATCTCATCAACGTCTTCGATGAACGTGAGCTCGAGCTCCTTATCGGAGGTATCGCCGAGATCGATGTCGACGACTGGAAGAAGCACACCGATTACAGAGGATACACCGAATCCGACGAGGTCGTGCAGAACTTCTGGGCGACAGTGCGATCCTGGGACGGTGAACAGAAATCACGACTGTTGCAATTCACTACTGGAACCTCACGAATTCCCGTCAACGGATTCAAAGATCTTCAGGGCAGTGATGGTCCTAGACGATTTACTATTGAAAAGGCGGGAGAAATCACTAATTTGCCAAAGGCACACACTTGGTAAGTCAATATGTTCTTTTGTTATGATGCAAAACTGACGGTCAACAGTTTCAACCGACTCGATTTGCCACCTTACAAGAGCCTAGAGATGCTTCAGCAGAAGCTCACGATTGCCGTCGAAGAGACTATGGGTTTCGGTCAAGAGTAGACAATAACGACATTACCTTCAGCAGGGACACTGAACTGGAAAGGTTTAAACTACAGTCAATTGCACTGCCCTGTATTCACCACACAAGAGCGACCTTCTCTGGTCTGCCCCATTCCTCTCTCATATACATGCAACAACATTTGGGTATTTGCTTTGGTCCCAAAGAGGGACAGACTTGGGTCATATGGCGCTGGTGAAATTAATTCGCCTTCAACATGCGATGCATCATCTGATTCTTCTCCTGGCTCCTCGAGAGAAAATGGACGAGATTTTAAACGGGCCTGCCAATACAAGTGCATCTCGCCCGACCTGTTTCGTGGAGAAGAAGAAGCTTTCGCAAACATTGTGGAACTACTAGGCATGCGCCGGGACAGACGGGTCCTTGGCTGCGATGTTGCTTGACGAGCGATGGAAAAAGAAACTGTACTTAGCCATGTATTACGTGCGTTGTCAGCAGAGGCGAAGCCAGCGTGTTTGAGCTGGAAGTTAAGAAGGACAGGGTAACAGCGCTTCATTTCAACTATTTATTACATATATAGCACTCTCACTACCTAACATTCCGGACACTTGACATGAGACTTTCAGGCATGGCCATATTGATATGTGTATATGTTGATGTATATATATATATAAATGGTGGTCATAGATCACACGCGTTCACAGCGAGAGTTCTTTAGCTGGTTTGACTCCTGATTAATGTAATGCTAAAGCTGGATAAACGACCTCCCCATCTACTCCTTATATCAGCCGTACCATCGGAAAGCCGCCCATGATTAAATCAAACGAGGAACAAAAAGAGTATAGTGCAAATGTGAGGCCATTCCGCCATGGTATACATGGCTGAGAATATCTGATAACCTCGAGGCAATCCTGACAGCGTCAAGGATCCTATAGCCTTGATGGCTCCAGTCCTGTAAACCGACTCCGTCCTGAAGTCTATCGCGAGTAGGGGTGAAATCCGCGGTTTCCACCTCGTCCGCCACCACGGTAGTTGGCGCCTGGTTTACCAGCGTTCTTGGGGCCGGTGGGTGCATTGGCTGGTGGTGCATGTTGAGGGTCAGAGCTTCCACCAACGCTGCCAGCGCGGTTGTTGGGCTGGGGGACATCGTCATACATGCCCTCCCATGAAGTTGGAGCTCCGCCGCCGCCTCCCATGTTGTAGCCTCCATGTCCTCCATGGCCGCCGCCGTAACCTCCGCGACCTCCACGGCGACCTCCTTGAGGCTGTTGCTGTTGGTATTGGTTAAAGTTGCCGTTGTCATATCCTCGGCCGGCACCACCGTTGGCTGATGCAGTGGGGCTGGCACTGCCGGAGCCAGCGTCTTGACCGCCTTGCTGACCCTGTTGCTGCATCATCTGTTGCATCTGCTGTTGCATCTGCTGCGCCATTTGAGGATTCATGTTCTGCATCATGTTTTGACCGTTGGCGCCGCCTCCCCGGCCGCCCATCATTTGTTGCTGCATTTGTTGCATCTGCATCATGTTCTGCCACACGGCTGGGTTCATGGGCATTCCTCGGCTCATGGCCATCTGGGACTGCATCATGGTGAAGTACTGCTGCATGCGTTGGAAGTACTGGGCCATGACTTGAGGTGTCATGCCATTGTTGTTGCCCATCTGTTGGCCCATAGAGCCTTGGTTCGACTGGTCGCCATCCTTTCTGAACTTGCCGCGTCGCGAGGCCTCCTCTTCTTCTCGGAGGTTGCCTCTTGGCTGTGCCTTCTTAACCTCGATAGGCTTTCCGTGGATCTCCAGTGGCACGTTGATGCAGGCATCGACACCAGCTTCATTCTCAAACGTGACAAAGCCGAACCCTCGTGGCCGGCCGGTATCTTTATCCATCATAAGGGTCGCGTCCACGACACGGCCGAACTGGGCAAAGTATTCCTTGAACTCCTGGTCGGTCGTTTCCTGGCTGACACCACCAACAAAAATCTTGCTTGTCTTTTCTTGTTCATCTCGGGGAATGGCCCGCTTGGGATCGATCTGCGACGTTGTTAGCTGCCAGAACGGAAGGATAAGCTGAAGCTCTACTCACAATCTTGCCATCGAGGAAATGCTCCTTGACCATCACGATGTTGACGGTCTTGGCATCTTTGAATGTGAGAAAACCGAATCCTCGCGATCGTCCTGTGCTGCTGTCTCTCATGACAGTGCATTCAACTACCTCGCCGAATTGAGAGAAGTAGTCTCTTAGAGATTCTGTTGGTCGTCATTAGTACAAGACTTGTTGCGTTGTATCTGCATGACTTACGGTCGGTAGTTTCCCAGTTAAGACCACCAATGAACATTTTACTAAACAAACATGTCAGTATCTCTGCGATTTTCAAGTACAAAGTTTATGCATTGCAAGACATCAAGGCAGCTGTTTAACACAATCGTGCTGGGCCTGGCACAGGGGTGTATCCAAGCTGAAGGCGAAGTGGCTTGCTTAGACATATCCGGAAATTGGCGAATAATCAAGGGTCTTGCTGAGTTGGGATTGTGACCTCGAGTTTAACAAAGCTGACAGGTCTAAGTCCAGTACCCGATACAACGACAAAAAACCTGGTGACCCTGGCTTTCATCGTTGAAATCTGGCAAATACTTTGCATCCGCAACAAACAATCTGTGGAAGTTTGCAGGGCAATACGGGTGCATGCAGAGAATGTTAAGTCCCAGTAGAAGAGAGTCGCCTGGTCGGTTTGTTGTAGTTGGCGGCAGAGAACTGCAAGATCCCTGTTTGTGGATGCAGAATGGGCCAACTTAACAAGGGCGATTGTTGACAAAAAGTTGATCATGGACCGCCAAAGATGGTCGAAGGAACGGCGCAGACATTGCAACGAGAGATGCCAGATCAGCTTGGTCGAATATTTTTTCGTCTTGTGCTATCGTCTTGACTGTCCTCTGTCTCATGCTAGGTACTGGCCTCGAGCGCTATTCGCTGCGAATCTCGCTATAGCATCCGGGAGTGTTTACCACTCCCGTTGGCTCAAAGATTTCTGCGACTGAGGGCTATGGAAGACTCAAGTAGTAGTGTCTTTCGTCTGGTCTAGTGCCGGATGATTCTTCTTGGGAGTATCCACAGGGCGAATCCCATACTGATATCGACAGCCTCCTCTTCCTCTCATTGCTCTAGAGAGCAGCCGAAAAACTCGTCTTAACTGGTCATAGCTCTTGGTCCCCATTACTCTTGGCTGAGATTATAGCAAATCCTCCGTTTTGAATCTTTGCAGTATAATGTCTCTGATGGCAGAACCTTCTTCTCTCAATTTGACCGCGACCCTCTCTAGCCAGCCACCGTCCGAGATGCATGCAAAGCTAAATCGAGAGCCACTATTACATGGCAACCATGTTGCCATCACGATTCAAGGCGGTGGAAACACAGCGAAGTGCAAAATTTGTCCCAGGGCATGCTTAAGGGATAGAAATCACGAAGTGCAGGAATGGCATAGACTTACCCATCTTCTTTGGCACTTGCCTTGTGAACCGTTCCATAGGGAGGTGTTTGAGCATCGTCATGCATGCCAGACTGGCCTGTGTGACTGCCATAGCCTCCCCCTCCGCCAAGATTGAAATCAACATCATCATCATCGTCATCTTGATCTTGAGTCATATGTTCATCACCCCCTGCGTCTTGAGGTTGATATGTAGAATTGTGGTCGTCGTTGTCGTGGGTGTTAGTAGGAGGTTGCACCTCTGGGGCAGGGGGAGCTGCAGGAGCTGCAACAGGGGCAGGCGCAGGCTTTGGGGCATCGTTATCGTCGTAGCTATTGAAGAGTCAGCATCTTTGAGATTTGCTGGGCGCATTTTGTAGCGTCATATGTAGCCAAAGCTTACAGGTCGGCGAAGAGATCGTCCTCAAAGTTCTCTGGCTCGGTCATGGTGATGGTTGAGATGCGTCGCGTGGTCCTGAGAAACAGAGAACGGGAAGATGCGCAAAAGATGCGCGCTGCGTGTTAAGTGTAGATCGAAATGAGTCACTGTCGTGTGGGAAGAAAAAGAGAGGGAACAAGACGTGATGCACGAGATTGGGAATAGAAATTGATTGATCAAAAAAAGAGGATTCAACGAGAAAGATGGAAGAGGAGGCGACTGAATGAACCATGAAGGTAACTTCGTCGACTGGCGGAGCTAAAGGTAAACTACATTTTTGACTAAGCACAACGACGACCAATCAGATGCGGGCGCATCGAGCAAGCAAACGACCGGTGCCAGAGTAAAAACACTTGGACCTCTGAATAATTAAAGAGATACTCATTTTTTACAGTAATTGACATTGTGTCACTACATCATTTCTCATCATGACAATCTATAATCGTTGGGCGTGATTTAATAATTGATTACAACTCTCCTGAAATTCCCATCCTATAGTTCATGTTATAAGCAAGGCCCATGAAAGTGGACACAGCGCAATCATTCACATAATTTAGCATTATTATTGAGGCCCCTTTTCTTTTCCGAATTAAACGCCTTTCAAATTTGTAAATGTAGCTTATGTTGTTGATCTGGCTCCAACTACCATTATGCAGTGCTGATGTTGTTATCAAAGAATTAAGCGCAGATCTATCCTGGATCTGTAGTATTGAGGCCACGGACGGGCTGGCGCTGGCAAGTAGCCCGCCGGACGCGGGCAGGGTTATGGGTGATTTAGCGGACAACCCCACTATGCACCCGCTGTTGTTCAAGCTGTGGTAGCGCTGTTTGCGGGGTGATCTCGTGGTCGAGCCAGGGCAGCCTAATTAAGCCCGTTCCTTATTGTTCATCGATCCATCGACTACCTATGTCAATCCAACCAACCTACTGACTTTCCTGCACTTTACAACATCATAGCGTCGCGTTGCATCGCAGCATGTAAAAGAAGTCCCAGGCCTCTTGTTAACGGCCTCGCTTCTCGTCATCGAACCATGTGGTCATCTTCTGGAAGCGGCAAGAAGCCCGCGCAATCTGTAAGTACTGACTATCACCGTCGAAGCTCTCATGGCTCACGAGACTCGACGTAATGGCCACCCGCCTTTGCTAACAGCCCCACTGCCGCAGGAGATGGTCCAAGTTGGTATGTTCAGAAGGGAGCTTAAAATATGACGACTTTTTGCTAATACAAGCTCAATTGCTGTTGAATAGATCGGTCAGAGTATGTATTATTTGTCCTGGCCTTTCGCATTATATGAGTTCGCCTGCTGAAGCTTGTCCAACTAGTTCCGCATCACCTTTCTGGAGACCGCCACCACGAGACAGTCTTAGCTCGACATCAAAGAGAAATGTCACGTCACCTGCAGGCCATGGATCTGGTCTCATTGTTGGCGCTGCATATTCCCATGCTGATATGCTGAAATTCGACTCTTTGTAAGTGGGATTGTTGTGATCATGAGAGGGACAATAGTCGCTGACGTCGATTTACTAGGAACTCCAACTCCTCTCGCCCTAGAACACCTCCCTCCTCCTCTTCAGCTAAGATTCGAATCCAAGAAGCCTCTCCCCCGTCAAGGGCGACCCCAGGCAAGAGCGGTTCCCCTCCCTACAAGAGCTACATCAACTTCCTATCCAACACGAACGATGACTGGAAAGCGGACGAAGACGAGATGATGGGTTATGAGGACGATGATGGTGATGACTTCGGTTTGCCTAGCCTGTCTAATACGAAGAGAAGGACGCGGCGCATTGCTACACAGAACAGGGCCGAGTCGAGTACATTATCGCCATCAACTGAGGGGCCCTCTTCCAATGCCCTCCTGACAAGACGATATTCTAATAGCGCTGATATCGCTATCGAGCGACCTGCGCCCACTTACCCCATGCCCAAGAAGAGCGAAGGCAAGATACTTCGACCGCAATACAAGGAAATTCTCAAAGGTTTGCCCGCCGCACTTCAACGCGCTTCTCGCATGGTACTGACAATGGACAAAAAGACCCCGCCAATGCTCTACACCTCATCAACTACCCTACTGTACCAGCCAACGCCACACCTAAAGAAACCGATGCCATCAATTCTCGAATCACGCGTATAAATAAGTTCAAAAAGCTCCTGCAAGCTTCGACAATCTCGTTGCCCGACTTGAGACAACTCGCCTGGTCTGGTGTGCCGCAGGAGGTTCGCGCCATCACCTGGCAACTACTGCTGAGTTATCTTCCGGCGAATAGCGAGCGCCGGGTTGCTACTTTGGAAAGGAAACGCAAAGAATATTTGGACGGTGTTCGCCAGGCATTCGAAAGAGGAGGAGGCCCTACAACCACATCAGCAAATACAGCCTCCACAGGCCGAACCCGAGGCCTGGATGAGGCCATCTGGCACCAAATCAGCATCGACGTACCTCGTACCAACCCACATATTGAGCTGTACAGCTACGAAGCAACACAACGGTCACTTGAGCGCATTCTATATCTGTGGGCTGTGCGACACCCAGCAAGCGGCTATGTTCAGGGTATCAACGACCTTGTAACGCCGTTCTGGCAAGTGTTTCTTGGCATTTATATCGGAGATCCTGATATTGAATCAGGAATGGACCCGGGACAACTTCCCAAGTCTGTATTGGACGCAGTCGAAGCCGATTCTTTCTGGTGTCTTACAAAGCTGCTCGATGGCATTCAGGACCACTACATCGTGGCGCAACCAGGTATTCAACGACAGGTTACTGCGCTGCGCGACTTGACAGCGCGCATAGATGCCAACTTGTCCAAGCATTTGGAGCAAGAGGGCATCGAGTTCATTCAGTTCAGTTTCCGTTGGATGAACTGTCTCTTGATGCGAGAATTCAGTGTCAAAAACACCATTCGGATGTGGGACACTTATTTGGTTTGTCACCCCCTTTGTTAACAAAGACTTGAGAAAACTAATCAATCTACCAGGCCGAAGAACAGGGCTTTTCCGAATTCCATTTGTACGTGTGTGCGGCCTTTCTTGTGAAATGGTCCGATAAGCTCCTCGACATGGATTTCCAGGAGATCATGATGTTTCTTCAGAGCCTTCCCACCAAGGGCTGGACGGAAAAGGACATTGAGCTGCTCTTGAGCGAAGCCTTCATTTGGCAAAGCCTTTTCAAAGGATCGGCAGCGCACCTGAAGGGTCAACCTGCTCGAGAACCAGTGACGAATTTACAGCTATGAGAAGAAAAGGTGAAATCTTGACCATGGCATGGAAGCTTGAATATGCATATTGCAATACTGTTCGGCGTTGGTTCATCATGGGCGTGGCGCGATGAAGTGTTCTTGGTACAATGTAATGACCGAGCATATATATTATATATACAGTAATGTGGATGAAATGACGACCGACAAGCTGCCGCGATTCTGGTTCTTACTTTGTATGGCGTTCTCCGTGCATCCATCCATAGCTTAAAGACATGTTAATCGTGACAAGACTTGGTATTGTGTTTTATTTATTATCATGGCGAATTAGCCTAACATTTTACATTCGAGAACCAAAAACGAGAGGATCCCTTCTGTTTTGTCTCTTTTTCATTTTCTTTCGATGGACCAATCTTGTTGGTTTCGAGGTATCCTTAGTTATGTGACTTTTATCTCCCGACACACGTATGCCTCTTATCGATGAAGTGCTTGAGCGTATTATATGCCCTCCACATTATGTCAAACATCCGCTCTTCTATAGGCAAATAATCCAAATCCGGAACGCCAGGCCGTGAATATTAGTTATATACATTCGCACCAGGGACCATCCTATCCTGCAGAGGACCAGGTGGTGTAGTAAACAAGTACTGTTGATCTTAGTATGAGTACCGCCGTATAGAGTCCTTCCTAGGTTCCACAAGATCTCTTATAAACCCTAGTTTCTCGCGGTCTTCATCACACACACGAGCCCACTCGAGCAACAAACGCCAAGTATAGAGGCGCATGTCTTCACGACGCAGGACTTGGCTCGCCCAGTCTCTACCCTTCTCTGCAATGAATCGGGCTGCGGTATCTCCACCAGCTTCTTCATCGGTAAAGAATTCGAGGATAGGGTAGAGGTCCTGGAAAGTATTGTCAAAGGGCACAAAATGAACCCATGGAGTAAGACGATCGTCATGCCATTCGGCATAGATCGTAGCTTTAAGAGGCATACTCGAAGAGCGCAGAAACCCTCGGAAGCGGGCGCTGAATGAGTTGCCATCGGTATCGGGGAGAAACTTGAATGCGTACTGCTCTTTCATAGGCATATGCTTGAGTTCGCGATAGTAAGGAGCAAACTGCTCGCAGCCAACCTTTTCGCATAGAAGTCGCTTGAAGCCGCAGTCAGATATCTCCTTCAACCACTTGCCAAGGGTATTGGTAGTGCGATGAGTGCTGTTGTAGTGGTCTGGGTCTGGTAGTTGGAAAGTTTTCGGTTTCACGCCTTCATGCTCGACACTGTCGACATATGAACCGTTTAGCATCTGCATAAGACGGTGACGATGGAAGCGGTGCCAAACGTCAGCCCTCGGCTCACCACCAGACGCATCGCCCCTCCACACGATACCTGTCTTCTTGGCATGCCATGCTGGGCCCATCTTGTCTCCTCCAGAGTAAAACTCATCAGCCGTGAGATACATGGCACCAGGAATCAAAATCTCGTTGTTCATTGGGAGCTTGGATCCGCCGAACAATGGGATCAATTCGGTAGAAGTTGACAAGCTAAGGGGTGCAACAAAACTCCCGTGCATCTGACGCAGATGTGGCTGTTGGCAAGGATCTTGGGAGGCGGTCCAATTCTTGATATACCCTCTGTACGCATATTCGGGGCTCCAGTTCGATGGGTACTCGACAGGAGCTTTAAAGTCTGAGACTTGTTGGACATTGCGCGACGGAGCGTTAGGGTCACACGTCACACGCGCAAGCTCCCAGTAGTTTGCTGAACTATTGTACCAGTAAGGGTCGTACGGCTGAGGTTTTTCATCGTCGAGTTTGGAAAGGCTTTTGAACTTTGTAAAAACTTCCCTCATAGGAGCTATGCGTCGGTTGTCGCGCTCTTGTTCGACGAGCTTCGACAAGTCTTCGAAGGGGACCAGGAGCCGGGGTTCGTCCATATAGTTGATTGGCATGTCGACGTCAGGTAAATCCTCTGCGAACTCCTTGACAAGATCGGTCCATAACGTTAGCCATGGCACACGCTCCGTTGTGTCACCAACGCCGGTAGCCTCGCCGTTGCGAACTTTGACAACCCAGTGCCAAGCAGATGCGCGCCTAGCAAGCGTATGAGCGTCGAGCGCCCAGTAAGGAGCCAAGTCCTTGTATATGCGATCGAAATAGTCCTCCACAATAATGCTCTTTGAAGCAATAGCAGCCTCGACCCATTTATCGAAACCCGGTGGGGGGTGCCGTCCTCGGCGAGAGCGATAGCGCTCAGCGGCGTCATATAGATCGTAGCTTCGTTTTGAGAGAAGGTTCTCATGACGAGCGCGGGCATCGGCCATGAGCTTCTTAATTGGATGTTTTGGGCCCAAAGTGACGGGGCCTTTCGGTTCGGTGACATCCCAGCCTTGACTGCTGGTCCATAATATGTAATTGGTGATCGCGAAACATATAAGAAATAGGGTACTGAGATAGCGGAAGACTAATCGAGAAGGCCAATTCGATAGCCATTGTTTGAACCCAGGCCACATCATGGTCACGGTTATGATGATGGAAGGTGACGAAGGCGGCGGAGGAGTCGGAGATTTATGCGCGCCTCGGGAGAGTGGGCGAACGAAGCATCGATGAATGACCGTAAGCTCAAAGAGCAATGTAAAAGGGCATTATTGAGCGAGATATTCCTTGGATATGCGCCGGAGAGGAGACGTTCGAGGTTGGTCTCGGTAGGGATTCGGCGGGTCGTAGTGGATATCGTAGCAGCGACGCAAAGAAAGGCCGGAGTAGGATAGGGCAGAGAAATTTTTAGATAGAAGACAAAGAAGAGAAAAACAAGAAAATGGTATGATTACTAAAGTAAAGTGAAAAGCGACAAAGTTGAGATGAGATTGTGGTGTTGAGAACAGTCAAGTGGAACAGGAAGGAGTTCCTTGACGAGTACCTGCCCTGCCCTGTCGAGTCGAGGTGGGAAGTGGAAATGGCCGGGAAGTCAAGACCTGGCTCTCTGGCCCTTTAGTGGAGGGGAGGAGGCGTTGTAGCGTGGAGAAGTCACACTTGAAGATTGAATTTGCGGGCCACATGCGAGTGTATGAACTTGCAAGGGGAAGGAGCAGACAGATTTTACTAACAAGAAGGCGCTCTTGACTGAATTCGAATGAGACATCTATTTTAAAAGAAGGAATTCATAACTCGCGACAGCAGTTGCACCAAGTGAAGATACGTAATCAGCATCCATTCTAATGGAGTAGCAGAAATATCCAGGCCATTCGCGGAAAGACTACCTGAAGTCTGGAAGCTAAAGATTAGCTTGAAATCCTTTGGTTGGTTACCTTGTGAGGTTCGGTCTTATGGAGATGTATTATGCTGGGGTACGGCTTACTTCAGGGGAGTCGTGCTGAGAAGGACTCGGAGTTAGAACTTGTTTTTATGGGTAGTTGGATTTTAATTCGGCATTATATATGATATGTGGTTTATTTTCTGTAAACTTGTTTGATTTGCTGCATCTGAGTGTGTTCCAAGGTTGCACCACCCATCCCCAAAAACCACCCACTTGCCGTTGGAGGTTACGAAGCAGCAAAATGCAGCTAGAAAGGGGGAACAGGTCTCAGAACGGCAACTACTGCTCTGCCCGCATCCAGACCTTAGCGGGGTGGCTTGGCATCTTGTTAGTGATTATAAGCTGAGTTGGTCCACCGATCTGATGGGGTTGGAATGCTATTTATGTCACTAGAGACTATCTGTCCTTGACAACTCTGATTCTTTTAATGCCGTAGTTTTAGTTGTCAGTCAAACAATTGTTTGGTTCTCGAATAACATCATCTTAAACTCGGCATTTTAAAGACTGCAGGGCTCTGTATGCATATCAAAAACTAGCTGCGTCTAGCCTCGCGTTGGCGCCCCGTGGCTGACTTTTATCCATTTGCTACAGAAAGTGACATGACATTACTGACAGTTTGTGAAGGTAACCACAAATGTCTTTCATTTTTGATAGAAACAACCACGATCCCTGCATAAACCGGTTATTAAATCCGAAAGCGTGACTTGAAGTCCTCATCCAGGGGTCAAGGCATTTGATTTTTAATTAATATCGATATAAACCATCCGCGGTCATTACGGTCGACCGCGAATAGCACAGAGTCGCTTACCACATCCCCGTTCATTGAATCCTTGATCAATGGCCAAAGCGAGAGACAACCGAGACTACAAGCATTTTACAGTATGAAACCGAGTTAGAGCAAGATCAGCGAACCCCCAAGGCCTGGTCAAACATAATCATTCAATTGGCGATTTCTTAACCAACAGCGACCCTACGAAAATATCTGTGTATAACCGACCTGTGATTGAAGCTGCAGCTAATTATCCCCGGTTCCGAAGTGAACCACCGCCAAAACCCTGCAGCCTAGTAGTTTGTACCTGTCGCCCTGTCAGTAACCTAAATCAACTCATTTACAAACACTAACAAAGCATATCGTATGTGTTTCTTGCAGGGGGATCAGAGCCAACCAGGCTTTGACTTTAACGGCTTCAAATGAAGCTAGTCAATTAACTGCCCCTTTTCTGTAAGGGGCCGTGAACTCTGGGGAAGATCTACAAGATCACGTTAGTTAACGTGTCGTTCTGGGAATAAACGTGTTTGTAGAGATAACCATAAAGCCAAGCGCGAAGCACCTGCCGCCGGAATACACCAGACTGTTGTGAAGTGATGTGTGCTTGATACCCTGTCCTAGTAGGTGAGCTTTCAATTAGATTCGATACTCAACCTGAACATCTTTAATGCGAAATAAGACGTCTGAGATTGGGTTAATTGTCGAATAAGGGCAAATTAGTGTGAGAAGCCTCTTTATTTTTTTCCAATTGCTTAACCACGCTTCAATATTAACAGTCACGATAGTTCTGTTAGCCCGGTTATTAACCCTGTCTGTAAACTCTTTTCGATACCGAAATGGATGTTGAGAAACATGACATTCCAAGAATTTGATTGGTTATGAGAAAGTATGTAGAATTGCATATTGCACAGTCCCCAGGCCATTGGAGAACAATGTTCAAGAGCACTAGAATGATATATTTTATGCCATTTAGACCAGGCCTTATGCTGTTTACCTATTTCTTGCGGACTGAGCATCTATTCCGGACTAATCTACACTACTACATCTGCAATTGAGGACCCTGATCCATGAAGTTTGGATCTAGAAGATATTCGCCACTAGATTCAAATGATTTGAAGCTAGGAAAACCCTCCAATTGGAAATTTGTTGTCTACTGGCAGACTCACTGTCTAAAGGCAATATGAACGTCATGGATTTTGAGAGTAGAGACTTTTGAACCCCGTGATGATTTAGTGTAAGGTGAATCACTCTTTAGGAGGCTCAAAAAAGAAAATTCTCAATCCAATTGTTCTCGAATTTTTAATCCTTTACAATTCAAGACTTCCTCCTGATCATTTATCTTGGGATTCATTCTCTTAAAGTCGAGGTTATCACCAAAACCATCCCCACACCCCGGCTAATCCACGGGCCTCTATCCAAGCACCACTAGCCAATCAGAATCGCCTTATTCCTCTTCGGCAAGCAAAGAGGCGAATCATCCAAAACGTCAACCAAGAAAGCTTCGCTCCGCCAACGCTGTCGACTACGCCCGCGCCAATCTCCCCTTCTCGTCACCTCTGATATCGTGCGATCGAGGAAATCTCGTCTGCCGAATCATTCTATCACCCAAGATGCTTTCCTCTACGCGATCCGCGGCCTCAATGGCCCTCCGAGGTGGGTGCTCTCGACAGCTCCGGCCAGGCGGGTTTTTATAACTCGAACTTCGAATATGGCCATCGCAATGTCAACATGCCTCGCTAACGATGCTCGATACTCTAGCTAAGCCTACGACTGCCATCATTCCCTTCCGAACCGCTGTTGCCGCCTTCACGACCAACTCTCGCCGCGATGCGAGCGCCCTCCAGACCCAATCAACCACTGGTGTAGGCAACGTTCGCCGAGAGGTTCCTCTGCCCAGCGAGATTCCTCCCAAGGGCGCTCTTCAATACGCTCTGTATGTACATACGCCAAAAATCCTGGGCGCAGCTCGACAAAAACCGCCGTCCGGTACCGGTTCATGATGAGGCTAACTCATACACTCATAGTACCACACTTGATGCTGTTACCAACTGGGCTCGTCAGTCCTCCCTCTGGCCTATGACCTTCGGTCTGGCCTGCTGTGCCGTCGAAATGATGCATCTCTCCACACCACGTTACGATCAGGATCGTCTCGGTATCATTTTCCGTGCCTCGCCCCGACAGTCCGATGTTATGATTGTTGCAGGCACTCTTACCAACAAGATGGCTCCTGCTCTCCGACAGGTCTACGATCAAATGCCTGAGCCTCGATGGGTTATTTCCATGGGTTCTTGTGCTAACGGTGGTGGTTACTACCACTACAGCTACGCCGTCGTCCGAGGGTAAGTTCCCTATCATCCTGCCATCTTATAGACCTCAACTGACCCCCCCCGGAGATGTGATAGAGTGGTTCCAGTGGACGTGTACGTACCGGGCTGCCCTCCTACAAGTGAGGCTCTCATGTATGGAATCTTCCAACTTCAGCGAAAGATGCGACAAACTCGCATCGCGAGACAGTGGATCCGGAAGTAAGGAATAGGCCAAAGAACACGATGAGAGCCTACAGTTGAAATACAGGCATTCAAATCATGTAGGAAACGGGTTACAATGGTTGGAAAGGAAGTTATGGGGAGAAACAAGGTTCATTGACGAACTGATAAGGTAGATATATCACCTTTGTTAAGATTTATAAATTAGTTTTCTTTTCTCAAACGACATAAAAAAAGAAGCAAAGAAACCTTGTGCATAATTATATTTGCAGGTCTTCGTCGTTCTGTTGACCTTTGTAGTTGGGCTGTCCGAATAGGGGCTGGGCATTACGAGCTCATGGTAGTCTCTAATTCACAATGCACAGACCCAAACGAGTTTTGTGATTGACATGAGCTCTCCAAAATGATTGAGATTATGTGTTACGCTACTGTACTGTGAGTATACATGATGAGTTGCAGCATTTGTTGCGTGAACAGTGAACTTACTGTCGACAGGTGACTTGGATGGGTGATACCACAGAATTCACATGAGTTAGAGGAATCATATCTGGCGATGCACTATTGATATTCATAAGAGAAAATAAGCAGTGACCCCAGCAGTGTTACCCCAGAGGTGTAAAGGAAGTCAAAACAGTAGAGTAGATATAGTGTAACAAGACCACAAGGCTACACTATTTTCCCCATATGATATGGCAATGTGACTAACAGCAAGTCAATACATTAGTTGCAACTAGGTTTAATGAATTAAATTGGTTACATGCGACAGACATGTTGAAAGTGGACTGCCTCTCATCACCATGGCCATTCTGACAATGTTGGCTACATGAGCCTAGCTAGCTATTAACATCAACTGAATGAGAAATATGATTATACTCACTCAAACCTGGATTGGTTCGGCTATCAGACAAGGAGGAATCCTGATTGCCATATCTTCCCGTCCCTGAGCCCGGCCCGGTTGACCCTTTTATGGAAACATCCTCTCTCACTGCCTGCTTCAGTGCCATGTGATATTGGCGCATTCTCCCACGTTCATGGCCAATTTATACACAATTGGTATTATTCTACAACATGATGTGACAGTTTATTGTTACTTTGCGCTGGTGATGATGTCAAAGAGAATGGCCCCCAAAGTAGGGAACCATCTCTGCCAATACCATCTAACCTTCTCCATTGATATTATTCAGCCAACGAAGGCACAAGCTATAGGGCATAGGGTCCCCGCAACAGAGAAGTTGATCTCCTTAGTTTTGGGGTCTAATAATAAATAGTCTAGGAAGTCTAGTCTAAATAGCATAAACTATCCTCCTACTGTCATCTCTTATGCTCCTAGAGGCCAATCTCCCTGATTTCATGAGGACTTCTTACCATCTCAAAACCTATCATAGAAACCTTCCGAGCTGCCATTTTTCACTCATCTAAAACAAATATCTGCATCGACCTGGGCGCCTACCTGAAGATGGAGTACAACACCCTGAATATAATCCAGCACCGTGATATTGGCGATACAAATCTGTACGACAAGGCTTTTCTCGACACGTTGGGATTAGTATTGCTCCATGGAAGGATACGAGAGTTATCAGAAGAGGGAACCCATACATTTGGCGACCGATGCGCCAGGGAGGAGCTACTTATCTAGTAGTCAGTCTCGACATTCGGCGAAGACGCCTTGTGCTTGGAAAAGGCGAGGTAGTAGATTATCTCACCTTGAATGAAGCAAAAGGTCGACGAACGACAATGTAGCTGCTACCGATGAAAACAACATCCGCGTTGTCCTTGCCACTATCTGCAAAGCTATATGTTAGAGAACTCCGTTGCTCTTCGGGTAGTTGACCCCTCCCTGTCTCATATCAAACGGCGATGGGAGGTACCCCTATTATCAACAGAATGTCTGCCACCGACACGAGCAATATAGAACTCCGACTGTTAACTCGCTGAATAACACGCCGATGCTTGAGGCATACTATCTGCGCTGCAAGCCAACTTATGGCAGACTTCCTCCACCATTACTATTTCTGATCGTTTATGCTGCATATACATCGCCCCCGATCTCACGGCTTGCATGAGATACCCATTCCTTCGTCCAGCTGCCTCTTTCGAGTACGAGCCGGGTTGTTGATCCACTCAGGGTGCCTTCGTTTAAAAGTCTCCTTGCAGAGACAGCACCTGCACAAGGTGCCTTTCGTGGACTGTGATGCGAAGAAGGGCTCAACTGTCAAAAGGAAGGATAAGGGTCGAAAACAGTGGGTCAATTTATGCTATACTAAACTAAATACTCTAAAGTTCTTAGCCTGTTTAGTTTAATCTTATAAGCCTGACCGTAGTCTATCCGTTGAGAGATAGAGAGAGAGTATGCGTGCATGCGTTGTCCACCAGCTACCTTCTGGGGGCAGTCGGTCTTGATGTGCCCTTTCTCGTGGCAGTGACTGCAGATCTTCTCCGACTTGGGGTTTCGGGATCGTTTGCTGGATCCAGCAATGTCATCGCTAGCACCGCGCTTGCGAGGGATCTAGGTTGGGAGGAGGATTGTTCTCTTGCTTGGGGGAACCAGTGAGAGGCATCTCCTGGGCCATGAACTCAGCGAGTGCAGCGTCGAACTTGAACAGGGGTAGGGGACTTGGGGGCATCGACCATGGTCGAGTCACCATCAGTAGGCTTGGGGGAGCTAGGCTTAGAAAAGATATAATGGTAGGTCAGGCAGGGCAGACAGACTGGGAAAATGTGCTGGGTCTGCTGTTGTTATAGTAGTCGTTGATTCACCCGCTCAAGGTCATCGCCAGGGTGGGCAACCTCCTCAGAGCCAAGGGGAGCATCCTGGACAGGCACAGTGAAGAGGTCGGCAGCCTCCGTGGGATCGTGAGAGCTGCTACAAGAAACTAGAGTAAGCAAAAACAAGCCTCGGCAAGCCGTGGGTCTCAAAGCATTTACCGCATAGCCATATCCATCGCTGCCGGCGTCTTCGAGTGCCTCTGTTCCTGTACAGGACGAGCGCTCAATATATTGATATTGAGAATGACAGAGGTAATTTGGCTGTCTAGCCGGTCTATTTCTATAGCGGTGGCCGGGTACACCGTCGGCATGCCAGTTTATGTTATTTAAACCATAGTCTTAGGCCATTTATTCTTATATCCTAATGCTTAGGTTGGCTTTAATGTTACTCAGTGAGGACTGAGGTATTCAGGTATACCTCTTTTCAAAACACCAGAGAGTTGTTTCCTACCACCTGGGCTCCTGGGTCGAAGATAGCAGCGGGCTCCCCAACCCAAGTAATAGTCATGAGGCTTGGAGCTGCCTCGGGTTGAGGAGAGCGCCTACAGATATTTGCTTTCCTCGGCGTCCAGTTGTGTTCGAGGTTCATCCCTAGTGCTGAATACCATCGGATCATATCATCCTGTGTTTACGATTAAGCCGCCCTGGGTGGCATTCGTCTAGGATGATATCGTGTGCGTTGCGGTAATGAGTTCGAAGGGCCGATTCACCTGAAAACTTGGCAGTTTATAGATAATTAGCATCTGGAAAGTAACTGCTAGACAATCACTCAGAATAAATACTTATGAGCACATCTGGTCGTTATCATCTGATAACAAAGTTCCCTGAGTTGGCGCCGTAAGGCCGGTCGTTGGGAATAGAGGTTGGACCCCTAGTCACAACCTCGGCAACTCTTGCAACAGTTTGTACATGACCTGCCATTACCAATTTCACACAGCTTCGATTTACCGGAAGAGTAAAGGCGCTTCACACAAGCCACACAGGAAAGTCTACTACCGACACAGTGACTAAATCCTGCGTATATATATATGTACTAAAATAGTATGCAGAAGAAAAGGACAGAAGAAAAGCCTGAGTTTGAGAGAGAAGTAGAAGGATGATAGACCAGTGCCTCTGTTTATAAGATAGAAATAGAAAAAACTAGAGTCACCTGGCTGGCTGACTGGCTACCTAACTGACTGATTGTGTGTTTGGCATTCATGTGGAAACCCATACAACAATCAATATTTTTATTTTTACTTTGTTACAAATCAGGTCGAGTTTGTAAAAGTGGAAGTTTGGTTCAAAAATCCGAGAAAAGTCATGCCTGTTTGCTTTTTTGAAGTAGTTGGGGCGTCGGCGTGAGAGTGTCATTACGACATGTCGTTGAATCTCATCGACGTTATTTTTTAGACTTTGATTGATCTGCAAGGCACCCGGTTAGTTTAAGAGGCAGACCAATCAGTGCATTCAGATAACGTTGACAGCTTGGCGTAACCCCATTGTATCGGGAATAACGCGGCAGTTTCGTCAAGCACAACAAATGGCTGAGACTCCCTTGTCGTTCTTGTATCGTTTTATGCCTACTCATGTCCTATTGATCGCTGCAGTATCTTGGACTAAGCCTTCCTAAAATCATAATTATTTGACTAAAAGATAAGATACTTTAGTTATCTTATGAAACCTAAGGCCCATCATTAGGTCATTTGTCTTATTGATTGTACTGATTGATGAATGATGCGGTCTTGAGTTGGGTTAGGCATCCATATGCATAAACGGCAAATTGAGCTGATGCGTTTCAGAAATCCGAAAGTCGAATTTTTGATTGGTTGTAATTAGGTAAATGGTTGCAAGTGATTCTACTTTCTCTCTCAGATCTAGCAGCACCTAAACTCAACAGCAACAGCAGCAAACTCAACAGTAGCAACAGCAGAAGCAACAACAACATCATCAGCAGCAGCAACAATACCAGCAGCAACAACACCAGCAGCAGCAGCAATGGCACAAAGAATCAGCGGCAGCGTCAGCTTCGACGAAGAATTCGCGCAGTTTATGGCTGCTCGCGAGGAGGCCAAGAAGATCAAGAAAGAGGAGGAGGAGGAGGAGGAGGAGGAGGACAAGAAGCGCAAGCCCAAGGACCAGGGCGTAAGTACTTACCTAGGTACTATTGAGAATATCCATGCTGATATAAGTTGTTAGGGCCGTGATGCCGTCAAATGTTACCATTGTCAGCGCATAGGGCACAAGGCCCATGAGTGCTATGAGCGAGAAAATCAGCGTCAAGCTGACCGTGTAGACGGCTTCAACTTGGCCTATGTGACAATCAACCCTGTGACTCTTCAATTACTATTTAATATTCTTTGAGTCATTTCTAATATTAGTTTCTAGTGTCTTGACGCGTTAGATTTGGGTCTAGCAGCCGAGCAGAAGAAGACCAAGGATGCTGAGAAGAGGGCCGAGAAGGCCGAGAAGAAGGTCAAGGAACAGGGCGAGAAAATCGCCTACATCGAATACTTTCTTAGGAAGCTTCCCGCCCGGCTTACCACCGAGTAGGCAGTCTTCTTTCTGTTTTGTTTCTTTTTTTCTTTTTCTTTCTTGATTTTTCCAACTCTGAACTCAAGGTAAGTGTTGTCCGACATGCGCAAGAGGTTTCCATACACCTGAACTTGGTGTAAGTGGGCCGTGCGAATATGTAGAGATAACTGAGCTTATCTACAGTGGAGACTTACTTTTTTTCTTGATGCAGCAGGACCTCTCTCAATCTTGCACGATCAACTCCAACATTATTTTGATACCCCAAACGTCAAGCGCAATGGCTCCTCTGGAAGAAGCTGGAGAACAGTTCTCCATACTCCCAGTCAAGATCCCCGTGACATCATCATACCCAGAGACTGCCATTCATGAGATTCGCATACGGAAAAATGCGCCCAAGATCCCGACCGCCAACGATTCGCGAAGTCTATTCCTCAAGAACATTCCGGCGGACAGCACAGAGCCTCACTTTCGCTCAATCTTTACGCAGCTCGTAGGAGCCGGTCGATTCGAGACCATCATCTTCGAGAGCGAGTCGCGAACAACGCTGGCCATTGATCCCGAGCAAGCCACAAAAGTCGCAGGTTTCGCAAAGAAGAGAAAGCGCGGAGACGTCGAGGCCGAAGAGAGGGAGCGCGAGGAGGAAGCTGCGCAATTACCGCTGATCTGGTTGCGACGTGTGCAGCGCAGCAGCAGTACAGCAGTTGTGCTTCTAGCAGACGAAAAGAGTGTGCAGTTGGTACTCAAGGCTATTTCGAAACTACAAAAGAGCAAAAAGTATCCTACATGGGGTAGCGATTTATCAGACGACGTCCCTGATCTTGGCTCTACATGGATCGCATCACATCTACAACTATCACGCGTTGACAAGACCGCGACACAAAAGGCTGTCCACGCCTTCTTTACCTCATTCAACCGCAAGGAGAAGGAAGCTGTCGAGCTTGCCAAGAGACTCCGCAACGAGCCCGACGAGGATGGTTTCGTTACAGTCACTCGCGGCGGGCGATCTGCCCCCGCTAGCCGAAACGAGGCCGAGGAAGCCAAGCGCAGGATGATCGAGAGGGAAACCAAGAAGAAGTCAGAGCTCAAGGACTTCTACCGCTTCCAGATGAGAGAGCGACGCAAGGCGGAGCAGATGGCTTTGTTGAAGAGATTCCAGGACGACAGGAGAAAGGTGGATGCAATGCGGGAAAAGAGAGGCAAATTCCGGCCTGAAACCTGAAGTGTATTAATATGAAGGCTATTAATGTAAGTCACAATCAACTGTTTTACTTTTCCCTTCATGATGACGTCGCGGGGCCATCGAAGCATGATGGGGTAGCGAGGTCTATGGCCTCCCATCTGGGTGCCGAAAACGACCGCGTAATAATCTTCTCAATTTTGTCTGAAACGCACACTTTACTTTTCGTTATTGAGTCTACTTGCGAATTACCGCTGATGAGATTAGTTGTCTGTTACATATAAAACGAGTATCCACTATTTATAGGATGGATTCAAGCCATCTCCGTATTGACACCGAAATCGACCACTTGCGAGTCAATATGCCAAGTCACTCGTGCTGATTACGCCATCAACCCGACGCAGGGTTTTCTATCCGTCGCTTAGATCAACGATGGGCACAACACTAACGGTTGTGTCGAATCTTAGGGGTCCTCGAGACAGGTACGGATACGTTGGGCAATAAGCGCGAGGCTTTCGGGCCTTTGGTTTCTACCCAATGTTTTTCTTTGTAACACTCTCGGGCCAAGATGATATCAAGGCGGGCAGTGCGGGGTGTACCCTGTCAAGACAAGGGGAGAGATGAAAATATAGATTCAGGCTTCAAAACTCGATCAGGGTCCACTGTGTTTGAGATTTGTTCTAAGTGAGCGTCCATTGTGTCATACTTTGGTTTGTATGATACTTTTTGTGCCATGTCGTACTACGTAAACAATCAACAACTTGGCCAAGTACATTATCACTACATCATGGTCGTTTCTTTGACCTTGTTACTATCGTCAACCGTTGTGTAAACATGGATGTTTGTTTGGTTTCGACCCCATCACCACCCTTCGAGAAGGCGTTCTAGTCTCACGGGTGGAACTTTCGGCCCAGGCGATGACCCTGAAAAGAACCAGAATCAATAACGTCTTGTAATAAGAAAAACTTGCACCTGCATTGCCACTTGTCGAGCGTTGTCTTGTCTACCTGTCAAAAGGATGACCCTGGCTGGCCGCGGTCGCTCAGGCCCGCCTCACTTTTCCAGACCTCCCATTGGTTCGGGCATTGTTTACTTTTTCCCCCACATAGCAACCAGCTCTCCCCACCACAACAATTAAAGCAGAGCTTGTATACCTTACCTTACTCGGACATCCTAGGCAGTACAGCTTAATTAATTACCGATGCGCAGAGATTGGTGACAAAAAGTCATCATTCAACCTTCAACTTTAAAGGGGCAGTCAGGGAGGCTATGTGTATCATTTTCTCCTCAGCCAGTCTCACACCACAATGATCGATACCGACAACCTCCGTACAGCTTCGCTGTATATCAATAACCAACTTTTGTCCAGAGGTTTACTTCGCGATGGCCAGAGCATCGAGTTCGCCGGTGTGGCCTTTGATGGCCATGATGTCGCAGCTACAATGGGACGCATTGTGAGCGTTCTAAACGATTTAATACTGAGAAGAGATGTTCGTTGTCCCCTATTAGTCTTGGTATCCAACTAACATACCACAGCGTGATGCAGAGCATCGCGAATCCCTATCGACGACCATGCGCACTCTTCGCGCCGATAACCTCAAGCATACAAACGACATTGCGCGACTTACAGAGAAACACAACGAGGCAAAGAGGAAGCTCGATATTGCAGAAGCTTCCGAAGCCGCACTCAAAACCCAAATGAAATCCGCCGACGCCACCATTCGCGGGCTGAAAGAAGAAGTCACCCGTACAAAGGGACTCGTCGCCCAAACACGCGCTGCATGTGCGACAGACGTACGCAGAAGAGATCGTCAAATTGATACCCTAAAGAAGCAGCTCAACGAAGCTGGACGCGCGCGAGGAGCTCGAGGCAACCCCGGCGTAACAACCATTACCATTACAGGCGATATCGGCGATGAGAAGTCAACGCGAAGCGCCAGGACGTCAGAAGATTACGATCTACACAACGAGACGAATGCATTCCTGGCAAACCTGGCGCAGAATCTTAGTGAGGAGAACGAAGCCATTCTCATGGTGATGCGAAAGACGATGCAAAAACTCCGAGATATGAGCGGTTGGAGTAATGGCAACCAGGATACCCTTGTCACCCAACAACAAGGATGGCAAGACATGGCTGCAGAGCTGGACTCTGTATTAGATCACATGCGAACCATCCTAACAAATCCCTCTTTCGTGCCGATTGAAGAGGTCATGATCCGAGAAGAAGAGATTAGTCGTCTCAAGGATGGATGGGTCAAGATGGAGAGTCGCTGGACAGAAGCAGTTCATCTTATTGACGGCTGGCGAAAACGCATGGCTGCCAACGGGCGGCCAATATGTGACGAAGAGCTCCAAATGGGACTGCGTCTTAGTCCTGTGAGGGTGAGAGACGTGGAGGAAACAAGACATGCCTCTGGTCTAAGGCTTTCAGCAGTCGCTGAAGAGGAAGATGAAGATGTGCATATGAACTCTCCATGCCCATCTCGCTGCCCCCCAAGTGTGCAACTTGTTCCAGAGTCAGAGCCAGAAGACGACGATAACGCCCATGAAAGCGACGCTGAATCTGATTACGACGTACCAATCGACGATTATGATGTTGACGAGCCTAACGTGCAAATCCTCCAACAATCCACCGCCGCGCCCCTTTACCACCGGGAGCAAGACTCCTCACCACTCCCTGAACCCCCTCAACTAAGTCCCCTGAAGGATTCCGCCTCTGCAGGAAACAGAGGCTCTCACCGATCCAAGCAACCAGAAAAGAGGGACTTTACCACGATAGCCGAAGAGGATAACTGGGATCTCCCTCTGGAGACAAATCCAATTCCTATACAATTCGAGCCTCGAGACCGTGTCTCGTCAAGCTCATCCCTTGAAGAAGCTCTTCTCAGATCTTCCAATGCTGCCCCTGAAGCAAAGCCTACTACGCCCAGTCGACAAAGCTCCCAGCGCAGCGACCAAAACGACGTAAACCAAGGCTCGCCCAATCGTTCACCTCGCCGGACTGCGTCTCGTCTTCCTCTCCCAAGGAACGCCGAACCCGCTCCTCAACAAAGTCCTCTCACAATGGCAACCATCGCCGCCAAGCTGGCTGCTTCAGAGCGAGAAGCAGATGCTGCTCGTGTTCGAGCCAAACTCCGTGCCGCGAGAAGCACCCGCGGTGTTCAAAAACCCAAAATCGGTTCATCCCAGCCTGAACCCCAAACCGCTGATCCACCAGCCAAGGAACCAGAGCTGAAAAGAAGCGACGTTGAGAATGTAGACCCTGTAAAGAGGGACCCAGTGCCAGCTGATGACCAGTTGAAGCCAGAGAAGCGCCGCCGTGCTCGCCGAACGAGTAAGAAAACATCACGGCGAAGGAGTACGCTAAGTCCGTGGGAACTTGAAAGCTTGATGAATGGAAACGTACAGTAATAAATTGTCTAATATGTTGAAACCTGGAAAGCTTATGGCAAAGGCCTGGCGTTTGGTGCAGAGAAGGAATCCTGGGGCCAAGTTCACTATTTTCATTTAGCTTAACGAATACCATTCAAGGACTTTACGTGGAAAACAGCAAGTTTCGGAAACTACTAGCGAATTCATATATAAGTACACTTAAAATGCGGCCTCATAAAATACCGTTCCTCGTGGCGAGCAACCATTGTAGACCGTTAAATCAGACCGTAAGCATAGCATGCATGGCAACCTTCAAACCCACCCTTCCTTAACCCGAACTCCCAAATCAAAATACAAAGCATGTCGTGATCTCTTAGTGGTAATCCATTCTGTCGTTAAAGGGCAGGCGCTGTGGCAATGAGTGCTGACATGACAGCAAAACCACCAAGCGTAGCGTATCCCACGACTTCGGCCATGCGGCGAAGACGCTTGGGTGGTGGAGGTGCGACTGCCGCATGTTCCTCCCGACGGATAGAACCTGCGGTTCGTTTGGATGGTCGGCATGTGGCCTGTTGAGGGATCAGGGGTTCGTCAGACTCGATAATCTCTTCCTCGGCAGTGAGCTCAGAGATTTCCTCAGCATTTCTCTTTGAGGAGTTGGGAGTTTCAGAAAGCTCCTTTGTTTCCTTAGCTGCTTCGTCTTTGTTCTCTGCTGCGGTGAGTATTTGCGCTTCACCTTCCAGAGTGACATCTTCCTGGTGTTTCTTCTGGGGAGCCAACGCCTCGGCCAACGCATCGGCGATGGGCCCGTCAACATCACAAGGCTTCTTACTCTGCTCAAAGCTAAATGCAGACGTCTCATCCAAAACGGGCTCTTGAGTGGTGATCTCTGGCTTAACTTGGTGGAAAGGACCTTCAGGGGAGTTAATGAATCGAGCGCCCGAAGCTGTCAAATCAGAAAGTGACAATTGATCAACTCGGTCGATCTGTGGGATCTGTGGGATCTGAGTGAGTCGATCAGTGGCTTTCAGCGATTGCATGTGGCAAGGAGCAGCAGTTGGGAAGTGATCCAAGGGGGGTGACCATGGTCCATAATTGATTCCGACATTAGCCTTGTTGATTTCCCTTGCCTCAAAGAACTCGGGTTTGCCTGTCTTTCTGGCCATAGCCTCGACTGCAACTTTAGGTGGGTAGGATTCAAAGGTGAACGACTTGTTAGCCCAATCGGAGATTGAAGGCAGCATCTGAGAGGAAGCGGGAGCGGTATTTGGCATAGGAGACAGAGGATAAAGCTCGTCCATCCTGTTGAAGGAAGCTTTGCCAGGTGCAGCCCTGTGGGAAAAGTCGGGCGGGCTGAAGACATTTGTAGTTTGGTCTTCAATGACATTGATCTTTTGCTGTTTAGGAGTATCGTTGTTTGCACTCGAGGCTTGTGCTGGGTTATCGCCGGTTACTTTTTCGTCATTGTTCACTGAAGGGGTGAAATCGGCAAGGTCCTCTTCTAAACGGTCAAAACAGGTCATGAAGTCGGATTCTGCCAACATACCTTCTTCAAACTCATCGTGCTCGTCAAAGCCATCATCTACCGACGCAGAATCTCGGTTATCTTCAACGTCACTAACAGATGAAGAATCAGAGTGAGGCACTGAGAAGACATTGTCTGTCTCCTTAAATGCAGACTGATCCACTTGAGGGTCTTCTCCCATCTCCTCATCTTCATCCTCTGAATAGTCATAAAGGATTATGCCGTCATCGTCAGAGACCGGCTGAGATAGATGCTCTGGCTGGGAGAGATGCTTTTCCAGTCTTGGAAGTGTCAATACAGGCTGAAGCCGAGGTGCATCAACGCACAGGTTGGAGGGTAAAGATCGGTCTTCGTCACCCGTCAAGTCGATCGGAGCATTGTTCAGTGCTGATGTTCTATGGGCAGGGCGGAACTGTCTCGCGTAAAGCATCTCGCAGCTGTTTTGTACCTGATCCTCGTCACTGCTGATGTCTTCGCAGTCAGTGTCGTCGGGTACCCGGAAAGAGTTTCCGCGGGTTTCAGGGCTATAATATCTGTCAGTTGCGTGGTGCTTCAAATAAAACAGATAAGCATACCTCAAAGGGCCGAACCTAAGAGTGGCCTCGATTGTTGTGGGTGGGTATTTCTCCATGCCTCTGTCAATAGAAGTGCCAAGCATGATTTTGTCTCCGGTCGAAATTTCTGTGTCCTCGTTTATGTTGAGGCGGACGTCGTTCTTATATGTACCGTGGAGAGAGTCTGTGTCCTTGATATAGACTTTCTAAAAAGAGTCAGTGTATAAAAAGTTCAGGCTGTGATAGAAAGCTTACTTGGGTTTCGGGGTCGAATGTAAGAAGGGCATGCTTGCGGGACATGACTGCCGAGTCGAACCATGCGTTGGACTTGCCTGCTTCAAGAGACGTCTTCCTCTTACTTGTTCTGCCGATTTGAATCGTAGGGCTTTTCTTGCTGAGGAAAATGTGACGTTTTTTGAACGCAAAGTTCGGAGGGGGGTTCACGCTCGAAAGTATGATCAAGACTGCGAACAAATTAACATGAGAGTCGGAAAAGCATAAGTTAAACTTTACCTTCATCGCGATACTCTGGGACCGCCATACCGACCAAGTAACCAGCCAAACTTTGTCGAATATGTAGACTTTGTGTATAGTATCTTGTTTGCGTAATGCAGGGCGTCTTACACCTGACGATATGCAGGCGGAAGTGGGTTCGGTATCGATGATGTACAACGTATCGAGTCGCAGACGTAAAGAAGAGAAAGAAAAGAAGGAAAAGAGTCGATGTTTGCGGAATAAAGGAGGATTAGAAAGAAGAAACAGCAGAAGAAGAAAGGTGCAAGGCAAGCAGCATGAAGGTAATCCGAGAGGTGCTGGCAGGAAGGCCTAGGGAAGGTGAAATAGAAGTGGGGCAATGGTGTAAGGTCACTGCCGTATCAGGCAGACAGGTGACAGCCAGGAGGCAGATAAGCGGCTTATCGGAGCTAAAGTTGATGGTAATAGCGGGGCGAAAGTAACCCCGCCAGGTATGGTGACTTTGATGTTCAGGTTGCTCGACTAGAGTGAAAAGGAACTCGGGATTTGAAATTGCAATAAGATAAAGGCAAAAACAGAAGATTGCAGATTTAAAGTATCAAAAGATAAGTTAGTGCTCGAGGTTAAAGATGCAGGAGCATCACTGACTCCTTTGGTTTCAGGGTCTAAGGGTCTAAACGGAAGTCTCCCTTTAAGTGAGTGGGTCGCACTGTGTCCATACTATCGAGACATCTTGGGCTGATTCTGGACTACAAGACGGCAGCAACATCACGACGAGTACTTGCCTTGACAATATATCATTCGGCCTGATCATGGCTGATGGATTTCATTTGTCAACGTCCCCATACTTCGAAGACTAAAACTATGTCAAATGGTCATAGATAGACATCAAAGTTGAATCGTTATTAATTATGGCTTGGAGCGGCTGGCGAATGCCTCGACCACTGTTAACCCTGAAATAATGCCAAAAATGACCACATGACTATTAATGGAGCGTGCTCCGTTACAAACCCCGCGCCTACAATCATTTCAACCACTGCATCATGGTTAGATGGATACCGGCGATAAGTCCTATGGTGAAGTGTTTCGGCTGCAAAGTACTGTATGTCGTAAGCTCGGGTTTTCAATCCCCTTTGCGTTATCATGCTTGTCCTTGAATGAGGGGTTGCCTGTCTACACTTTTGATGGAATTCAATATGCACTGTAAAGACAGGGCATATCATATCACTCAAATACGCCCACCTGCCTACATGAGGCAAACAACCTCTACAATGTTGGAAGATTACGGTTTCCGGAGTGTATTGTGAGTCAGCTAAGAGGATGCAGTGTTACCGTCAATGCGTTCCCAACAAAGCATCCATCTCATCATCACGGTCACTCGCTTATTCGAGTTGCGTTCTGATTTGCACGCCTTCAATTCTCTCCATGGTGTAACTCATCTCAGGAATTCACACACATTCACACAATTTCTCGGCACCTCGGTCTATCCGAAACTTGGCTCAACTTTATTGTTCTTATGATCTGCCACAACAAGTACCCCTACCTAACAGGGCAATGAACAACGGCACAGATATTATTGGACTCGTAGTCCTCGGAGTTGGGTCGCAGTTTGTACTCGTTCCATATAAGTTCTTCCGCTGCTGTCTCCCTCCTATTCGGGTTTCACATCAGCTGTCCGTCTACCTTTCATGGGTAACCTTGTTGAACCTCGACTTGAGATCATCAATCCCAACATTTTTGAATTCAGATTACTGACAGGTAGACGAAACATACGACGCAAATCAGATCAAATCGACACTTGCTCAGGTATTTATAAGTCAACGCGCTGATTTAAGCCATCTTATCAGCGAGGGACTAAACGCGTTAAGTGATGATCGATGACGATGTTCGAGACAAGGGTCATTAGGTGGAGAGAAGCGGGTGAGTGGAACAAAAAGCGGGACGAAGCACTAACATCCCTTGTCCCTTTCCTGGGGATGCCCACAGATGCTGTCATATGGTGTCAAGATTAAGGAACCACATGTGATATGATTTCAAAAACCTCATGAGACTCTGGTAGATGACAAAATGTGTAGAGTCAGGAGTGTTCAGAGGTACCCAAAAAACCAGGCACATGAGTCACCTTCCCCTTAGCCGTTGTACTTGCACCTGCATAAGGTACTTGGTCAAGTAAGCTTTGCGCCTAAGCATCTCAGGTCGCCACTAAAAGCCCTGGAATTTTTCAGCGGCGCCTGATCCACTGTTCCACCGGGCAGCTCATGCACTTCCGCCACGCCACAACCCGGTTCTCTCTGGATTTAAACAAATATTCATCGCCATCCACATCATTCCTTTCCTTTCCTTTCCTTCGCTTTTTTGCTTATAACTATCACAAGGTGCTACCATTCCACTAACACCTATCTCCGATTTCTTACTAAACTCGCCCCTCGGAATTCCACATGGACTTTATGCCTCGATACGCCTATAATACAACAGAAACAGCCGTCTATTACACTTATACCAATCGATCCAGGTCCAAAATCATACCCGAGTGACAGAATTTTCACCTCGACGAGGATCACTTGCTGAATAGCTCTTGATATTTCCTGATTATCACAAAACTTGCACACAACTTTGCGAGTTTTCCTCGTCAACTTATACGAACCTGAGCGCATTTGCGTTCACATAACCGACACTCCATTCTCGGGCTTCCCAGTTGATTGACCAACACCTTCGGCAAAATGATGAACCACGCTCGAGTCAAGGCCCTCAAGGCTGACGGCAAAACCGTATCCAAAAAAGCCATCAAGTCAGGTCGCGCTTCCGCCAACCTAACCCCTCGTGGCTCTCCTTTTGCTTCGCTTCTTACGTCACCGGCGCATTCCGCAGCCCCCAGTAGGGCAGCTTCAGACGAGAGCGAGGATGAGTTTGATTACGACGATACCATGAGCATTGCATCTGCAAGCTCTCTGGTCGATACGAACGACGACGGTACCAACACTTTCGACGCCAAGAAGTTTATGGAGGAACTCCAGGATCGCAAGCACAACAACAGCGATGCCCGAACGCAGCTACTGGAACTTTACATCAAGGTTATACGTCATCGGTTTGCGCCGGCTACTCATGAGTGGCTTGATGAGTCTGCCAACGAGCTTGCCGAACTATTTGTTCGTGGCGCCAACCGTGGTATGGAAGCTAGAGAGCGACTTCTCTACCTACAGGCATATCTTCTGACCCTCAGTTCTTCTGAGGAAGTTGACGTTTATGAGCATGCCCAAGTAACTCTCAAGCAGATTATAGCCGACGATGATGATGAAGAGTGCAAGGCGTTTGGTATCTACGCGCTGTGCTTCACTGTCCTCTACGGTGGTGGTGGTGAGACAGAAGCTCTTGAGTTTCTTGACTACTTATACGCCATTATCGAGTCTGATGGCGATAACATTGACTCCTTTGATAATGGATTCATCGTCGCAGCTGCTCTGCGAGGTTGGGCTTTTGTTGCTAGCCATGTTGATGACTTTTCATATGCGGCTACCATGGCTTTGGACGGATTCTACGAACAACTCGACAGCGTTGATGTTGGAGTTCAGACCAACGCTTCCGCCTGCATCGCATTGATCTTTGAGTCAGCGCGAACTCACGAGGAGGAGACTGGAGAGTCATGGGATCTCCCTGTCAACCCAGAGAAGCTTACAGGCCGCATGTCAGAGCTTGCTAAGCAGAGTTCCAAGTCCGTGTCCAAGAAGGATCGTCGCGACCTTCGAGACAGTCTGATCAGCGCCATCACTTCACTTGAAAAGGGTGTAGGCCCAGGATATTCATCCGCCGGGTACACTCCCCAAAAGGGCGAACATCTTACCGCCAAACCCAATGAGGATGGTGTCGTTGAGTTCGGGTACCGTCACAAGCTACGCCTCGGCAATTATGTAGCTGTTATCGATTCGTGGTCACTCTCTTCCCGAATCGACATGATGAGACTTCTTTTTGGAGGTCACTTGCAAAAACACATTTTCGAGAACCCTGTCGTGGCCGAGTGTCTCAGCGACGCCGACTTTACCGAACAGGGTTTGAGGAAATAAAGCTCAAGTACACATTGCATTCTGTGCTTTTCATGTTTATAGGTGTTTGTTGGGGCGTTTTGTTACAAAGATCAATACCTGGTTGTGTTTTTGGTGCGTTGACTTGGACGGTTTGGTCGCAACATGTTGTCCCAAATTGTGCAGCATCCTGTTTGGTAAATACAGAGAATTAGAAGCGAGAACAGTCGGCTAATTCGAGACCTGCTGTCTTGTTTATTTTAGGCTTGAGACTAGAGTCTGTCTGCGATTGTCAATAAAGTGTCTTGAACATTGTTTCCTTTTGTCTTATTCTTTAGGGCTGATATCTGAATTTCTTAGAGATAAAGCTGCAGTGCTATCTCACCCTATGTTCCTCGGTCAGGCAACGTACTGCCAATGTTTCTATATCAATATACCTAGTAAATCTCTCAAGTAATATAAAAATATCACGATCAATAACCACGCCGTCAATTATGCTACCACTTATTCGTGAGATTCGCAATATTGCTCTACTTTGTCAATTAATCGTGGTACGATACCGAGAGGATCACCATCATTGGTCAACTCGAGAATTCCCTGCTTACCGGAAACTAAGCCACAATTGGATCCCCGTCAAATCCATTAATGAAACTTGGCATCAACCACTCACATGCTGCAGCACTATCCTGGACCTAGACTTGCTTTCAAGGCAACCAAAGGCAGAACGACAGGCACCGACATTTCTTCCTTTATCTATCCCACACATTTCTGTAACCTATTATCTGTCACTTCAAAGTCTTTGGAAGTAATAGCACCTCATACGCCATGACGCGAGTCTCAGTCTACACAACGGCCCTGGCGGCTTTTGTAGCTGGTACGTTTAATTATTTCCGTCCTCTGTAGTCGCAGCGCGCCTTCAATGACGTAGGTGTATGGAGATGCTTCAGACCAAACTAACACACGATAGCGACTGTTATGATCGTGGTTCCGATATGGCTGCCAAACTGGTTGACCTACTCCGTTACTTCGGTTACTGGCGAAACTATCGAGAAGCACATCGGTCTACACAAGAGCTGTTCGACGTTGGATGACCCGTACTGTCGAGACTTTCCTCCCAAGGATCTATGTGAAGGGGGAGAGCGATACTTCTGTTCTATGTGGAGGACTGTCGGTTTCTTGGCTTCTCTCACAACTCTGTTGTGTTTGGGTGGCCTGGTGACTTTTGTTGTCATTATGAGTGGAGGCAAATACAAGCGTGAGACAGGATGGCCTTTTGCCGCCGCATTCTTGACGCTTGTAGCTGTGGTCGAGTTTGTATCCATTTCTATTGTGGTAAGTATCACTAGTACAAAAGTCATCATGGTACAGCAGCTAATCGGACAGGCCTATCTTTATGATCACGATGACCAGTTTACTATCCCGGGTTGGCATCTGGATACCTCTTTTTACCTCAGCACCGTCGGTGCCGTCATTAGTCTTCTGACTGCTGCTGGTATTGCTTTCTCAGCATACCTGCTACCTCCTGAGGAAGGTTACGATTTCCTCTCGGACCCGCTTGATGCTTAGGCGATGCTATTCGTGATTGATGCCCTGGTCTTCAAACGCATATGTTTTCTACTTTATCATCCTCATGATAGGTGTATCTTGGGACAGGAGTCCAGATGTTTTGCCTGGTAATGCATTATAAGAGAGGCTGGACTAGACTAATGTAGAGGGGCTCTGCAGCAGTCGCCTCGGTATAGATGTTGGAAATCGCTTAGAATTATATACTCTCTTTTCGATTCTGTCTATAAATTCTAGGAACTTTCTCTGCCGTGTTAAATACTAAAACTACTCCCGTACAATTACCCACTTATACTAGCTTAAATCAATCTGCTGGATTATATACTTTGTTTCGCCGAAAGTACCAAAGTCCACACAATCAGTTATCCCCAGTGTTTGACATTAATAAGAACTATACCATAAAAAATAATATGTATTCCAAAGTACAAAAGACACCTTCTATTCATGCTGACAGTTGGTTGCTATATGAGGCATCTGGTGATGTAGGCGGGGTATATCCACCCCACCTTGTATAACTCTTATCAACTTCCATTCATCATCATTCAACCTCGGCTTTCAGATAAAGAAGTACGACACGAGTATTTAAGGGCAGTTTCTCATACCAAAAAGCTCTCGCCTTGATACCCAAAATACTAGTTCAACCTCCATAATGACCACCGATACAACAGGTCTATCACCAGAGCAGCTGGAAGCTTTCAACCGGGATGGCTACCTTATCCTCCCCGGTGCCCTCTCCAGCTCAACCGTCAAGTCTCTTCTAGACGAAACACACAACCTTTTGGAGAACTTCTCTCTAGATGATCATCCCCTTACACGTTTCTCAACAGGCGAGAAGCGCGATCATGTTGGCGACGACTACTTTCTGACCTCAGGCGACAAGGTTCGATTCTTCTTCGAGGAAGACGCCTTCGATGATGAAGGAAAACTCATCAAGCCCAAAGCTCGAGCTGTAAACAAGATTGGCCATTATCTTCACGCTTTGTCGCCTCCTTTTGCACGTCTGCTAGACCACGATACTAGCAAGGTCAGCCCACCTGCCGTGGCACGCAGTCTTAGCTTCAAGGATCCGCGATGTCTACAGAGCATGGTCATCTGTAAACAGCCAGAAATCGGTGGTGCCGTGCCACCTCATCAGGTGAGTCGATTTTTTATTGAACTACTGTAACATGAGCTTACAATAACCAGGACTCTACGTTCCTGTATACTAACCCTCCTTCCGCTGTGGGCTTCTGGTATGCTCTTGAAGATGCCACGCTGGAGAACGGATGCCTTAGTTTCTTGCCAGGCTCACATCGCTGGGCACCGGTAGAGACGAGACTTGTTCGTAAGGCGGGCAATGCTGGTACAGAGATGGTGGACAATGATGGACCAAGGTTCCCCGCGACAGATGGCTACGGAAAGGATGAGCCAGAAGACAAGCATGATTATGTCCCTGGAGAAGTCAAGGCCGGTGACTTGGTTCTTATTCACGGCAACTTATTGCACAAGAGTGAGAAAAACACTAGCCAAAAGGGAAGAATCATTTATACTTTCCATATCATCGAAGGACAGGATAGGGATTATGATGCGAAGAACTGGCTTCAACCACCTGAGGGAGGATTCACCAAACTGTACGCCTAGATTGAAAACAGTGGATTTCGTGCTTCAACGCATATACAGTTGCATTAATTGCTCGCCAGCGCATCTATCTAGGTCCCCATTTTTTGTTTGAAATAGCTAAGCTCAGACACTAAGTAGTGTGTCGAAGGTATCTCACATAGAAACAGTACCTATGATTCTTACAATCTATCCAATCTCACAACCCTCATTCCTATGTACTGAACAGCCGGGTATCATTATACTCATTCAGAGTCTGAATCGTTGTCGCTTGAGTCGTCATCCGAGCTAGCGTCGTCTGAAGAAGACGAAGAATCGCTTGAATCTTCCTCGCCAGGTTTTCGGTAAGACCGCGCAGTTGCGGGTGTTTTCTTCTCTGACTCGTCTTCTGAAGATGAGCTTCCGCTGCTGCTGGTGTCATCGTCATCTGAGTCAGACTCAGACTCAGAACTGCTGGAGTCGCTCTCTTCCACGTTCACGCGGAGCTTTCTTCGACGCTTTGCAGGCATGCCATCAGCAGGCTTCACACTCTTCTCGGTGTTCTTAGTGGCTGTGGCATTGCTGTCGGTAGAGGTAAATGTCTGCGATGATGTGGTGGTGGCCTCTGTTTCATTGCCATCAGACAACTCGTCAATGACAAGCTCAGCTCTCATGCGCTTGACAAGTCGTTGGACAATGATCTCGTCCTCTTCTGAGTCTGAGAGGTAGTCTACCTCAGTAAAACCCTTCCTCTTAGACCCCACAGGCTGGCTCAGGTACTTGGCAAGGACCTCTTCGTATCGTTGCTGAGTAGCCTCCAAATCCTTGGTTCCTTCAGGGAATGCCTTTGCGCCATCGGATTGATCCTGATCCCTGACCTCATAAGCACTCTCTCGAAGGCGCATTCTCACGAAACCCTTCAGGTCTTGGATGTAGTCATAAAAGGTTTCAATGTCAGAAGCAGGAATTCCATCGGCATCGAAAACGTGCTTGATAAGGTTTGACTGATGGTTTTTGTTGAACTTCCAGCTGTCGCGAGAACTCTTCCAGAGACTCAAGTATTCGAGTGCAGGCTTGAGGTCAGCGGAGACCTGTGGCTTAGGCTTCTTTGCGGGTCCTTTGCTCTTAGACTTGCTCTGCTTGACGACCTTTGCTGGTGTCCTGGAGAATTTGGGATAGTTGTTGTTGGATGGCGCATCAGCAAAGGATACAGACTTTCGTCGCTTGGCATCCTGAGAAGAACTGGAAGGTGGCGGGGCGTCGAACTTCCTCTTTATGGGTGTGCTTGAGCTGCCAGTTGGGTGCCCAAAGCTGGGTTCAGGCGCATCAGAAGGTTGCTTGAGCTTCAAGCCCAATTTCTTCCAGGCGGGAGTTTGGCCAGACATTGTGAGATGTTGTTTTTGAAGAGATGAAGATGATGGAAGTAATATGAGAAAGAGATGAGAATAATGCGCAATTCCAATCTCAAATTTGAAACCTTCAAACTGTCTCTTCTATTTTCTCAAACTTTCCCAAATCTTTACTGCGGTTGCCAGGTCCTTGAATTTTCTTCTAGCTGCTGGGTGAGCGGTGGACTCTCTGTTGATTTTGAAGGAGCCAATGGCAGCGACGTAAAGAATACAGATGGACTGTGAGTTGTCAATGGCTGCAGGATCCTCTTCTTAGCGTAGCGCAAGTGCAAAAGAAGATATGCAAAGTCGTGTTGTTGCGGGCCGGATCGTCTGGATTGGATGTTGGCAGTAACTTTTTTTCTGAATGGATCTTGAGAATTATCGAGAGTGGATCTTATCATGACGATTCTGGTAGATAACGATAAGAGTGGGGAGCTTTGGGGGGACATAATTACACAAAGCTCAAGAAGATGCATTAATTTGTACTCAGCAGCGAATGATGATTATTTCTGTAGAAGTAAAACTGTTAGGAGATCTGTATAAGCTCTTCGGGAACTTGAAAGCTTCTCGAGTCAATTCGGATTTTCAATCGCCAGCGAATCACTGCTTTTCGGTCGTCTCTGCAGTGACCGGCTTTTGTGTCACCTTACACCTGCCTGAGGATTACATAACACCAACGAGGCACCAACTCAGTCTTCATTGAGCTTCCGTTGCCTCATGCTCTAGGCAAGCTCCTGCCAACGCGTCGACTATCTCAACCCGCCATAGCTTCCCTCGACCTCCACAACATCAACCATCACCTCGAATCTCCTCATTTGAAACAGGACAAGTTCTTTCTGAGCTTCGCTTTCTAATTTAATCCGATTTCGAACATCAACACCACGAATCATTCACAATGTCGGGTACGTACCTCATGCTGATGTACAATCCATCTGCTGTATTCAAGCTAACATGTAATTCAATAGCCGGCGCATACGATCGACACATTACCATCTTTGCTGACAATGGTCGGCTTTACCAAGTTGGTATGCGAACCTCGAACCTTTAAACCGCTATACCCCACGATACTCCCTTGACCGATGACGTTGACGGACACCTGGAATTGTGACTGACAAGATACTGTACAGAGTACGCCTTCAAGGCGATCACAGCGGCCAACATCATGTCTGTCGGTGTGAGGGGCAAGGACTGTGCTGTCGTCTTGTCGCAGAAGAAGGTTCCCGTATGTATAAGAGCGTCGGAGTCTTCATGATGGATGCTGATCAATATCACAGGACAAGCTTATGGACCCTGATTCTGTCACCCACATCTTCCAGCTCTCTCCTTCAGTTGGTTGCGTCATCACAGGATCCATCGCGGATGCCCGAGCTTTTGCTCAAAGAGCTCAGGGCGAGGCTGCCGAGTTTCGATACAAGTACGGCTACGAGATGCCAGCTGATGCCCTGGCCAAGCGTCTTGCCAACATCAGCCAAGTCTACACTCAGCGGGTAAGCATAATGTAGTCATAGAAATTATGGCCAACCAGAGACTAATTCCATCCCAGGCTTATATGCGACCTTACGGCGTTGCGACCACACTGATTTCGCTCGACTCGGAATACGGCCCCCAACTCTTCAAATGCGACCCTGCTGGATACTACATTGGTTACAAGGGAACTGCAGCTGGCCCGAAGCAACAGGAGGCGCTGAACCACCTTGAGAAGAAGCTCCGCAACAAGGACCACGCGGAGGGTTCTTGGGAGGAGGTTGTTGAGCTGGCGATTACAACATTGAGCACAGTTCTGAGCATGGATTTTAAGAAGGGAGAAATTGAGATTGGTATCGTGGGTGGCCCCCGACCTGATGGTGAAGAGGGAACCTACTCGGGCTTCAGAACGTTGACCGAGGACGAGATTGACGACCGATTACAAGCTATTGCAGAGAAGGACTGAACAAGTGGAGAGAAAGATATGGAACATGCATGAAACATTCCCAGTTTGCGACAGTGGAAAGGTCGGTGCTCTTTGTCGCGAGGGATTAGAGGTTTGATTCGCGGGCTGCAGCAGGGACGGCGTGCTGCTCCCAAGAGCATGGATCACAAGGCCAATGCAGGGGGATGGATTATCAAGATCAGGAACTTGGATGCCGTCGTGGCCGCGGGTCCTATCCAGTGTGTCACTAGCCGTCCTAACCATGTGCAATAGAAATGATGAATCTCTTCTATCTGGCCAACTGAAACCTGCGCGCCTGATGACCCAATTGAGGACGAGTATGCCTCGCGCCAAGCGACTAATAACCAAGACAAAAGCCCACGATGGGGCTAGACCTGGTGGTGGGTCATGCTGTGCCGTCCCAGTAGGCTGTTAACACCAATATTTTCTCAATATTTCTCCATTGTGAGACTAATTAGAACCAGGCGCAAATAAGAATGAGGCTTGCAGCTATGACTCCTCAACTCAACTATGCCAGGTATGTTACCATAGGTAGCTTAGTTCTAAATTTGGTTCGAATTCGAAGACAAGCTTGTTCAAAGTATTCTCAATTAGCATTTCAAGGATGTTGTCATAGATTTTTGACATCGTATGAGAAAAGAGGCTTGATAGACTTCATCTGAAAACCATCCTTCCAGTCGATCGGATCTATGCAGGGGTGTCCCTGGCACGATGGAGAATGACCTTGAATTTTAGATGGCTGGCTGCCTATGATAAGCTCCCATTTGAGCCTCCAAGGGGATGACTGAAAATACATGCAAGGACCAATCCAGCAACAGGACCAAGTGTAAATGGGGTCATTTTGGGAGTAGGAGCGGGAGCGGGAAGCGGATGAGTTCGTGTTAAAGACGATGGGGGAGGCGAACGTTGAGAAGGCGAACGATAACAAGTTCGCAGACTAACGTTAGCGACAGTTGAACAGCATCAGAAATCACGTTGGTTGGGACTTGAGAGTCAAGTTCAGCAGCCTTGGAACGGCGTCATGCAGAGAATAGAGAGAGTGTGACGCCACATAACGCCTGTGCTTTTTTGTTTTTTTTTTGTTTTTTGTTTTTACAAAAGGTTCACTGCAGTCAACTGACGATTTCCTGGTTCTCGACCCGATAGAGATACATCATACATACGATGTTTCTGCAATGGCTGTAATAAGCCTTGTTGGGATAAGATAAACCTGGACGAGCTGGACAATCAATCCCAAGTAAGCATGATTGCATGTCATACCATATCCTAGTTTCAGATCTGACTTGGATATCAGCATCGGGTATTATCCTACCCACCTAATCTGGCATGTCAGTCGCCGACTTAGTATTACTTCCATGGTTGAGGTCATTTTGGTATGCACATGAATAATTGTTTCCTTGATTGCTAAATGTCTATCGGCTTTTCCGTGTTTGACTCAGCCTGGAAATTTGTAATATACAGGACAAGTGAGTACCTGAGTAATTCGTTCATGGCATTCTTTGGGTTGCATTTCAGACGGCCTCATGCTGATAAACTTGACCGTATCCAGCCATCAGCTCGCCCCGGACGGTTGCTAGAGCAGTATCCGCGCGCCTATTGGCCTCACTGGCCCGATAGAACTACACAGCCTTTCCTATTTTGGAGAGACTAGTGGGTGGCTCATGGATAGCTGAGCCGACCTATCCTAGGAAATCCACCTTTTTCCTTCTGACTACTTACTTCCATACACATTTCTCTATCAATCCAGAGTCCACAATCCATACCAAACAGAGTCTGACCGTCTCTTTGTTTTACTTGACTTGCTACGCCGTGTACCCAGTCTTGTTTTTTGCGGGTGTCTCTTTTTTTGGACAACAACCTAAACCCCCTGCAGGAAAAAGTCTCTACGCCTTCTTCTTCTGGGAAGTTTCTTAGCGTATAGCCCAGCATGTTTTTTTACTTTGCTCGCTCGGACAAGATGCTTTTTAGGTTGTTTTAGTCCGCTGACCAATTACTGACAAGGTACGCTTCGGAAAAAAATGCGTGACCCACGTTGTTCACTTTGATAGAGAATATCTTGGTGCCAGCCGAGTCTAACAGAAGCCTCTTTGACATCGGATGCCCATCCATATCAGGGGATACAACCGGGTGTGGCTGGAAAAGATTCACACCCTCTGTTGACAGCCACCACCCTCTCTATCCCTCAACATCATCCATCCCATATCTCCTGTACCATGCTCATGACGTGCCACATACATGGGGCTCTTCATTCTCCGGGTCCTGGTCCTGCATGGTGCATCGCTGTCTGCATACATGCGCCCAGGGGTACTGTAGGGGTAGGGCTGAGGGTAAAGCTTCGAACTTGAGTTCGATTCGACGACACTAGTCTTTGCCACCAGCTGGCCTAGGGTCGTTCATGTTGAGCTTGGGATAAGGATAGGGTGGAGGCTCATCATGGCACGCCCACTGGTGGCCTACGGCTTCTGTCTCAGAAGGCTGGTTCTAAATGCCGAGCCTCTCATGTGTGCCATAGCGGCCTTTGACTGGGACGAGAGAGGGGTGGTGCTTGACGTTCGGGTGGTATCCCCCCTTGGATCTAGTAGCCGTTCGCTCCCGTTGGTGGAGCACGACATTACATTTGGCAAGCTTGAGCTACTGTACGGTGTCAGTTAGGTAGGCTAAGGAAGATGGAGACTTTTCTGGAGCAAGAGCTTCTTTCAACTCTTCCTGTTGTCTCTTGATGGAGAAATTGGGAGGCCTTCGAAGACCATCACGATATACAAAAAGGATGCCCAGTTCTAGCGGATGGTTGATTGTTTGTTCAGTCAACCAAGCATTGAAAGGCCGGCTTCTCTCAACTGTTCTACAAGTGATCGACATGACAACTTCTCTATAATATTTCATTGCCTATTTCTCCTATCAAACTTTCCCGTCACCAATTCCATTCCGGCTCGAATCAAATTTGCTTTCCATAAAAGCTTGACGATTCTACACGTCAGTGTCTCTACTACTTTCGATCCCATCACCGACTGTGTCTCAGCTAGCCTGGTCACTTCTTGACTTTACAAACGTATCCTGTAATAAAATAACACGGGAAATTATGGACGGATGTAAGTTAAATCTGGCCACCTTGACAGCTACCAAGAGATGCCAATTGGCATCTCCGCGTCAACTTGTCACCACGACCAAACTTTGGAAACTGACACGCGAGTCCTTCGTCTCTTTACAGTAAACGAATACCGCACCATGCGAGTTGCTGAAGTTCTCTCTGATTTCCGAACACTTCAATACTACATAGCTGCTGCACCAGTCGATCCCGTGGACATGGCGGACTACTACACCGAGGGCTGGGCTGCTCTTCGACAATGTGCACTGGATGGGCAACACATTCTTGAATGTGGTGCGGACACCAGTGTACCTAATCCCCCTGGAGGCGAGGAAGAGCAGATGAAGGCCGAGCTTAAGCAGTATGTTTCCTCGACAACATGAACACCAACGTGAATAAGTACTAACATTCTGAAAGGGTACTCCTGGACGCGTACTCGAGACGGCACGAGGGCCAAAAGATCTATCTCCGACAGGCAGCGGCACAAAGATGGGTCCAATACAGAAACCAGGTGCTGCAGGGCGGCGCACCCAACTCTAGAAACCAGTCTCAACTCCAAGCGTGCGACCAGCAGCTACGAGCAGTATGATACCCCTTTCTACTTGTGTTTATAGTAACCCCTTACTAACTGTCACTATAGGAGCTCGCAGCAGTCGTCGACGAAGTAATCTACAATGAGCTCAAAGCCTCTGATGATCAGATGGGCCGCTGGACGGCCGAAGACCCCAGTCTCCGGGGTGTGCTACGCTGGCTCCGAGCACGCCGGTGAACTGAGAACAACGGAGACGACAAAAAGCGACTACGATCTACGATACCCCATGAGCAACAGTTGCGACGAACGAGAGACGGAAAACAAAACCAACGAAAACGCCCACGTCTACTGCGCTAATCATGAGATTCTTTCCCTTACTACTTCTACGATTCTTGACGAACCTTTTTTGACGACCGAACTATTCAAGGGGGAGAGTTACGGCTTGGGGTATGATTTTTGCGTAAAGGATAAACCATTCTGTTTCTTTTACTTTCATGACCTTACGAGTCATGGTTTACATCACATGTCTGTTATAAACGGTACAGCATGAAGCTTCTAGCATAAGCACAATTTTTAGGTAGAGGGAGAGTATCCTCCTTGTTAGGACAGGACCTATGGATTTGAGGTTGATGGGGCTGTGCTCCTTTGAACTGCCTGGAGCAGATGATACAATTGACTATTATTACAACATGTTTCTCTCATCTTGAATTCTACAATTTGTCTTTGTTCACTAGCAAGAATTGTCTATATGACTGGAGGTTCCTACAGAAGTGGAGTCTCTTGTGCATTGTTACAATTACTGGTAACCAATCCGAATGGTGCAACTTGATGAACCTATAGAATCATATATGTTTAACTACATTAGGTTACGTAGGATCTATAGTGTTACTGTACTAACGCTTGCTTTGAACACACAAGCCAATTCCGACCAACATTAGAGCCATCCCAGCAGCAGTATCTTGAATGGCCATTAGTTTGATATCACGGATTCAACACGAGAAACATACCTTTGCTGATAACTTTACCATCGACATACCAATCACCAAGAACGGTAAAGACAAACGCCAATGTATTTACAATAGGAACCGTCAAGCTTAGTTCTAGAGTTTGTCGTCATTAGCACTTAAGTCCTCGGCGTGGCGAAGTGTCAATGGTAGTCTATCCGGAGGATTGACACCCCCTGACAAGCACTCTTCGACAAGTGAGACCAAAAAGCATTAAACTTACCAGCTTGTCCAATGAGCAGAAAGAACCACACACTCCCCGTAAGGTTAAGAACCAACGGGATTGCATATTGGGGGTTCTTTAACAAGTCAACGACTGCAAAGAAAGCACCGTAGACCTTGGACTTGAGCCAGCTAGATTGGACAGATGGGCTCTCGAGTACCGGATGAGCAGGTGGATTGTGCGATTGCGCGGCGCGTCGGATGAAAGGAGTAGTGAAACCCCATGCGAGGCCTACTAGAACGAAGCTGAGGATGTAATTAAAAACTGGCGGCTTCTCATCTGCAGATTCCATGGTGACAATGGTGATGCACGTAGGTTTCCCCCTGCGTTCTAGACTCTGGACTGTTGGACCACAAAGGGAGTGGATGTAAAGCAGTGAACACGAGGCTCGTGCGTTTGTCTAACAAAAAAGATCTCACAGATCAGCCCTGCGAAGCCTATGAAAAGTCGGATACGATGGTTATGTGGAGGTTTAGATTGAGACCAAGGGCAGAATCTGGCAGAAGAAGTGCTTTCTAAAAATATTACTGGAGGCGAAGGCGTCAACGTGGCTGGCGGGGTTCGTCAACTCAGCCTCGCCCTAGGGGATTTCTATCCACTGAGGACGCTATATTTACAGGGGGGCTTCCACTAGGGCCAGGTAGGTGGGTGGCTTAGGTCGCTTCGCTTAGTGCACCTCCCCGCATGGTCAGTGCTTTTAGCCGCACTCCCGCGCTGACAAGCGACACTCGGGCTATTATTCAACTTCTCTTATCACCCATCCATTAATTATTGACCGTCACCGCTACGGAGTTAAAAAGATAATCCACATGTCGACCCGGCCACTCGGTGCTTCTTGGCGATGATCCCTGTCCAGCTGGGTATGGAGACTCGAATTAGGTTCTGATGCGACGTCATTTGCAGGCCAGCCATAGACGACTGTCGTTGGCCTCCTATCTCCCTTGATCATCATGAACCCTGAAAGGAGGGACCCAGTTCAAGATGGAGAACATCCCAATAGACGCAATACCAAGAGCCGCTGAAATGTCGTCGTTGTAGCATGATTCGTCTACTTTAACGCGGACACGCCGATACTTCAAGATGGATTGTCACAGAATGTCTTGCTGCACTACGACAACCGGGTCCGCTACTGCAGTGCAGATAGAGTGTGGCCAGTTAGTATCGCTACCGATGGTTTCGTCAAAGTTTCGGATCGATGCGTATAGCTGGTACGCATTTTAATTGGTTTGCAGGTTTCAGAATCATCTGCGGGTTCAACGACACAAATGCAGTACTGTTTGGTGATCGATTCGATGTCTCAGCTTCAAAACCCCATATTTGCAAACAAATCGGCTGGCATCGATTGAATTTGATATTCGTGATGATCCTCTTTACTTTTTTTTCACGGATTTGTCCGAAATGCACATTGTCAGCTATTGTGTCGATCATGCAAGTCGATTGCTGACCAACTTACCCTTGACCAACCATGAGGCTGGCACAAAGATCGAGGGTCGGCCGAATTGTTGAAAGCACCCGAGTTTGTCAAAACACCGATTGATCTACTCAAATTCTTACCATCGCCTTTCACAGTTGTTACTCGTCAAAGTCTGCGACATTGGCTTTCCATACTCAACAAGCCGGTTGCCTATATGGACAAGAGCAATCTGGCGGGTAACATAAACATTACTTCCAAGCCTTATGATATAAAAATAAATAACGCAAGGTATATTCTAAGCAGCATAAGCTGGTTTGCTAGTGTCGTCTCTTGTGCCTGCAGCGACCGACTTTTCTGACATCTTGGGGGCAACCCAAGATCAAAGAGTAAGAACCAACCATGGCTTCAAATCAACACACTGTCAGATACAGTAGTTTGACGGAGCGATTGCTATACGCCTGCCAATTCCCTTCTTTCACGGGACCTCGCGCTGCTTTCGCGATTGACCTTGAATCATTTGACACGTCTTGATGTCATGATTCGCGTCAATGATTCATCAAGCTAGCACAGACCGTCCTCTCCCTTTGTTTGCTTTTGATTCCAGAGTTACGACATGAAGCTGTTAGCCTAGACTCAGCGGGTGCTTGCTGGTATTCTAGGAATAATTGTCTGGCAAGCATAGAGTTGATGCGTCATGACTTTTTATCTCAAGGACAATCTAAACCTCTGAACTGGACATTTACAAAGCCGATATATAGGCAAATGCATTTCTTCGTTGGCCTCGCCGTTACTCTATGGCACTTATTGAAGCCATCTGCTTCATCTTGCATCATCGTGAATGATCTACAGGGGAAATTGATGTAGGGCTGATACTTGCACCTAACCAGATCGGCCTTCTGCATCGATCGAGCCGATATCGTCTGGAAGATTTGCTCCGAGCCTTCGCCCCTGCCAGTAGCAGATGTTGCAATCGTAGAGACTGATTGTTCATCATGCTTCAACACCAGGATCAAGCAGATGCCCGTGTCAAACCCCCGTATAAGTCTTACAACGGACAGCCTACACGTCACCACTTGAGAAGTAATACCCGTCCAACCCGTTTGCTGGAAGCACTCTGTATCACCAGATATGTTGACCAACCATGCAAGCTAGCTCCGGGGAAGCAGCTTGCCAACGGCAACAATGCACCAGAGAGGCTGGCCCATCGAGAAGATCATCAATCGCGTCAATGAGGTGACGTCTGATGTCTTGTAGTTGTTAGTTTGATGCGAAATCGGCGATCAGAGAGTAAACTTGTGTAAATAAACGACTATAAGAAGGTCCTCTTGTCGTCCCTCAACTCATCTATTCTCATCATCAACACATCTACAACTCTCAAGCAACAGCTACCACAACACATCTCTACCTCTTTATCAACTTGACACTCAACACCTTCAAAATGTCTGATGCTCAGATTGCCGGCGGCCACAAGGCTACTGTCAACAACCCCAATGCTTCCGAGGAGGCTAAGGAGAACTCTCGCAAGGTCCTTGAGAACGAGTTCAACGGCGGCGATGGTGAGCTTCACCCTTCATGGCATTGATGAGAACTTTGCCTAACATGTATAGTCGCTGGTGCCGATGAGAATAAGGAGAAGAACCCCAACAACGTTGCTGGTGGTCTCAAGGCGTGAGTTGCATTGTATTCTATGATTGATCGGCAACTGACAACGTGCTAGCACTCTGAACAACCCCAATGTCTCTGATGAAGCCAAGGAGAACGCCCAGGAGCGCCTCGACAAGAAGGACTTTTAAGAAGTTTGGCATTTTCCGTGTCTAGCGAATTATTTTAATACTTACACGGATTGGTGGAAAGTCAAGAGTACCTGGAAGTAGCGTAACAATGTCAACTCACTTTTGATCTAAAGTTTGTCCTCGTGTAATAAACACTTGAAACATCTGAAAACGCCCCAATCCACTGTCTTGTTGTCACTCTGGTGATATACTTAGGGCGGGGCCAAGTTGGTACACTAATTCATTCACTTCGCGGTTTAGGACATACGCCTGTCTATGAAGTTTACAAATCTCAAAATGACATCCGAACTAGAATGCAAATATCGATCCAACGCCATTCTCCCGCCAGCCATAGGCTTGAATACAGTCCTTTATCACCCCCATGTAACCACATTATCGTGTTTCCGAGTAATCGTTGAGAGCAACACAGACGGCACCTCTGTGGTGTCCGTTATATTGTCGAATGATTTGCTGACTATGCAACTCCCACAGTCTCGCATAGTGATCAGAGCAGGCAGTTACCAGGTACGCCGAGTCGGCGCTGAAAGCGCAGTCCCATACCCAGCGTTGGTGTCCGGTGAGGGTGGCCTCCAAAGGATAAGGCTTGGGCTCTTGGTCCGGGGTGGGCTCGATGTTCTTAACTTCCCAAATCTTGGCTGTGTGGTCTGCGCTACAGGTCGCGAGCTTCTTAACATCCGGGGACAACAAAATGCGAGTGATGTATTCCTTGTGGGCGTTGAAGTGAGTGACAGGCACAAGCTGTGTGCGGTCGAAACTTTGGATGAGATTCCATACGAAAACATTTCCCTAGCAAAATGGTTAGAGTTGGAGCCTGGGTATCCTCGCTGTCACTTACAGCATTATTGGCGGCGCATAGCAGAGATCCATCGCTGGCTACGGTGACGCTAGAGACTGAGACGTCTTCCTCTGGGATGAGCTCATGGGAACAATTGTTCTCGGCCAGATCCCACACTCTGACACTTCCCGACCTGTCGCAACTGATAATCTCACCCTGGTTGGGGTGGATTACGACATCGTTTGCTGGGCAACCATGGTTATAGCTTCGCTGAATTGATCCAGTCCTCGTCTCCCAGATCTTAACAGTACCATCTTCGGAACTAGTAACCATCCATTTTCCCTCGCAGTGAAAGGCTACGCCTGTGATGTTGCCGGTGTGTCCCTCGAAGGTCAAAAGCGGGTTCGGGTTCGTCGATTTGATATCGTAGAGCTTGACGGTGTGGTGGCCAGCGGCGGCAAGGTACCGCTTGTCGGGGGAGATACAAAGGCGATTGACCTGGGAGTCGGGATGCTGGATTGTTCGTGAACAGATACCCGATAAAGCTTCCCAGAATCTTGAATTAAAGCGTCAGTCAATTGTGAGTTGAATCAGATAGGCGCGTCGCATTCGAACCTAATAGTATGATCGTATCCAGCTGCGACATGGGTTAGCTTGAATGAATAGATATGATGGAGATGTCGCATTTACCTGTACAGAGAATGACAGACATTTTGAAGATGGGAAATCAGTCGCTTCGAGCTCAGCTCATGGTAGAACAAGTCCGCAAGGGACCTTTTATTAGAAGAGCTGGCTAAAAAAATAAAACAAAATACAGTTTGATCTGCCCAATTCCTAATTCCTAACTCCCCAACTCTCCACCGCGAAAGCGCAGCACGAGGACGCGGAGTGGAATGCAGTAAAAGGGTTATGCATTTATCGGGTACGGTCCCAACGACCAGCTGTTCCTGCCCTACCTCCTACCTCCTGCTATGACATGAACTGCAACCATCGTCAGCTCCCTTTTTGAAAACAAGAAATTTCTTTCTTTCTTACATATTCGGGTACTGATTCAGAAAACAAATATCTTCAAAGTTACATACAAATGCTACATCATTTTCCGTCGTCAGATGCTATTCTATGCACTTGTCCACCTCGGTGCAAGTGCAAATGCAACATGTCGTGAACGAAAATCCGTAAATTGACCCCAGACAGTCATGCGACACGAAAATAGATAACGATGCGCAGGGTTCTATCAAACGAAATAGAGGCATTCTCGTGCACAAAAATCGTCATTGTGTCAAAGGCATGCGTTGTGTAACCAGTCATACGGCCCATCGAAGTTTCGTCCATGCCATCACCCGTCTCTACAGTTCAGCAACACCGCGCCGAGTATGTCGTTCATCCCGAACGTGCATGCTGCTATCGTTATCGTTAGGTACTGTTGATGATATGCCTTTGCAATGACGATAAATGATCTTATCAGTGCCCGACTCACTCACAGCTACTCGAGACCCTTTCGTCTTCATTAACAAAAGAGAAAAGACCGGTATTCACAGTCCCATCTAGCCACAAGCGTGGTCATCTCATCAAGAAGGTCAACATTCACGATCGATTATGGCTTACATTTTCTTGGTGAGCTATGTGAAGAGAGTCGGCAGGCAGGAGTCATCACTCTACATCATTTTTGAAGAAAGGCATACGCCAAGTTTGCCAATTTCAAACTGTCCCGAACCAGATTATCAGATCATCCAATGACGATATTACAAACGCAGGTCCAAATGTCGTGCAACGCCGTTGTAAACTTCAATACGACATCTTGACCCTGGTCTTTCGGAAGTTTTGAGACATTTCAACATGTCATATTTGAGGACTCAGAATGCTGTCTTTTCTTCCTTCTTTGGCGTTGTGCTATCGCCGTGGACGACAGAAGGCACCAATGATCTTTTCTTCAAGTCTACTACCATAGGTTGGTACTCGGTCTATCCTAGCTCACCGAGCCAGGTATCGCAACATATTCGAGAGACCAACGATTTATGCCACAAGCTGAGCAGGGTATCTGCGCTGCTTTCTTATTGCCAATTTCTATTGCCTAAAGCCGACTTGGCTTGCACGGAGATAGCAACACGAACATCATATCGCGTTTAATTGGTAATAGACACGCCCTATCTTTTGTCAAGGTCATCTGACACGCTTTTAATGAGCTTCGACGTCATCGGCTGCATCTCATGGGTTGAGGGTTGGCTACGCATGGCCTCGAACATCGAGACAGATAACATCATGTCACGTCGGCAAAAGAGCCTGCAACAACATTCGTGCAACATCTCCCAGGATCTACATCTCGAGCTTGTTATCTTTGATCACTCCGCCCTTCTAGCGGATATCGTACCCCTTATCACACCCTGAAATAGCCAGAATCACCAAGTGTGGTGGTCAGACTGAGTAGTCTTTTCTTATTGCCGAGATTTTAAGCCGAGCAGAGGCCAGACTCGGTATCGATCAATCAAAGGGCTGAGATTGGTCAACATTACTTGGACCTTGACTTCATCTATGACAGCCTGTTGGTGTGCAAAAGACTGCTTGTCATGGCCGTTTTGAAGAAGTAGAGGGTAGCACAAAAGGGCAAAGCTAGAGACAAGGTGCATGGCTCTGCGTATCAAAAACTACAGCAAAATTACCGTCCATCTCTCATTATTTTTGGTGCTGGCTTGACCAGAGGGCAACAATTGTTTTTTGACCGGTCAGATTATCGATGGGTGTACAAGAGTGGTATGTTGAATAACAATGCCGTGGCCTCATATATTTGGTCTTATTACGGGATGGCTTTTGAGAACCGTCTGATGCAGTAAGTAACCATGGGCGTGGTCAGAATAAGGAAAGTCGGTCAACTTGCCAACAGCGCCGGCTGAACAGGCCCGACGATCATCGGAAGGTTACACCAGGTAAGAGACGGGGCAGACGTTGCATAACAGCCAAGACCGTGTTCCTCTCTACGGACGCTTTCACCTTGAAGCTACAGATCAGTAAGAGAGCTTTGCTAACAATTATCACCGCATCAAGGCTTTAATAGAAACAGTTCTGCGCAAGATATTTTCGTCATTCGACGCCTCATTGCCATTGCAGACAAGGCTTGAGCTGATATTTAACGGCAAATGCCCATCTATTTCTCAACAACGGCATGTCCCACCCACCCGATCGATAATTTCCAGAATATCCTCCAGAAGGGGTGTTAGGTAGGCAGTCTCATCCTATGGCTGCTGCACCTAATTAGGCATGCACGCAATAGAGATTCTATTTAAGAACTGGCATCCTATCACTACCCGCGAAGCTGCGTGAAATGAGTCAAAATTACTTTTACAAAGCCCTAGTCTGTCGCAAAAACTTGGGGTATGAGGCACAACCTTGCGATCATGCAGCAAGCCGTTGGTCTTGGTCAGCCTGGACACTGATTTGCCGAACGGTTTAGCAACCGGTCAAGATTTAGAGGGATTTATTCCCCATATACATCACCGACAACACGGTTCAGGAGGCGTTTCTGGTGTAGACCGAAGGGGGGAAGCTGCATGCACTGTCGAAGCCACAAAACGCTGCAATTCGGTCAACCATGTGCTGCAGCGCATAGCCGACAGATTTGGTGTGGGGATATGCAACCAGGAATGAGGCCCCAATTCGGGACGGCAGATGTGATAATTACTATCTCGGCTCATTTGAACGGTTTTGAGTTCGGGCACAAAGCCAATTCGACTCTTTTGCCTAGAGATTCGAGCCTAATTAAGGCAACCAAACATCCTTGACTTGATCGTCACCACAAGGCCCGGTTGCAGCCGGCATCATGACAGTGGCTCCAGACTCTGACAGGCGTGATAATATGACGCCTTTGTATCGAACCGCAACTTCATGTCATTTACAGAGGCGGTGTGTTAGTTGTTATTGTCAGGATAGACGGTGGTATGATGCCATTTAGACGTTTGTCGGGGCAGTTCTGACCGATACCCTTAAGTGGCTATATATATGTGTATCATCATCATCATCATCATCATCATCATCACCATCAATCTTTCCTGGAATTGCAACGGGAATGTTCGAACAAGAAACCAGAGCCACAGCAAGCTTGAAAATCACGAACCCAAGTCATCCCTGATCTCCATCACTATGTCTTCACCTATTTCCTCCTACGTCTTCGACGATCAAAACATGACCTGGATCACCTGTGATCTATGCGCAGGCTCTTTTCAGCGTGGAGCGTTAGTTATTATGCCTCGCTACCTATTCAGCCTGGCTAACTAAACAGTGATGGGACATGTCAGGGGTGTTATGGGACCAAACTCCGCAGAGTATCATATACCTATCTCGCTACAGGAGCAACACCCTCTCGAGTACAAGGAGGCACTGCTCCACCACCACCTCCTTCTTCAAAGGATGACAAACCTGATCACTCACGCGGAGGCTCAGGTGGTTTCAGCGTCTATACTCGTCGCGCCTAATGAGCTTGACTTCTGGCGAGACTAAAGCCAGTCTTGCCTACAAATGTATCTCAGTACATGTATTAGAGGGGGCCAGCCAGATATGGCTACAAGTGTGCACAATCATTAGTTCGAGATAGCTTGGGTTTTTATTTATAGCGACGGCAGTATACCTGGGCAGGTATTCTGATTATGGCGGTCTTTTGTGAAGAGCCACTCGTTTGAGTCTCAATTCGAATTAGTTATATGGGAGGATGATGTTTCGCTGCCAGGGAGCAATAACCAGCAGCCAATCTCTCTCTTTTAGTTGGATATCATTAGGAACAAGATGTTCCAACATGTTCCATTGATAACACCAACAATGATATATATGGGCACAGATCTGGATCACAATATCGCCAGCGACAAGAACCATCGGCATGGCCACTTGGTAAACACGAGTATCTTCTGATGGTTATCAAGGTAACTGAAGATTCGACACCTCGAATTCACATATGATACCTTCTACTTGAATTCTGTACAGGTAGCTTGCAAGTCAAGGAGTTTTCTTGATCCGATACAGATGTAGCCATTGCAGGTATCTATTATCAGACATTTCTCATGTTCGATATATCATGTAAACCATCAACGAATTACACGGCCTGGGATTGCCCCGCGTCTATTAAGAGGATCGCGTAATAAACCCCACCCCCACCTTGCATCACCAAACCCGAATCCCGATGCCGGCCTCCACCAACTTTCCCATCGCATCTCCATAGCATTTCGCCATCTTCACCCACTTGTCATCTCTTAATACAATGCGAACTGCCTTTCGCCGAATTGCACTAACAGCCCGAACTTTCACATCATCATCACCAACTCCACTCTCATTGCTGCAGCGCACAGTACGCAACATGTCGTCCACCACAACTCCCGTTCTTAAGCAGCGCGTCAAGCTCTCTCTCATCCAGCTTGCTTCTGGATCAGACAAGAAAGCCAATCTTGACAGTGCGGCATCACACGTCGCTCGTGCAGCTTCATCAGGTGCAAAGATTGTTGTTTTGCCAGAATGCTTCAACTCGCCTTATGGAACAGACCACTTCCCTCAGTATGCAGAGACTCTGCTGCCCAGCCCGCCGTCCAAGGATGATGCGCCCTCTTATCACGCTCTCTCTTCCATGGCTGCTGATAACAAGGTCTACCTTGTTGGAGGTTCTATCCCTGAGTACAGCCCTGATACGAAAAAGTACTACAACACAACCCTCATCTTCGGACCGGATGGTTCTCTTTTGGGAACGCATCGCAAGGTGCATCTTTTCGATATCGATATCCCCGGCAAGATCACATTCCGCGAATCCGACATTCTCAGCCCTGGAAACAAGGTGACGCTCGTCGACCTTCCCGAATACGGAAAGATTGGCGTCGCCATTTGCTACGACGTACGCTTCCCCGAGCTAGCCACCATCGCGGCTCGAAAAGGTGCTTTCGCACTTATCTACCCTGGCGCTTTCAACACTACAACTGGTCCTTTGCATTGGCAACTGCTGGGAAGATCCCGTGCTGCTGATAACCAGCTCTACGTGGCTCTATGCAGTCCCGCCCGCGCCGAGACAGGTTATCCTGCCTATGGTCACAGTCTCGTCGCAGACCCCATGGCGCAGGTCCAGGTTGAGGCAGATGAAAAGGAGACCACTGTTGACTGGGAGCTTGACCCTGAAAAGATCACAGAGGCGAGAAAGGCCATCCCGTTGAACACACAGCGAAGATTTGATGTGTACCCAGACGTGAGCGAGGGTAAGATCCAGTTTGAGGAGTCTTGAGAGACCAAACTGAGTATCCAAGGCCAATCTCGCCCCCCAAAAAGAGCATATATAATCAAAATCATATCACGGAAGGGAGAGAAATATCATGATAGAGACCAAAATTCTCTATTTCATAACTGGCAGTAAAACCAATATATTTTCCAACTCGGAGCATATATACCTTTGCGTCCGGATGAATCTATGTGGCCATGGCCTTTTTTGTCCCCATTGATCCCTTTTCTGCGTAAACTCATAAACGTAGCCACCTAAACCAATCTGCATCAATCCTTTGTGTGTAGACGACTTTACTCAAGAGCCTTGGCAGCGAACTTGGGAAGGACGAAGGCGGCCTTGTGGATCTCAGAAGAGTAGTATCGGAGCTTAGCATCCTCCTCCTCCTTGGTCCAGGATCGGAGGGGGTTCTTGACATCGGCCTTGGGGTCCTTGGAGCAGACCATGAAGCCGATCTGGCCGGAGGGGTAGGTGGGGATGGTGGTGTAAGCGTACTCGGCGACGGGGAAGATGGCACCGCAGTCCTTCTTGAGACGAGTGATGAGGGGGAGGTGAAGCCAGGGGCTCTCGGCTGTAAGCAGGTTAACGAGTCAGCAAGGGTTCATAAAGTTATGGATGCAATATAACAAGACCATGGCGGTTCAGGAACAGCAGAATACAACGTGGCCGAGCAGAGCAGCGGCTGACATAAACGTTTAAACATAACACATGCTTTCGCGGGACTACCGGAAGCAGAGCTGGGAAAGCAGCACTAGCTTCTGGAAGACCCTAGGAGGGAAGCGGTACGGTGATGTACCCATCGAGGGAGAGCCCTAGTGCACCGACCAAACTTTGACCATGCAGGGTTCCCTGATTCTGCCGTTCCTAGGGACGCCATTTGCTTTCCTCAAGAAAATAGGGAACATACAACCTTGAGTAGTAATGACACCGCCCTCACGAAGAGCGTCGTGGAGGAGCTGGAAGTAGCTCTTCTGGAAGAGAGCCTCGGCGGGACCATCGGGGTCAGAGGAGTCGGTGATGATGACGTCGAACTCGTTCTTGTAGTCGTTGAGGAACTTGAAGCCATCGCCAACGTGGGTCTTGGATTTGGGGTGATCGAAACCACAGGCCATGGAGGGGAGGTGCTCCTTGGAGAGACGGATGACAGCCTCGTCAATGTCGCAGAGGGTAGCCTCCTCGACACAGTCGTGCTTGACAATCTCACGGAGAACACCACCGTCACCACCACCAATGACAAGAACCTTCTTGGGGTTGGGGTGGGAGTTGAGGGCAAGGTGAGCAATCATCTCCTGATAGGAGAACTCATCGCGCTCGGTGCACTGGATGACGTTGTCGAGGACGAGAACGTTGCCAAAGTCGGTGGACTTGAAGATGAGGACGTCCTGGTACTTGCTCTTCTCGTGGACGAGGACCTTCTCAACTCGGAGGGTCATGGCATGGCCTGGACGGTTGGGTAAGAATTGAGTTGGTGGGCTTGGGTGAATTGAGTTTGCTTACCGGGCCACATGTCCGAGATCTCTCGGAACCAGCCATCTAGAGGATATGTTAGTTAATTTTGATCAATTGAATTGTTGTGAGCTCAGTGATTAATGCACTGGTTTTGGTTTTTCGCAGCAATTCGCGAGAGCGAAAAAGCAAGCCATGCATATGATCATCATGAGAGAGGGGCAGCACAGCGCGGGGCAATGAAAATAAAAGGAATAAAAACATACCGACGATGGTGGGGTGGGTGATCTCCTCGTTAGACATTTTGAGAGTAATAGAAGAAAGTCGACGACTCGAAGTAAAGGCAAGTGACGATGTAGTTGTGGTGGTGAAGTTTCGTGGAGGTGAAGAAAAATGCGGGAGCTGGAGGAGTCTTGACTTTTTATCAACAAGGTGCGGCTGCTGGACATGTCGCGCAGCAGCAGTGCAGCCTCCCGCTAAAGCGTTGTACCCGCGCCTACAACTGAAATTCAAGCTGCTACATCTTCCAATTACAATTGGTGGAGACGAAATAGCGGGTAAAATTTTTGACACGACCCCAGCAACAGAAACTGGTGATGGTACCGTCATTTTCACTTTGGGCATCGATCTCTTTTGGAGCCCCAGACGATATCAGGCGGTGATCAAGTCATGTACCTGGTCCACAAGCCAAGGTACCCTAGACCAAGAAGTTATCAGGTAAAATAACAGTAAAAAGGTACATTGGCCGTTGTCAGTTCATGCTTGTTCAAAAGCTAATCTTGTCAAAGTTTGTCTAATTGCTTCCGCTTTGGGTCTAATCTTCAACCAACACGTCAGTGGTAGAAGAGCTCATGCTCAGCACAACGTGGGGTGGTGGAACACTCTGTTCAACGTGAAGAGGTTGATTTACTTTCTCTCCAGATATTTCCATATCTGGTAATTTTATCTTTGCCCCAGTATATGGTGTATCTAGTCTGGTTCCAAATCGGAATATTCACCAAGTGAATGAAGCGACCCAGCCAATGGCTTGACGACGTTGAGGTATAGACATTAGCATTAAGACATACAAACCCTCGGTTGTTCCTTTGTCGAGTGAGCCTCGGATAATGAATAAAAACAAGTAGGTAGGGATCGGCTGCCTTGTAAAAAGCTGAACCAGCAATTTACTCCTCACTTCTTGTACTCGAGACATGAACAAATGGTTTCAGATAAAAAACTACAGCTTGTCTGCTTGGTATAAGCAGAAACAAGCTCCAACAAAGGGAAGTAAGGAGCTAATATCGAGATACAAAAGATCCATCTTAGGTTTACAGACTTTTCCCGCAGAATCAAGGCAATCCCTTCCCATCCAATGAGATAGTGCCCAGTCCAGCTATAACACCCCAACCCATGCTACCTCATGTTCCAAACGCCTCCGGACCATTGCCCAGTTTCATTCAACCCTAAGAAACCCTGGTTGCAGGAACGCCTTGTAAACCAGAACCTTTCCGTACCTATAAACGCCAAACGTGCAAATGCAAAGAGAGAAAACAATGAGATAGCCAACTGTTGATGGAGATGAGAAGTGTGTGTACATGTAATAGAAATTGGTGTTGCCGTCATTTCATATGGCATCGATCATGTGTAACGTATTTTAAACACTTCATGACCTGTTGTTGTCATCGTCTTCGTGAATGTGAAATTCGGTCGAGTTGTTGTTGGGCCAAACATTTTGGTGACTGGGATACTCGGAAGGTTGGCTGCTGACGTTACTAGCAGGATCACTATGGTGAGGGTCGACGTTTTCGTTGTCCTCAGCAGCACGTTGGTCCTCAATTCCGGGCCATGGCTCATCTTCAGGGAGTTGCCAACCCTGTGATCGTCGACCTGGTAAAGCCTGCTCATGTGTGACTACTTCCATACCGTCCACACTCTCGTTATCTTCCATATCGTCAGAACCACTCTCGTAAATATCGATGTTGAAATCCGAGTCATCATCGAATTCGTCTTGAGCAGCGGTGGGCGCCACACTTCCAGAACGCAGAGGCCGTTCTTGGAGAGGAGCGTTACTGAACGGTGTGGCATATGCGAAGGGTGTAGTTCCGCGTGCTTGTTGGCGATCGCCGAGGCCCATGGGCATAGGGCTCGGCGATGCAGTCCATCTTGGTGTAAAGCGATGGCTCGGGGACCTTGTACGACGACGCTTCATGATTGCCGATTGGGAGTTGACAAGCAATGCAGGAGATTGACGACGACTTTGTACGTAGGACGAAACACGGCGTCTGTTAAGCGCAGGCGAAGCTTGTATCGGAGCAGCCATGGGCGTTGAGGAAGTTCGGATGTGAGGTGGATGGGAACCTCGCCGGCTACCAAGCCGGGGCGACTGGGCTCGCACTAGAGACGGGCTCGAAGATTTCATCCTTGAGAGAGCCGGATAGAATGTCTGCGACGGCGAGTTTGAAACTCGGGCCTTTTCATTGCGCATGCTCGTGGAGATATCAGCGCTAGGTGGCTCGTCAAGTTGTTCGGTCCAAGTCCAACACTCTTCGAAAGCCTTGCTATCATCCAACGAGTTTGATGGGTTAGGGACGACTGGGCTCATCTCTCTGAGCATTTGCCATGTCCAGCCCATCTCGTATGCTTGAAAGTCTTGGAGATAGGCGTCAGGGTGAGTGATGAACAACCTAGGTTCAGAAGCTCGCATCATGACCTGGCTCAGAAACTGAACGTCCCACACTGCAGGTGTCATCATCTCAGCAGGGCTGAGGAAACGTAGTCGCGAATCTTTATGAATCTTGCGCAGAGGGACCCAAGTGGACTGAAGTCCTAGGTATGTGGATGAGCGCGGATCAGTAGTCTGTGGGCGGGAGAAGATGTTCATCTCGCGAAAGAGGTGTCCAAAGGCCCCGTTCATGGCCATGGTAACGCTGCGAGCATCTGAGCCCTTGACCGATATTGTCTTGATCAAACCACGGCTGCGCAGCCGTCGATCGACGATACCCTTATCAGGACAAGCTTTGGGCAAGAGCCATTTGGTTTCTTGATCCGAGGTTATCCAGTCAGGATATAGAGACATTTCAGAGCGCATGGTGGTTGCACTGTGTGTCATGGGTAGTTGTGTCCAATCGTCGTTGGAGATTTGTGGCTCGTTCTTGAACTGCTGAGCCTCCTGCCATACCTTCTTAAGGGGAAATGGCAGGAAGATTACTTCGATCTCGAACGGATGAGTAGGAGAAGGCATTAGCGACTGTAGCTGAACCACTTGTGCCTGAAGAGATTGGACCTGACTCCAAAGCTCTTGAGAGTGGCTTGGACGACTTGTAATACTGGTTGAAACGGATAATACGCTAGCATCGTCGCCTCGTCGAGATGCATTGCTGTTGTTGTCGTTAAGCACGCTCTTGTTATCATTAACGATTTTTTCCACCTCTTCGACCCGACTTTCTAAATCAGTCATCCGGATATCAACATGATCATGCTTTTCCTGGCAATCTTCGTGTCCTGCGACTGTAAAGGAAACCGTCTCTAGTCGGTCAAGCCGTTGGTCGTGACCACTGACGGTGTCAGATAGGTTCTTGAAAGCGCGCCGTGAAACGGCCGCATTGAAAGCTGGAGCTCGAGGTTCAGACTGGGTCGGCGTACCAGGTCCGGGAGTATCAGCTGGCCTGTGATCCTGCGAGGTCCATGTAAAAGATCCGCCTTGTGGTACCGGTTCCTTAAATATAGCAGGTGGTTGTGAATCCTGGGTCCTGGGCTGGGTCAGAGATGAAGGCCTGTTTTCTGGAACACTATTGAGCGTGTGAAGACCCTTTCCAGCAAAAGGCCGTATATACTTGGCTTGGATCGATGACGTCGTAGATGCTGTTTGAGATGCCATTAGACATTGTGATGGTATTGGTGGTATAGAAGAAGGACATGGCTGCGACTGTATTAATCCTCCCCAACTCATAGTATCCGGTATTGAGGCAGAGGTTCCATTGTTTTGAGTGTCTGTCATCCTAGGATGTGGTCCGATATCCAATGGCATCCTTTGGTCCGGTAATCTTGGGTCTGACGTCCGTGGGATAAAAGATAAGGCTCCTGGGTTAAAATTCGAAAAATCCATTCCAGGGATCACTGGAGGTGTCTTGAGGGTTATGTCCATAACGGGGCTAAGAGGTTCGCGTGCAGTCCTGGGTCTCTCATTTTCTTGGCCTGGTATACTCACTTCAGGCTGCTGAATATCACGAGATCCCTCATCGTGATAGCAGGCGTGGTGATTGCACATACACCATTGGGATTGATCCGGTGTAGGATTGCCTGTCGGACATCGACTCCAGAACCTCCGGCACCCACAACGAGCTCCATTAGCACCTGGGTTTAAATCCACGAAACCACAAGATCCTCCTGGCAGGCTGGGGGTCGGCGTCCTGACCGCGACAGCGTCTGTATATATATCGAAGGCATTTGGGTTGAAGTGGGACGGGTCGAATGGTGTCATTGCCATTGGAAGTTGCGCGCGCTCATGTCGCGAGGCCAAAGTCGCAAAGCAAATAAAGCAGGCTCGGCGCCTTCGAGAGGGATATAAGTCCGTGTATAATGTCGCGAATGGTTGAAAGCAGTGGAGGCCGTGGTGAATGGGTCACGGGTGCTCCTCAACCAGGCCCAGAGGGTCGCGCAAAGCGGCCGCCTATTTCAGTTCATCGCACTATAGGTCAATTAGAATCGCTATACTAGCTACCAAGGTCGAAAAATCTGGTCGCAATCCATGAAAGGCCTGGCGAGGAAGGCGGGTATGGGTCCGAGGAAAATGGAGGAGACTAACCACGGCGCGAAAGAGAAGCAGGTAGGTAGTCGTGGATCGAGGGAACAGCACTATTTATACGGAAAGCTCAGGAGATGAGAGAATCGCAGGCGGACAGAAGAGAGTGGACAAAAAGTAATGTCGCAACGTGATGGAGGGATGCTAGAATTTTTGCCTGCCTATGAAAGATGCGATGTGCAAGCAAGGCGAACAAGGCGATGACTTTTCGAGTGGCTCGCGAGAATGGAACTGAGACTGGGACTAGGATGAGTATGGGGTTGGAAGTGGTGGTGGTTAGGTAGATGTGGAAATGGAAGTGCATTCCCCCCCCACAGCAGAGACAAGACACGCCTCGACGGTGTCGATACGCGCACCTTGTTGACGCACTATGGCCATTTATGGCAAGACATCAACGCTGCCTTTAACGTGGGTATCAGAGAGAAGAGTTGTGATTTTGAATTGAATAAAATTCTACATATTCATATGAATTTCTGGTTTTGGTATTCTAACATCTATTTAAGCAGTTCAAATTCATAAATCAACCGTTTTAACGGCATCCTTTCAACGGTTACTGTTAGACAATGAAGCCGCAAATTTCCACCATAACGACGCTTAATTATAGTGTATGTAGGGAGGCACGAAACTTGTTAAAGCGGCACCAGATGTCTTGGAACTTGGCTCCTCTTCAGGTCACTTTCAGAGCTGCTTCTCTCATTTACCCCGCCTGGTTATGCTAAAGCACGCCAGTTTAAGTGCTTAAGCCAGTGCACGCTCACCAAAAGATACAAGAGAACAAGGAAGCGCTTCGAGATAACGATTATTCAACCAATAAGATACTTTCTACAGTCCCAGTTTTCGTCTCCGCTCATCTGTGGTAATTGACGGGAGGGAACGGCGCCTCCCTCGCGTCCCAGTCCATCTAAGTTGTCTCAAACCTAACTCAACAACTGAGTATTGGGCAGACCCTAGAATAAGAGGTTCTTAATTCCTAAATAGTCACAGTCACAGTTGGCATCAAGAATATCAATTATAATCACCTCAGTTCATACGAGTGAATAAATGCTCTCATAAGACTTGCATCACTTGCAAGATAACATGTCTAAAAAGGTACATCACTGCCTCAATGATGATCGTTTCAACCCTTGCATGGTTCGCTCATCTCTTGTGAATATTGTGTAATCACCACTTGAGGCTGAATGCGCCATTGGCCAGTATCTTCTCTTATTCTTGCATTTCGCTTCCAGATTCGATGTGATTGTCCGTTTAAGAAGCGTTGCGATCTCGACTCGTTCAGTGAGGCGACAGTTGGGTCTTCCGCCTCGAGCAATGGCTGGTTCTGCGAAAAGGGATGATTCTTCGTCTCGCGGATCAGAAAATTAAGAATTTTCACGGTAAGGCTTTCCTTCGGTCTTCACAAGTGCAAGGAGACATCACAATAATGCAACCATATGTATGGCTTTGAGGTGAAATTGGTCCAGCTTGCCCTGCAAGCACCTTAAATTCAAGAAACAATGAAACTCTATCGTGATGAGTAAAAACGCCATGTCTCGTCTTTAGATGGTTTCCTGTAACAGTAATCCCCAACTTTTAAATGTTCACAAAATAAATATCTCAACAAGATATTGCACACAACACCCCTTTATGCTGTCGTTATAGTGTAACCTTTGTGGCTCGGCTTCATAAGTCAACACATGTCATACCTTCACAGTCATCATCATCATACTTCGCCCCAACTGCCCATCGGGCCGTTGGACGCAATCACAGAACCTGTGCCCAGAGACCCACCAATGTCCCAGTAATGCCGTGATGAGACGCTACTTCGTCGAGCTGATCGTCTTGTACTCTGACTCGCGCAACTACTGGGATGCCGGATCGCTACTGGACTGCCTGGCGTCGTAGCTTTGAACGTTCGACGCTCGGCTGCAGGCCTCATGCGTGAGACCAGCGGGTGGTGTTGTCGCACGCGAGCCAATTTGGCCGCTATGTCCTGACTGCTCGATGTGGCCAGGTGAGCTGGAGTGGGAGGGGGCGGATTGCTGGTTCGTGGCATAAACCGAGAACGTAAATAGCGGAATACCAGTTTCATGTCCAGGTCTTTCTCCCACTCATCTTGCGTAAAGGCATTGCTCATAGGTGTATCTTGTTGTGAGGTATGTTCCGTCTCGGTTGATGGCTCAGCTAATCTGCCAAGAATATCGATATGATTTGAAGGCTGCATGGTTGGTTTGAATTGAGGGAATGATGAGTGTTCAGGCTCGGTAGGGCGGATGTTTTCTGTGGCGGAATGAGAGGAGTTGGTTTCCGGGATAATTGGGAGACCAGCATAGGGAAGTGGCATCTGCTGAACTCGGGTAAATGTTGAAAATGCGCCAGGATGGTGCGAGATATGGCCCACAATTGAACCAAGTTCTTTTGACATCTTCTCGAGCATGTTCAATTGCCACTCCTCCTTGTTGGTGAATTGCTGTGAGTCCCATGCCAGGTGCTGAGAGGCGCGTGGTGTTGAAGATAAATCTTCGTTATCTTCAGGCACGATTTCTCCCAACATGACTGAGATTGAGTGTTCGTCCATTCCAACAATATCTCGTAGAAATTTCCTGGTAATCTTGGAGAACATGCCTTCTGAATCAGCAGGTGTCTGCACAGCGTCCTCATCGTGCCATGTCATGTTATCTGATTCTCCATCATATGCCAGAGCTGATGGTACAGAAGGAACATTGGATGATGGGCGCTTGGGAATCGATGCTTGTGAAAACCGCCGCCGCCTTGTCTCGCGCTGAATCTCGCCAAGTAACACTCGACTATGTTCCAAGCGCCACTCTTCGATCCGTTGGCGCTTCTCTGTATCGTGCACTTGATCATGCTCCACATCAAGTTGCCTCAAGTCAAAGCTTTCTTTTCGTTGAAACTGCCTTCTGGGGTTGAAACGCTCAAATTGGTAAATATGGTCTTGGGCCGCGGCGCCCAACGTCGGTTGGTCAAGATGAAAAGATCCCAGCCCATCATGGGCAGGAAATACGGGTCCAGATGCTTGGTTATCCTCATGTTGTGGTTGATAATTCACTCCGGGTATAGACTGGAAGCCAGGTAAATGGCCGTCAAGACTGTCCAACTCAGCATCGTCCTCATCATCGAGAGTAGATGCTGGGGCGGATTGCCGTGATGCATCCTCCGATTTCGCAGCCGGTTTCAAACTTCCTAAATCGCCCACCCTTGACCTTCCAGGGGTTTGTAATGAATGGTCTGTTTCGGTAAGATATGATGTTGTCGTCACATCAGTTGGCGCGAACAGCACCCATGCCTGCGATTCTTCTGGTTGACGCTCTTGAGTGATAGGCGCTTCCCTTCTTGGGAGTTCCTGTTCGTCGGCAGGAGGCCGTACTACGCGTTGAACCGACTGTCGAGTCGGTTGATGAAATGCCATGATTGTCGCACTCGTTCAGTCGTCGCGATGTCGTGAGGTTGATACCGATAAGGAAGTGGCGGGCAAGATAAGATGCGTCGATGATGGAAGTGGACCCTCCAGATATGCCCGCCTATGTCGGGGGCTTTTTTGCAGAGACAATATGCGAGTAAGTATGGAGAATAGGACAATGAGTTGCAGAAGCTTGATAGCTTGTAGTCAAAATATCGAGCAGGGTCAAACCCGAAAGATGAAGATACAAAAGAGGTAGTATAAAGAAGAGAAGATTCAAGAACAAGGATGTTGGGGAGAAAGAGGGATTCCGAGTTGGGTAGTCTCACTAAAGAAAGATAGGAAGAAAAAGAGGCGGGAAGGATGACAAGATTGACCCAAGCATGCAACCCAAGCTAGGCCTGTATCCGTACCTTAAGGCTCAATAGGATGCTACTCTCATACCAGGCGTCATCTAGACGCTCTACGCTGTGCTGTAGTCGGGGGTTGATCGGCGGGTGGGGGGAGAGACGCTCGCGTGTTCAGTTGCTGTCCATCCATCCGCAACAACCAGCTCAATAAAGCTCAGCTGGTTACCTGGGTATGTTGTTTTGTTTCCAGTTATTGTTTCGGGTTGATGCTTATCATATATACATAGTCAATAGTACTTCAACGCAAGCATCCGGGTATGCGGACACTATCATATCAAGGGTCTGAAGACTTTCTAATGTCCTAGACTATGCGTTCCACTCAACAGAGTCCACCCGCATGAGTCGCCAGCGTGGATTGATAGACCGCATTAACTAGACCGTGCAGCCCTCTGCTTCTGCTATTATGTACAGGACAGTATTATACGTCTGACGTGGATGGGCACAGCATGGCATTTCGGGCCTGCTTATTACATGCTTCATGCTGCGCTCTGCTCTGCTTTGCTTTGCTGTGTTGTGCTGACCGATATTTGATTTACCTATCAGGCATCGGACGGCTAAGATATCGTTACATCCTTCGAGAATAAAAGGGTCCGTGGTCAAGCCAAGAGCATATGCAGGCTGATGAGTTGCCCTTCAGTACTCTCTGTACCTTGCTGGTTCCCGCGACCTGACACAACCGCAGGTGGTCCAATGGCCCTCTGGCCCTCCATCTTGTTGCTTTAGTGTCCACCACCCAGCCACCTTCTCATCTCATTCCCGCTGCATCTGATCTGACTGTGTTAGTAGATGTTATCCATACAGTTTTAGTATCTCTATAAGCGGCAATGTCACAAATCTAATGTGTGCATGCCCAAGCTGATCTGAATATGATGTGATATTATCGTTCACGGTATTTAACACATAAAATAGAAGAATTTGCAAAAACAAGCGAACCCCTACGTGGTAATCTACTAAACCATTTTTCATAGAACAGCGATCCATGCTCACTAATAATGCGGGACAATCCTGTCTTGCCAACGGCAATCCCTGATGACTGGCCAGACGTTGGGAGGTAAAAGATGTGCGCTACCTGTGACCTGAATGGCGTCACAAATCATCCCAGTGAAGTCATGTGGCCTACCGAGACAGAGGGAGTGGCTTTGTTTCTAAAATATCCCCAACAAGACAATGTCTCGCTTTTATGCTCTATCAATAGTTGTTTATCAGATTTTCGTCTCGTAGATGTATGCATTTTGTGCCAAGTTGGAATCACAGAATGACGGTGGAACGGTAGTATTTCTCCTGCATTAAATCATGTTACAAGGTGAGCATGAGCACACCATAATCCGGCATTGACACGAGTGGATGGACGGACGACATGCTCCGCCAATCACCATTTCGAGAACGGAGGAATGCTAGACTGGAGCTGATGAACTAAGCAAGAGTCGTCATAAGTCGTGTAGACTACAGCGCCGCAGTTAAGAAGCACATAACGTTATGTCAATATTCCAATAAGCCGGATCACTCGGAGGTTACTTGCTGAGATAGCTGTCGCCTTTTTCAATCAGGAAAATGCCCATAATATCATGATGTTGATCAGCAAAATTGTACAGCGTAAAAGTAAAGTCCAGTTCTGAATGTAAGATTTCAATTTGCCTAATCGACGCCCTGTAACTAGCGAGTTTTAAGAGGTCCTTATTTGACAAGCCATTTTGACGCCAGAAAACCCATATTCCATCCTATCAATCATTCCTTTAAGCCTCAGACTTGAAAGCGTCGGGGAAACGACGGATGTTGCGCTCAAGAGAACCGTGGTTGGAGAGGAACTGGACGTAAGCACCGTCGACCTTGACGCGGCCGGCAGCCTTCTTGTCAAGGTACTCCTCACGTCGGAGAGGAGTGAAGCCCCAGTTCTTGGAGACAATGATCTTTTGTCGGCCAGGGAACTTGTACTGAGATCGGCGGAGGGCCTCGAGAGCGATGGCACGGTCTGGTAGTGGATTAGTGAGATGACTCAATACTGATTTATAATCGGATTTTGACATACTAGCATCACGAGTGCGGACGCTCATGAGAATCTGGCCAATGTTGACACGGGCGACAGTGCCGTTGGGCTTACCCCAGGCACCACGCATACCGGTCTGCAGTCTATCGGCACCGGCACAAGACAACATCTTGTTGATACGGACGACGTGGAAAGGGTGAGCACGGACTCGGAGGTGGAAACCCTCCTTACCGGTGTTCTTGACCAGGTACTTGTTGGCGCAAATACGGGCGGCCTCAAGAGCCTCAGAGCTCAGCTGCTCATACTCGTTGGAAACGAGGTGAATGCAGAGAGGGAAGTCATCGACGTTGGCGCGCTTTCGGCCGAGATCGAAGATTCGGATCTTGGGGTCGGGGACACCACGGTTGAACCGAGACTTGGGATACGGCTAAAGATAAAGTCAGTATTGAAGTTATCGCCAAAGGGAAATTTCGTCGCAGTCAGAGAAACTGCCCCCGCAAAGGAGCAGCATGGAGAGTTTCGTCATGGAATTTCCAGAGACCCCAAATCCTCCAATATTTCTCATAAACGTCGAATGCGATAAAACGGACCTTGTTCTTGCAGTATCGGTAGCAACGAGCGGGACGGCGCGCCATTTTGTCGGATTGTTGATTGATCTGGGCGGAGTTGGTTGTGGGAGGGAAGATGAGTTTCGCGAGGGATCCCAAATGCCTGCCTATCTCTGAACTGTGAACGCTTAGAAATCCGGAGTCGCCACCCGCCCCACCCGATTAGGGCTCACAAGGAAAGTGGGTCCTCCGAGGTGCACACTTTCCTCAAAATCATTTTGACTTGGATCTTTTTTTTATTCAACTCCAGCAATCCATCACCAAACGACAAGTCGCCGCCAACCAGTCGCCCAATCAGTCAAAATGGCCCCCGTCAAGAAGAGCAAGAAGGATGCCAACAGCATCAACTCCAAGTTGGCGCTTGTTATGAAGTCCGGAAAGGGTACGCTTGGAAAATCTCAAGATTTATGATAGGAACTTTTGGCTAATTGGTATTTTCAGTCACTCTTGGTTACAAGTCTACCCTCAAGAGCCTCCGATCCGGCAAGGCCAAGCTCATCATCATTGCTGGCAACACTCCTCCTCTCCGCAAGTCTGAGCTCGAGTACTACAGCATGTTGTCCAAGGCCCCCATCCACCACTTCTCCGGCAACAACGTAAGTCACAATTTTCTTTATACTGTCATCTTGCAGCTGCCTGCAAGATGACACTTCTCGGAAATGCTTGCTTGACAACATTTCTTTGGCTTCAAGGACTCTCTAGTCCTTGCGGCCTACCCAGAGAAGAAGTCATCTCGACTTTGGAGGGTTCATAAGCTTACTCGTAAATCCACAGATCGAGCTCGGTACCGCCTGCGGTAAGCTCTTCCGATGCTCCACCATGGCCATTCTCGACGCTGGTGACTCCGACATCCTCAGCGACCAGCAGGCTTAAATGTCTCGTTGATAGAGAATGTTTTTTTAAGGCGTTTCGGGGTAAAAATGGGTCTAGGGCATTCGAGGATATACCAAACAAGGGTGATGAAAAGCGACGACTCTTAGTGAGAACATGTAGTGCAATGCAAAGCATAGCAGTTCTCCCCATGACCTATGTGTCTTGGGCTTAATTGGGCCTGGTACTGTATACCGGTTCAAGTCAATGAAAGAAATAAAGCTCATGAACATTGTTCCCCGAAAACGATTGGCCTATTCGCTGTGATCGAGTGTGTTCAATTCAATGTAAATACTTCCGAGTCCAGTACACATGCATGGTTCATATCTAAGCAGTCGTATGTGCTTTTCGTGCCAAGGCTGTAGATAGGTACAGGTCATGGCGCTGCCATTCTGTTAGGCTACTTCTCCCTTTCCAGGTTGAAGTGTTCTGGGATGACTGATTTTCTTAGAACAAAACAGCAACATATCAGGAAAACATCAGTTACCTTCAACAGCCAACAATATCACTCACTATTAAAGAAACAATAAAATGTTGACTGGCATGACAACAAAGGCAATAGCAAATCTTCCAGGCATAGTGCGAGACTACCAAGCTTTGTTTTGTTTCAACCTTGACCATCCGTTCTTAGATTAGTGGATTCATATTCTCTAATTCCCCATAGACACTTCAACGGCGATCAGCAGTGAATACATCAAGATTCTCCATGGTTATACTTACACATCGAATATAAGCAGCCTTTCTTTATTGTGGCCTTTGTTCTTAAGCTGCTAAAGCAATATGATTCATTTGCCAGTCAGTTTACTAGTCTATCAAAACAACAAGATACCCATTTAAAATTCTCATCCCAGCATAACAAAGCTTGAACCGCAATTTCCAGACCTCATGGGACATATAAAACCGAGGTCATGCACAGTATGCATTGATCAATGACTGGTCTTGTCTTCAGCGGGAGACAAACCTAGGTGGGCACAAGGTTCAAGCAAAGCAAATGTGACAGCAGCTTCTGGGGAAAGATCCGTGAAATCCACAAGAATGTCCCCCTGAGAGAACCGTTCCATTTTAACAGCCACTCGTTACCTGTTCGACACTACACGTCAGCAGTGTCACGGATTTAGATTGGCTGTTACAGTATGAGTGAAATGTCCATATTAACTGTACAGCATAGTTGCAAGAGGTGGCTTGGGCGCTGTGATCGAGTCTTAACAACGGTTTGAGTTTGAGTCCCTGCATAACTTCAGTTTATTCTTAATTTCTTTGTCCTCATCTACCGGCTGCAACCCAAATATGAATTTTTCTTCCTTCTTTAATCTCTACAGACTCTCATCTCTGAAATTTCTCTCCTCCAAAATATCGACTTCACCGCCAATACAGTACAATACAGTATTTCCTGGGCAGGCATAGCTTGTTTCAACAGCATCCAGGCTAGGCTGCCCCAGAAATATCGACCTTCTGGACGCCAACGCCACACGCTAGAGAGGCAGGCCCCTACCCCGTACCTTAGCAACGTCCCTTCTGAGGCGCAGACGGACTGTTGTTACTGTACCGTATTTGGTAACGGTAGAGACAGGACACTCCTATTTCAGTGCCGACCCTTCTTGTTGGGTGCATTATCCACGTTCCAGATCACCGGGCGAACGTGCAACACAACATAACCCAAGAAGCAGACGTTACAACAACTTTTTACCACACATTATCTATACCCCGACGGCGAATGTCCTGGTGTTGTTCTCATATTCTTGAGACACCGCCAACTGTTCCTACGCTCCGTCGCTAAAACCATACGACCCAACACAACCCAACCAACCCCAAATTCATATTTAGCATGTCTGCCGCTACAAAGAAGCCCCCAGCGGGTGGTGTTGGCCGAGTATCTCAAACCGATTCTTCTTCCTCAGCAAGCCCTTCTCCTTCACCGCGTCCTGGCTCCCGATCAACTACTCCTACTAGCAACGGCCATTCCCGAACTCGATCGCTACGAACCAACGCACCTGTGTCTGCTCGTGCCGCTATTGCCCGGAGAGATACTCTCAGTGCCTCTGATTCAGATGCGCGAGCCGAAGCTGCTGCTGCCGTAGAGGACCTTCAGAAGCGTTTAGAAAATGAAGAGAAGTCTTCGCTTCAATACAAGCGCCAGGCGGAGGTTCTCCAGTCCAAGCTTGACGAGGCGGTCAAGGAGTCGGCCAAGTTGGAAGAGAAGGCACACGAATATGAAGAACAGATCGAAACTCTGAGTAATGAGAAGAGAGAGGTGACTCGTCAGATGCGTGAGATGGAATCCATTTATGAGTCGGAACGCAGCTCTATTCTTAAGGAGAAAGAGGAGATGTCAAACCGAGAGGAGGAGATGCAGGCCATGATCCAGCGACTCAAGGAAAGTCTAGCCCAACGAAACAACATTGTTGAGGACCCTCGTCCTTCCAGACAACGTGAGTGCATTTATTACTCCCATCTACCCATCATTTCCCCCGCTCACAATTGTTTAGACTCTGGTAATTCATCACCATCCCTTGAGAATGGCAGCTTCGCGCCCCCCTCCTCCATACAGCGCAGCGACTCCCGAAATAGCTCAAAACTTATCCTTCAGAAAGACAAGCTTATCGAATCGCTACGACTGGAACTCGCCGAGGCTCAGATCAAGTTGGTGGAGACGGAGAACCAGGGTGGCGGTCGACTACATGAGGTCGAGCGACTCCTCATGGAAGCTCGCATGGCCAACGCTCGACTTATGGAGGACAACGAGAGCTACCAGCTTCTTCTACAAGAGCGTACCCTCAAGGGAGACTTTGGACAGAACGACTTCAGTTATATGGGCAGCAACTCTAACCAGGACGCCTTGGCTGCCCTGGAAGGCAAGGCAGGAGGCTCTAGTCTTGCTGATGAGTTGTCCGAAGCAACTGAGGGCGAGTCGGTCTCCGATGGCGACCGCCGTCTCGAATCCGAAGTCAGGTCTATGAAGGAGCAGAACAAGGCGCTCACACTATATATTAACAAGATTATTGAGCGTCTTCTTCAGCACCAGGACTTTGAGTCGATCCTTGACACGTCCGGCGATTTGAAAAGTCTCCCAGATACCAATAAGGAACTTCCGCCTGCCCCTGTCGACAAGCAGCAGCCATCTGGAACTATTCTCCAGCGAGCCAAGTCTATGGCCCCCGGTCCTACCAAACCAAGGCCTAGGCCAATTTCCGTCATGCAGCCCTCCACCTCCTCAGACCACACCGATCCCGACAAGGCGCCTAGCATTCCCATCGGCTTATCCAGATCAACAAGCACGCGGCGGAGTCCACGGCCACACTCAGACCAATTTACCGGGGCTGCCAGCCTGGTCAGCCAGATGTATCGGGGGCCAGACGGCCCCGTCTCTCCACCACTTGGGACTCCACGGCATTCCCAAACCTTCTTCTCGCCCCCCAACAACTCGGGTAACCCTAACGCGGCCGCCCGGGTGCCTTCCGGAGCATCGGTGGCCACCAGCGGCAACTTTCCTGGGATGCGGAGTGAGACGTCAAGCTTGAGCGGAGAGTCTGGTGAATTGTCCATGTCGACACCGCCGTCGCAGTCGCCACCCCGAGCCCATTCTGATAGGCACACAACGTCGTTCGCGGGAGGCAAGCCACGGCCACTTCGACTGGTCCAGGAGAACCCTGATGCCGTCAAGGAGAACAAGAGAGCCAGTTGGTACTCGCCATTCACCTGGGGCGCCAAGAAGGAAGAGCAGCAGGTGCCTTCAGGCAACCCCATTCCAGAGTAGTGTGGGAAAGGGCTGTAGGAAGGACCTGAGCTTCAAGAGATTGTTAATGGGACGCAATGGTTGGATATATACGTTCATGGGGCATCCATAGGGACTGATGACTGGTCATGTACGGTTCACGTCATTAGATATAGCGGCGTTTGGTTCATGGATTATCGTTGGCTTTATCGATGCCGTCTCGCAAGCAATGGGTGGTTTTTGGGGGATTGTCCTGGTTATCCTTGGGATAAGTTATGGGCAGTGCCAGGTTATTACGGGTGCACATGACTGTTGACGACGAATTGTGAATGGAGGCATGATGTTTTCTAGATATAGATTTATGAAAAGCACTCGTTTAGCGAGTTTACAATCATGACATATTTGATGATTTGACTTGTTAATTTGTGTCGTATAGTGAAGTTTA